TTCAAACCCAGATGGACGCAACGGCGAGCTACTTCGCGGGGTCTCCTCCATCCAATCAGCTTGCACCAGCTTGGGCGTCTCCTTTCTCGAAGGAACGGGGGTGCTGAGAACCCTATCGGCCGTATAGAATGCCTCCCGTCGTTGTTGCAGCAGCTCTTCAAACCTTGGGATCATCTCTTTATAACCATCAACCTGCTCGCACAAGCGTTTGATGACTGTCAAAAATCTTGGCACAGAGGACGGCTCCCATGTTGGGCGACGCCTGCATTTGCGCATCTCCTTTTCCTGCTGTGCCTCGTGGGGTTTTCTTGGGTCCCGCACCTCTGCCGCCTTTTGAGATATCACAACCTTGGGCTTACCATCAAGCCTCGGCTCTGCGGCGCTCTTCTGGGCGCTGTCGTTGCCTTCTTTCTCAGTATGCTCCGCGAGTGTCCCCGTCTCTGTGTGCTCTTTTTGTCCTTCTTGATCGAGCTCCTCTTTCTGTGCTTCTCCCTCTGGCTCTTCTTTCTGTTCATCTTCCACTTGCTTCTCTTTCTGCTCCTCTTCGACTTCTGTCGGCTCCCCTCGATTGTCTGGACTTGCGCCAACTTCCGGGATTCTAACATCTACTTCCACGTCTTCCACGTCCTCTTCGTCCTGGTCCTCCTCTTCCTCATCGTAGATGTAGTTTTCTGGGTTGCGGGTAAGCCATCCTTCAACGCTCATGTAGCCGCAGATCCCCAAATCCACAAGACTCTCCGTCACGGAAAGGTTGGTTTCAACGGGGTTCAAAAAGAAAGACTCCAACAGGTCGAGCATTGCATTGAGCAGAGGATCGTCAACTCTCAACGTATGTTCCCGGACTTCTCTTGGAGAACCTGGGTGCTCGGTCCGGACGGTTGCCTCTCTACCTTTAATTTTCCCTACTGGGGGCGCCATGAGCGGAATTGAGCATGAGTGGCTTTCGAGTCTTGACTTGGTATCCTTCAGTAAGTCGTCATAGAGATCATTGAAGTTGTCAAAACCCCCGATAGCACCAGCAAGGTTCACGAGGTATTCCACCTCCTGATCATGGGCCCCTATCGTCCGCTGAAGAGTGTGCCCTGGCAGGATTTCCGTTCGAAGTAATGTAATAATAGCGTATCGATGATGTCTCTTAAGAATCGCCGACACTAACTGTAGCGTAACGTGTATTGTTTGCTGGTTCCTTGACCTCAAACAAGCTAGGATCAGATCGACCAGGTTGAAGAGGAGGGGGGTGACGGTGCTGTCTGATTTTGAAGCCATCATAGTTGCAAGATCCATTGACTTTCGCTTGCGGGCATTACTTATTGATGTTGTTGAACTGGACAAGTCTTGGGCCGGTTCTGTATCAGGCAGAGCAAGAAGATAATGGAGGATGAGGTGAATCATGTCAGGGTGATCCAGAGCCTCAAGTATACGTCGTAAATATGTCAAGACAGCCACCGAGGATCCACCATCAATGTCTGAGGATTCAAGCAAGGAAGGATAACTATCACAGTCAGTCAGAGGGTCTGCGAGGTATACAAAGAGTCTAAGCTTACAGTAATTGCTGGAGGAAGATGACTTGGAAATGCTCCAACAGAGTCGATTTGACTTCGACTGACTTGCAATGGTTCAAAACATCCTGCCAAAACAAAAGGTGGGATAGGAATGTCTCTAGGTGTGATTGGAACTCCGGGGAGCAGGAGCTGATAACCTCAAAATTGGATGTAGGGTGTTGGTAATCGGAAAAGGCGAGAATCGGAGGTAGATTCTGGGTTGGATAATCAATAACGAGTTTCCGGCTCAGCTGACTGTACAGGGCACCTAGACCCGTAGCCATCAGGGTTGACAGGTCGCTCTCAACAATCCATTGCTCCAGCAATACCGAACGAGAGGCCGACTCGATAATGTAGAGCAAACCGGTGCGAGCGAAGTCACCAACCTTGCCCTCGTGGTGGATATAATCCATCAGAATATAGAAAAGAGGGAAGTCTGCCCTTTGGGTCCGGCCAGCAAATTTATCACGATAATCACGGTCGCCTTCGGCATATTTAGGGTCGTCTTCGTGAGTGTTGAACCATGCCGGCAATATCGCGGGATCCTGCCGTATCTTTGTAGTGATATTGAACGCCAGCTCCACGACCCGAGACTCCGTGTCGAGCCCGAGGGGAACACTATTGGCACCCGTAATCCGGACAAGGAGATTCGTCAGGCTGGTTGAGAATGTGTGTTTCTCCACGAATGCTTCCTCCTCGCTCTCGATCAATGTCGCGAAAAAGAGGACCGCCTCCTTTATAATCCACTCATTATATGAAATGATCGCGATCTTGCCGATGTGAACGTAGATTTCCCGTAACGATGCAAACTGAATACAGGGATGCGGTAGAGGACGGCGGCTTTCGTCGCTAATGATATTCGTGAGCTCTTGGAGTCCAATCTCGACAGTCTCGGCTGCATCACTGTCGCGGGAGATGTTCGAAGTGCGCCATGTCGCCTGTTTGGTCACAAGGTCAGCTGCCCGTCTGCATGTATTATCGGCCTCAGGTGCTCTCTAGCAGCTCACCAACAGTTTCCCGTATTGCTTCTCGAACCGATGTAGCCGTTTCGCTGGATCTTTCGCCTGGTCCTGGCGGGTGCTCTCCTTGGAGAGGGGGCTTAATAGGCGGGACCACTGTGTCGTGTTAACCAAGAGCCTGTCTTCTAGTCAGAATCCGCTTGCTCACAAAGTCCATGATGGCTCTATTTTCATCTCAGCAGGGAGATGATCATGAGGGAGTAAGCTGGCCTGGCGCCAGATGACACGTTCGCATGGCGCACACGATACGTGCTTTGGTTGGAGGGAGCTTGATGTCTGACTTGACTTGCGACTTCCAAGCATCCTTGGCATAATGCTGTCAGGGGAGCCGTGGCGTTTGTTGAAGGGAAAGCCACATGGGGCTTGGGGGCTTGCAGCTCTGGCTACCCTAGAGATTATGACGCCATTTACGAAGATTGTCTTCAACGCCTGTTAATAAATGAGAAAAAAATGTATCTTATTTTATTTACCTCTGTTACTTAATATTGTCGTCGCAAAATTTTGTTTTACATTCTCGGCCTATTTGTTTTGGTACTAATATCGCGTCCTAAAGTCCCTATATCATTAGGGCTACGTTTCTTCTGATAAAATATTGACATGAAATGCCGGGTGCATGGATATCTTTCGTATATTTTATGCGCCAAGAGGACAAGGGAACAGGCATTACCCTTCTTTCCCCTTTATGCCGAGGAAAATCACCTCCTCCAGCCCTGATAGAATTGTGCCAGACAACTTGTTATTTCCAATCCAGTGGAGATATTCCATCACGCATGTATAAACATTGAGCTTACTAGCGAAAGAAGGAGCGATAATTTCTATTGAGTAATTACTGGCGGGTGTTATTCTTGGCCCCACGTTTGGAGCATCGACCTTCTGAGCTCCCTAGATTTGTATATGCGTTACCTCTCGTGATGATGCCATATGAATTATTTTGCTCATAAAAATCGTGGAGTAGATTGAGGAACTATGAAACATGTATCTAAAGGAAAATATATTTGAATATACGAAAAAGGAGATATGCAGGACGAGAGCAGTACCGGTGATAACTTTTTGTGACTGCACCTCTACTCGAGTGACGTTGTCAAGAAGGCTCGCTAGAACAATGAATATTTGTCCGAATTTGAAGATATAGATGAGATTATATTCAAGATCACTGATAACGCATCTTCTTTGGCTGACGAATCAGACCTAAGAAACGTTCTCAATGCTGCGCTGGTGGTGGAGGGACCTGGTTGTCGCTGATCTCGCTCGAAAGACTAGAACTCAAATATATAATATAGTGTTAAGCCTTCTTGAGGTGACTTCTAGAACTGAACTCGAAAATGATTACTTATTAATATTCCTAATCTTTATCTTCTGGAAGCAGAGTTCTGTATTCGAACACAGATTGACAAGGTGACAGTCATTACTGAAGCTAAGGCAGAGAGAACTGGCATATTATTAATACTTGATGGAGAGATCAATTAGGATTTAAAATAAAAACCAAACTATATATTAGTTAATAACCAGGACGGTAAAGGCTCGATCCAGTTAGAGTCATGAGGATTCCTATTTGTGGATGAAGGCTCTCCGGAATTCATAACCTACCTTGGCTGCCCTCCGTGCTATACTCTCATCAAAGAGATTAGAACTTGTCGTGATCTAACCATTATGGATTAATATTATGCGAGTCTGCCTACACGATACCGTCCAAATCAATTCAGTGCATGCTAGCTTCCTACAAGCGAGACTCATCCATGCAGCATTGCAGATACTGAACAATGAAACCGGACCAATGACTTTCTGCAAGAGGCCTCCTGATCCGGACTCTCACGGGCAGCGATTACGACTTCTCTTTTGCCAATCCACCATCTATTCCTGTGTCGAACAAGCGAGGGAGGCAGTTATGGAAGTAGCCGCGTCAAGTAAGCTGTGTTGGTTGCCTCGGGCGCTTCCTAAATAGGCGCCATTCGCGATGCTTATCTGCAGGCGACCATAAATACCGGTAAATCAAGGGTCTTGCAGAGGCAACCGCCTGCCTTAAATTGGGATGCGGATATTATCGAAGGATTAATTGGGCCCGAAATAGCGTTTTGGGGCAGTGAGTGAAACTTAACGCTAATTTTATGGTTGTTCTTTCTTGATCTAGACTGTAGGTTCAGATACTAATACTTTGCATCTTGTGTGGCAACCGGGTTAGCTCGCATTCGCTTGCAGTTCGTGCCTACCCAAGTAAAAATAGACTTGGAACCTGATATAGAGAGCTTCTATTATGTTTCAATGGAGAGAAGAATTATAAATACCGATCAACTGCCTTCGGAATCTGAGCTGGTCCCTGTATCAATTCATCACTTCGACTCATAGCTGATAACCTTTTAGTTACTACCCGTTCTCCTCTCTATACCATTTGTTAACGAAAACCAAACGAATACATATTGTACTCCGAGAATTCTTGTTCAGAATGCGTGCCACAGAAATTCTCGCGATCGCCACTCTTGGCCTGGCAGGCTCTAGCTCTGCATTCTCTCCCTCTAGATACGGAGATCTTGAAGCCCGCGACGAGCATCAACTACGGGTTGCCTACCAACGCAGCTTAGATGGGCTTGAGACCCGCCAACCAGCTCGTCTGAAGATTGGTATCATGGATTCAAAGAAATTGGAGAAGCTGAGAAAGTCTGCGAAGAAGAAGACGACTAAGCCTAAAGGATCCAAGTCTAGGTCCAAGTCTAAGAAGCCAAAGAAAAATGCAAACAAGATCAAGATCAAGGGAAAAGCTGGTCTTAGGACTGGCAAAGGGGGTGGAGATGGCACGAGTACTGCCTATGGAAATGGCGACGGGATCCCCAGCACTGCCTACAACCGCAGGTCGATTGAGCTCGAGACCCGTCAGCCAATGCCTCTCAAGATTGGTATTATGGACAAAGAGAAATTGGAGAAGATGAAAAAGGCTATGAAGAAGCCAAAGAAAACAACCGATTCAAAGAAGGCGAACGACTCGAAGAAGCCGAAGAAGTCAAAGAAAAAGGTAACCCTCAAGAAAGTTGCTGGTACCAGGACTGGCAAGAAGGGAACTTTCAAGGACGGTTCCTCTACTGCCTATCAAAATTAACGAGGTTCTAGCACTGCCTATGACTAGGCTGAGTGTTAAGAGCGGTTGATTTTCAATTCTAGGTTAGTGATTGAGCAGAGTATTTGTCCTGTATCTCATAGTTTCCTATGCACAATTTATCGAGTTGTCGAGTTCTTCCACAAAAAACCATGACAGTCCCTCTGTGTTCAAGTAAGCTTTTTGGTCACGATGTTGCAGAGAGCTGTGAGGCTCCAGATCCACTATTTACAGCCTCGGGAGTTGTTCCGATGTGCATGACTAAGCATAGGAAAAACAAGGAAAAGCCTTGGAGTGCACTGCGCTAGCGCGGTACAGGTACTAGTGACTCATTTCCCTCAGTGACGAACCTTGAAACCTAAAGCTTTAAACCAAATAGGTAAAGGAAATAAAGCCTTTTACGTAGTCCATACCGAAGGGTCCAACAAAAGGCTCGTCTGTCATCGTTGCCCGTCGTTGCCGGCCTCGAATGTTATCTCATTTCGTGGATACCACATGATGCTGCAGCTTACACTGACAAGTACTGGTACTCGGAATCCTTCAAGGGACAGAGGTATAAAAATAATCCAACCGACTCCTCCTGCAGCCCCTCAAACAGCGAGCACAAAAAGTGCCCACCACCAGTGCATACGCTAATCCTAATGCGACTATTCTCCTGCACCCCCAAAGAGGGTGGGCCCGCGAGCCAGCCAGTCAGCATCAATCTTTTATTATGTCGATCGCAGCTGTCCAGCTGGTACGAGTTTGTCGTCGAGAACTGCCTTTCCTGACCGACTTTTACCTTGCCATTCTGGGTGTTGTGTTGCATCTCTCATCTCAGCCCTTTGCTCACTGTCAGGTTACATGGCGACTCGGCTTGAGTCAGGTCTCTGTCATTAGTAGCTATATCAAGACTGATAATGCTCGCTGATCAATGGGTCAAGTCTCTCTCTAAGGCAACACCAAGACTACTGTGCTGGGCTTGCTGGGATCTCTGACTCCACCTCACTCGCATTGCCAGAGTCCTTTGATGCACTCGTGATCTACCCCTCTGTTCCAATCTGCATCATTCATATCATCGCCCTGGCCGAGGAAATCCACAGCGCGGCAAATCCATCCACGTATTGACACTGCTGCTGCGCTGCGACAGTCCATCTCGCAGCTTACAGGTCCACGTATCACACTGGCGCTTCAGATGAAAGTGGGTTCTTCGGTCATCAGAATGCAAAGGAACCGTCTTCTTTGATTAGACTGCCCCAAGGTGACATTCGTAGGCGCTCAATGATGTGCAGATCAGAAAATCGTCGCGCGAATTTCCTGCCAACTCTGGCTGGCCAGAGATTTCAACGTTGCCCAGACGAGTTAGCGGGCTTCGGCACTCTACTCCATGGGCTGGTGCAGTCACTTTAGCGGCATCCATCACAGCTGAATGTGATCATAGAGATGGAGACGGCTAGTACTCGGCGAGTATGGCGCTGCCTGCCAGTACATCGACAGGCAGCGACGGGCAAGACAGGCCGGCAGACAGGCAGCAGGTACGGGTACGCCGCGATGTACCTGTCTTATTAGGACGGCCCTAGAAGCACAAATCTGCTCCACACCCTCATTGTTCAAGTGCCGGACATGGCGGCAGCCATCGTCGTCTGGTTGATGCTTGCGTGGGACTGTAGATGGAGGGCAGATGCATCTCCCTGGGTAAGATGTCGTCTCGCTCGCATCATGCTCGGTCGGGATGCGAGCTGATACAACACAGGGGCATCCACTCGCTGCACGTCCTCGGCCAAGCACGCGCGCACATACTGCACTCTGAAGGTGCATCTGCAGGGAAAACACGTAGGTAAGCCCCAGTAGCGGCTGCCAGGGCAGGGCAGAGCGAGTCAACGCGGGGTGGGGTGCTGCTGCTGTTTATTCCAGTGGACCGACCCCGGCGATGCGCATAACGCATCATAGAATAGTGCAGCGATTGCCTTGTCAGCCGACGAGGAAACACTGGCCGCTGGCGCTGTTAGTGCGCCATTCCGGGGGGGCAGATCAAACTCGTGCTGATGGGGCTGCCCTGGGGGCCGAGTGCCTGCCTAACCCTGGCCAGTACGTGGAAATTTTCCCTTCAGGTCCACTGAAACGCGCTGGCTCTCCGCCTGGACCTGCTGCTTGGCCCTACCTACAGTTGAGCCTGCACTGGCGGCAGCCAATCGATTTGCACGGCTTGGGGGCGTCGCCGGCTGCTTGTCCAATCCCAGCGCATCCCCGCTGCCTTTATTCCCGTTCCGGTTGTTCCTGATGCCATGTACTTCTACTGCACTCTCCCGCTCCTCCCAAAAATCCCACACCCAGTCTGGCCTGCCTGCACCGTGCCCGTGTCACGCACATCGACTAAGCCGTGGCATCCTCCGCAGAAATCCTAAAAGCCCTTTTCTTACTTTCACAACCGCCAGCCGCCGCAGCACCCCCAACCCGCCTCAACGACCATCAACGGCTACTTCAATTGCGAGGCCTGCACCTGACGGTTTCTACACTCGTCGGCAGGCTTCTTTTTTGTTGTCGCTCCACCGTCGCCGCATGTGTTCCAAGTCCGGCCAACTCCCCGCACACGATTCTCCCACCGTCCACGACTTCCGAATTGTCGAATCGCGCGAGCCCTCGGTGCGGCCGTACGCCCATCGCTCCTCTCCCACGGGGCAACCGTTGTCTCGCTGCTAGCCCTAGTCCGGTCGTGGCTTTTGGGGCTACCAAGCAGTGGGCAGCAGAAATCCAGGGCATATGCCTCGCGGAGTAGGCTCCAGTAAGCGAACGTCAGGGGCCGGTCAGCGCGACACCAGGCATGAGAATGGGCTTGTCGGTCCAGCAACTGCGAAGCGAGCCGTCGGAAACAAGAACTCCGGGCAGTATGAGGGCGCTGCGAGGTCTGGGGCTGAGAATGTCCCGGGCCAAGCAGGTCTGCCCTCGCCCAATGCCCAGAACAACGGCTCCGCTTACCAGCACCAATTAAATGGGAATGGCAACACCAAGGGTTCGAGAAATGGCAATGCCAATGGCGACGCTAACTCCATGGGCAATCAATTGAGCACCAGGCGGACCTCGCTTGGCACCAGTTCGGACGAGACATCATCTGAGTCTGGTGGCTCCAACATGGGTAACCACAGCGGTGGTGCCATGGATGGCCTTCATCGTCAGATTGATGTTAATGCCACCAAGAATGTCGACGTCCATCGTGACTCCGGCCCTCTTGAGCTTGTCACTACCGTCTTGAAGACATTGCCAATTCACGACACCCTAGCCATTCTCATTATCCTCATGCACGTCCCCTCCGTGTCCCTGACGTTCATCTACGCAATATTCACCTTCCTTACCTTTGTTCCCCCCGTCACCACCAGCTCTGGAATGAATATCAACTTTGCCGAGATCTTCGACGGCAACTCGACCACTCCTTCACCTGTCACTGTCATGTGCATGGATTTATTCTTTCTTCTCTTCTGGCTCTTTCTTTGGCAACCCTTGCAGGACATCCTTTTGGACTTTGCTAAGCCGATTATCGCCATCACGCTTGGCGGTGGTAGTGGAGTAAGGGATGGCTCTTCTCGAGGTCTCACTACTTGCTTCATATGGGTCGTGTTCCACCATGTGCTTCGAGGCACACGCCTGCATTGGACACGTTTTGTGCGCCACATACCCGAGAACTGGCCTATTCCTTCCACCCTGCAGGACACATTCAATTTTCCCACCGAGAGTTATGATATGAGATCGGGCGTTGGGTGGGTGAAAAGTGTTTTAGCTGTGCATATATTAACCCAAGGGATTGTACGATATGTCAAAGAGTGGTATCTTAGGCGTGAGAAGGCGGGAGCGCAAGCCAACATGAGTGATCCAGAAGCCGGAAAATCCGCCGGCGGCTCGAACGATCTGTCGACCGACGTTGGATTCTCGACAACCGATGCTGAAGCAGGTATTCAGCATGCGCCCCCACCGCCGCCCACTACCATGAGCAAAAAGAGAAGAAAACAAAGTACACAAATACGCCTACAACAGCCGCTCTGGGCCGCTCTAGCGAGCACCAAGATTGTGGTAATGAAGGAGTACGAATTGTCGCATGCAACTAGCGAGCAGGCTGGCTCGAACGCGACCGATGTTCATAACCTCGGAAACGCACCATTCGAGAAGGAGCCATGCCACATTTGGATTTCATATGTTGGCAGCGACGAAGTTTGCTTTAATACTAGCCACTTCGAGGACGACGATGAAGACGACGAGCAGAAGAGCTGCCAAGGAGAGAACGGAGAGTATGTCTCGAGCCAGGCTAAACACCCTCAGAGACCTCTGTATGTCCGTGTCAACAACGCTTTCTGGCAGCCGACCCGCATGTTCCCACTTGAGAAACAATCCGAGGACCAGGTGGGCACCCAATGGACGGGCGACATTTATGGTCTCCGGCCTGCCTCCAAGTATGTCTGTGAATTTGTCGATCGTCGTACCGACGAGGTTCTTTTCAAGACCACCATTCGTACCGTTCACGAGCCGCAAAAAGAAACAGATAGTGGAGCACCTAGCGCAGCCAATGGACAGCCCTCTCTTCGTCCTGATTCGCCTGCCACAACTTTGAAAACCTCTATTCAAGCTGCTGAATCTAGACTTTCTGACGAGAGAAATCGCCTCAAGGCATCCCGCAAGGAATGGAAGAGCCGAACCAATGCTTTGAAGAAGGAGATCGAGTTGACGGATCACCAGCTTGCAACAGCTGGTAACAGCGACGAGAAGTTTCGACAGAAGGTTCGCCAACAAGAGACCCAGAAATCGCAGGCAGAGAGAGACACCGAGGCAGTCGCGGAACAGCTGAAGAATTTTGACACCGCCCCCGAACTATCCGATCGTCGGAAGAAGCTTGATCGCCAATATGGTGGCGAGAAATCCATGTACGATGTTGCCAAGAAAGAGTACGAGGAGTTCAAGTCCAAGCTGGAGAAGGAGGTCAAGAACACGGGTCTGGAGAAGTCCAACCTGGTTAGCAAGGTCAACAAGATCAAGACAAGAATCAACCGGGTGGAGACGGAGCTCAACAACATCTCGGACGCCAATGCCCGTGGCCTGGATGAGGTCCAACGCCGTCACCAAGAGCGTCTTCACTGGGAAGAGAACACGAACGCCATCGAGGCCAATTACCAAGAGAGGCTGAATCATATTCAAGCGTCCAACGTGATCAAGGTTGAACAGATTAGAGCTCTCGAAGCCCAGTTGGCAACTTTTCTTGACCCACACGGTGCAATGGCTCTTGATCCCAATGGCGCAATGGCGCTGGACCCCAATGCCGGAATGGGAGTCGATTTGGATACCTACGATGAGCATTACCAGCAGCAGCATCTTCAACCCTGGAACCCAAACCCAGCTGCTGCCCCACATGTCCCCAATATGTGGATGTCGTCGTCTGAATTGATGCCCTCTGTTTCTGCCACCTCTGGTATTGCCTCAGGCTGGCAGCCTGCAATGGCTCCCGCTTTCGAACCATCCAAAGGATTCAAGTCTCGTGGTCGTAGCTCTAGTATGCTTAGCGATATCAGCGGTTTCACCCAGTCTACCAACGAGGAGGACTCGCCACCAGGTCACAGCCTGTCTTACGGTTGGAATGCGAATACATTCACACCAGTTAGAAACACAGGATACGGCCGACATGACGGGAACAACAGCGGCGGTAGTGGGAATGGTAGCGTTTCTGCGAGTCCCAGCCCTTGAAGGATGTCTGAGAATGCAATCCCGATTGTGTCTTGTAGGGGTTCCGAAAAGCGGTTTTCGTTAGCAAATACAATTATGTGCTATTTCTTCTTACAAATTTCTTACCCATATTTGTGACGCTATGAATGCCCTATGTACAACTATTGCAACCTGAGCCACGGTGATTTCATCTTGTAGTGAATATAAACGCTGTCTGTGTACAACCCGTAAGAGGGAATCTAAACTCCGATGTATATTGCTAAACGTACACATCTCATTTCAAGATCTCAATGAGACTACACCTCCGTGGAAACTCCTAATTCGAAATGCTGATTCATGTGCCTCTCGTCACTTTTTATGTGAAAGCAAGGCTATCACCCCCTTTACTGCGACCCGACAACGGGGTCCTTCGGCGGGCTCTCATCGCCGGCCTCTCGGGACTCTTTATCCTCCTCATCCGCCTTGGAGACGTCACCCTGATGAGTAGGCCGCCTCATCTTGACCCCGACCTTGGTGTAGTTGACGAACCGGTCCGCCTTGCCCGCCCACGTCTCCCCCTCGAGCTTCCACAGCTGCGCGAGGATCTGCGTCTTGACGATCTTGCGCGCCACGGCGCGGATCCCCGTCGCGTCGTCCCCCCGCGTGTCGAGCTCGAGGTGGGCCTGCAGGGGCTTCATGGTCTTCTCCTCGTCGTCGACGCGCAGCAGCTGGTAGTCGACGCGGGCGTTGCCCGCGTACTCGCCCTTGCCGGCGGTGTAGAGCTGCATCTCGCAGGTGACGTGGCCGTTGCGCTCGTCGGTCTTGAGGGATGTGAAGATGTCGATGGAGAGGCGGCGGGGTCCGTTTATGGTTTCCTGTTGGGCGGGGGATTGTTAGGCGCTGAGGGGGAGTTGGGAAGGAGGGGAAGGGGGAGGAGACGTTACGGTGATGATGCCTTTGGGGGATGGGACGCTTCGGACGATGATGTAGCGATCGCGGAGCTGGATGTTGTCCTTTGAGAAGCCTGACTCCTCAATCTTTGCCCTGATATGCTCTTGGAACGACTCGTCGGCTAGCCGGAGGATGGACTGTGGTTTGATTATACCGCCCTGGGGGAAAAGCGTGTTAGCAAGATGTCGAATCACTTCCGAAGTAGCGAGAGGGAATGTAATTTGGGAGGATGCGACTGACATGCGCTACGTCCACGGCCTCGAACAAGTCGCCGTCCCCCAGCTTGGTCAGCCGCCTCGTCCTCGCCTTCTCGGCCCACTCCGTCATGGTGATCATCTTGCCCGGGCCGCCCGAGTTGGCGATGTGCCGCAGGATCTCTCCCACCCTGACGATTTGGCCGTGATTGAGGCCCGAGTAGACGAGGACGCCGAGGTCGTGGTAGAGGTGGCGCAGGCAGGGGACGACCAGCTTGTCCGAGACCTGGCCATTGTGACCGATGGGGACCTCGACGAGGCGGCGGGGGCGGATTGAGCGCCAGTGCCGGAGGTTGGGGAAGATCTGGAGGGCGGGCGGGAACCGGAGGCCTTTGTGCGCCATTTTGAGAGTGGAATTCGTCCCGCCGGCCTTATAGATGGCGGGGTTGAGGCTTCGAGTGAGGGGTGTCTGGCTATGGGATGTAATTTTTGGAGGATGGCGCGATAAGGCTGAGACTGAGGGATGTGGCTGAAACTGTCAGCCTTGCATATTGTGGCTGGGAAGTGGTGGCGTCACTCCCCGGATGAGGAGAAAGCGCACGCCAATGACTTGGTCGGTCATCGATCCCGTCTTCACCCTCTTGTCTACCTTCACGGGCTGTATTCAATTGAAGGTATGCAGCCGCCCTGTGTACAATGACACCTCCTAACCCAGTCCTGCGAAGGCAGGTGATAGCCATATACAAAGGTTACCAAGCGGCTTGCCCACCCATCCATGTGCTGTGCCGAAGCTGACGGTTTCTCAGAGCTTCTCTACCTTGGACGAGACTATCCCTTGGGATATGATTATTTTAGACCTCGGCTTCACAAGGCCTTTATGAGCAAGGCAGAGGAGCGGGACGATGAGGCAATTAAGAAGGGTCTTGCCCATGCAGAATTCGTCAAGAAAGGTAAGTGCTGTATCCCAACGAGTCAAGTCACTTGGAAGAGGACACTTTTAACGACGCATGATAGAGATTGAAGCCTTGTAGGTGCATTTTCCTATCTATATGTTTCCCATTGACTCGATAATGCCTGATAGACTGATCTCCTCTGGATGCCACAGCTGACCCTTTCCGCAGATACTACTTAAAGCGATACCGCACGCTGCGAAAGCGTTATGATCCGGATGCATGAGAGCTTGAAACAGTCATACCATACCATAAATAGTCATCCTAGATACCATCACCATCTGCGCCCACCAAATCTTGAACCACCCCGTTGACGGGGATTCCTCAAAACTTATCCAAAAATTGCAGTAGAAACGGAAAATGCACTCTTTGACCCAACCGAATGCCCGAGGAAAATACCAAACTTTGGAAAAGGGGAATAATAACCAAAACAAAAAACCAAATGCAGCAAATGTTAGAGATGCTTGGGGGAGGAGAACGGTGGGTATAGATCGTCCGACTACCTCTTTGTCGCCCACCATGCCCCTACTTCTAGGCATTCTCCCCAGCTCGTACCGCCTTCGCTCATCAAATCGTTCATCATCTTGCCCATCCATACGTCCCATTCATCCTGGCTCTTGCCGCTGGCCTCGCGGAGGACGGGTTCCAGCGACTGGATCTCCTCCACCACGATGCTCAGTGCCATTTTCCTCAGTGCCGCCTGTCCGGCCGTCAGTGCCTTCTTCTCCACCTTCTGGTGCGGGCCCCGGTCACCCTTCATCTCAACGTAGGACTTTCCGTCCCGAGTGACGACACCGCCGACGCCCTCACGCTCCCAGCGAACTTCGCTAAGCGGGATGGCTACTCTATGTGAGTTGATTTCTTTGAGAGCCTCAGTTTCCTGAAGCAGGTAGTGGTTCACCACAGTGCAGGGCGTTACCAGGAGTGAACGCTCCCCAGCTGCCTTGTTGATCCAGTTGTTATACTCGGTCAGGAAGGGGTTGAGTGGAGCCGACAAGGGAGTGTTGAGATTGATGATGTACGCTCCGAGGCTAGAAGCTATTTCTTGCTGCTCTGCCTGCGTACCAGAGGCTGTCGGATTGGGCACGTGGGGGCGAAGCATTCTAATAATGTGATCACTCTCCCAGATTTCCAATGAGCCACCAGGTGTGAGGACGCGAATCATTTCATCGATCAATGGCGCGTGATCTCCCATGGTTATCGAGAGCGTCATGTCCTTGTAGAAAACGAGGTCGAACTCATTGTCAGGGAAGGGCCAGGGCTGACGGATATCATGCTGCACAAAGGTCCAATTCATGTCCCGGTCCGGCTTGATCGAGTCGTAGGGGATATTGACGCTGCCAGGAGCCAATGGGGCAATGTCCATGCCGGTGAATTGAATATTGGTATGTCCGCGGCTCTTGAAGTGCCTGTGGCACATCATGCTCCAGAAACCCGACCCACAACCCAGCTCGAGGACTTTGAGAGGTGGCTTGACTGAGAGTGAAGGGGCACACACGGGAGCGCCATGGACCTGGATAAGGAGCAGAGTCCGGAGTGCTTGGCGGTGGAGCTCCGTGAGATCGATTGGGAGGGGATCTACGAGGCTGGGGTCGTTGTAATACGTCCGACCATTGCGCTGGACAAAGGGTTTTGGGTTGTTGGCGGCATTTCCAGGAGCTTCGCCAGAGGCAGAGTTGTCGGTCGAAGTGACGGTCCGGCCTGATAATGCTGTGTTGATACTCGTCGACGAGACGGACTCGGTGCGTGAGAATGATGACGAGTTATTGACAAGTTTCGAACCCGAACTCAGGGACGACTTGTTAGACTCGACGTCAGGAATCATGGCGACATGCTTGGGGATCTCCCCGGCGGAGAAGGCAGTGGCCCGGGGCGAGATGCCTGGCGAGATGACTGGTGATTTCAGTAAGCTCCGCTTGGTGGTAGCGAAGAAGTTGGAAGTGGAAGCACTGAAGTTGGTGAAGTGATCCGAGGCCGTCAGTCGCTTCCGCCTGGGCGAGGTCGCCGAGGATAGGGAGGCCCGGGGCGTGTCAGGCTCGTCAGAGGCAAAAGGTGGCTCGAAGTTTAAAGTGCCGGCGATGCTGGCAATGCTGGTGTCGGCCGATCTTGCGTCCAGGTCCGGCTCATCAAAGGCCGCATCCGTTGAGAGATGCCGAGACAAGGACGCAGACACGGCGGTCTCAGGTCGATCTGCACTAGAGGCAGTCCTCGACTCTCGCGGGAGAGCTGCGTCGAATCGCGGGGTCGGGGTGTCGAGCGACCTTCGCTCGAGCTGCTTGGGCTTACGACGAGATGGAGGGCGGGATGGAGGGCGAGACAGAGAACTACTGTCAGAGCTGGAGGGAGGAGAGAAGGCGGCGGCAGCATGTGAGTACATGTATTCCGACATTGTGGTTGGTTGTACTCCCTCCCTACTACTTGCACGTTACTTTAGTAGCGTGGTAGCAAGCAAGGTGGGAATTGGGCGGCGTCTACCTACTCTCCTGACCTGATGAGCTGCAGTGGATAATTACAGTCTAGGGAGAGCTAGGGGGACCGACTCTGGCGCCCCTGCACTGGATATTGATCGTATTCATACTAGCATTGGTCGTGGTGTCCGGAAAGTTGGAGGCGGCGCCAGCCTAACATGGGCACAGGAAGACGGCGCCGAACTCAAGAGCGTGCCAAGGAGGTACCGTCCGAAGCCTCTTGCAGGGGAGGGGCTTGCCAGCGCAAAGCAAATGATTGATTGAGGGTGCGAGGGGGGAAGAAGGCCTGGGTTTGGGGAGGAGGTGATGAAATCCCCTACCTTCATCATGCCTGTGCAGGTACATGGCACAGGCCTGTAGCGGACTTGGCTGGGAGGGATGGAGCTGCGAGGTACCCCGGCGGCAGGTATCGCACCACTGAACGCGCTGCGGGAGAGGACCTCTGCGTGCGGCACCGCCTGGGCTGGCCTGGGCTGGCTGGCATGGGCGGAGGTACACAGTGCTGTCGGCGTGCATTGTGGCAGATGATCGCCCACTCCTAGCGGGCGGCGGATGGCAAACCCGCAGCATCCCCTCCCTTGCCCGAGACAAAACATCTTCACGTCAGGACCAGGAGCGTCTTGGCCTGGCCCGCCCACCTGTTTCCGATCGCACAGCAAACGCAATCAATCAATCGTCGTGCAACGCGAGCCGACGTGCGATGACGCCTGGGCTGCCGTTACACTGCGGTGGGCGCCCCCCAGTGGCCGCCAAGGTCGCCGCTGCATGCGGTCTGCACAGGCGTATGATTACTTATCGAGCACCTGTCTGTCTGTCCGGCATACCTTACTCCCATGCCTTGCCGCACAGTTAATTTCTACCGGTCGTGCGTAGAGTGGATGAGGCAGCTGCCTTGCCTCATCGGGGGTCTGCTTACCACCATCCTTGTCCCCAGCCCTCGTTCATACCCTCCACCAATCCTTCTCGTAACAATTGCCTGTTCTTCGCGCTCGGCCAGATACAGGAGGCAAATTCCATGGTGGGAAAAGCAAGGCATTTGAATCTTATTTTCTCTCCGCATGGGAAGGGGGACTCTGTCTGCCCGTCGGGCCCGTCCGAGGGCACAGCACTATTCGTTGAAGCCAAGAACTGTTCCGGCGATGACATGACCCGCCAGAGCTGCGCGTCGTCGGCCGAAACTGCCAGAATACGCATGTGCCAGGGATGATTTCGTTTCCGACGGGGTGGCATGAAAATTGACATCGCCGCCCCCAACCACCCCGCTGTTGGCTGTAGGTTGGCCGCCCTGTTCATTATTCCCTCTCTCCTTCGAGCCCAAGTGCGGTTCTCAAACTCCTCAAAATGAACGGGGAGACGCTCCCGAGAGTGGACGGTCTGCCCCTGCGCTCTATGAGAGACGGGCTTAGGCCTTACTTGAGCCACAAGCCCCGTCCGTATCCACAGTGTTCTTCAAGACGTGTTCCCGGTGTAAGCAGCCATGCTGTAATTACACGCTTGTTACATTTACGTAGCATAGGTGGGCATCCGTGGTAAGATGCTCAGTGATCTGGCGCACTCGTCCAGTCCAGCATAGTTTGTCCCTCCGGCCTGATCCTTCATCAGTTCTCGGTGGACTGGTACCGCTGCGTTGGGTTCTCGTCTATTGCCCAGCCTACCTTGCTTAGGCCTGGCGGCAGATTTCGTAGCTGTTCGGTGGAGCTAGATCCCCCGCACAGGAGAAACTCTCACACATCTCGATCTCCCCTAGAAATTTCAGGTGAGCGAGCTCGGTTCAACATCAAAGTGAAGCATGAACCATCATGTTCCAGAGAATGTCAGCGCTCTCACCTGAGCCAAGGCTCTAGTTAGTGCCCTCCGTGCGCAGCCAGGCAGGCGGCATGAGGCCGCTCGTTGATTTGTGTCGCGTGGTGTGGCCTCGAGAAGATCCGCTACTAAGTGCTGGTGTTCCTTGTCTGCAACTCATGCACATCATTCATGCCCCAACTGTTAGGCCGCACGGCACTTCATCCCCCTACCCAGGCCGTTGAGCGACGTGGTGTTTGCTTTTTGGGCACTGTGCTGTCCTGTAGGTTATATATGCAAACACTCAGTTCCACACCAACACATTCAGATGATAACTATAGTGACGTGGCTTGCTTGACTCCCTCGAGGGAAGCTTGACCTACCGAGGCAATCTGTTCTTGCCCGCCTCACCTCTGCATTCTAAATGTTGCCAAGACCAAGAATTTTCTGTTTATTTCCCCTCTTTCCTCTTATTACTTACAGGGCTGCCCCGGTCATGATCTACATTATTGCTGACTTTGATATGACCGCAGACGGCACTTGGCTCGCCATCTATGAGAGAACGTTCCCGCCAGCCCACAACAAAGCAACGTTGTCAGTTGAGACCGCGTATGTTCACGAGTCACTTTACAGGGTTATTTACTCTGCAGATGACAAAAGAAGAGCACTAGCTTTGCTCTAGGTACCTAGGTAGGCCAGAAGGTAGCTCATTAGCTAAGCTGTACCTTTGGGCACTGGGCTCATCCCAGTCTAGTTGGCTTAAGAGGCGTTGGGAGAGCCAGGGACTACGTATTTGTCAGTACGCAGTTAGCTCACCAGCTTGGCAGGATAGATTGATCTATGCTGGATGCATTTATACGTCTCCTACACTTGGTTGAGGTCAGCATACACATTGTATGCATATTGGCAGGATGCGGGAAGATTGTTTTCCGCTAAACCATGCTCCCAAAACTTTCTCTTTCGCTTCGATCAACGTTCGCGAAGGCATATACCGTCTGCAGGAGCGTTGAATCGAGCCAACCAGAGCGGGCACTACTCGAAGTAGCTGTTGAAGTACTGAAAACATAATTGGCGGGGTCAACGGCTCCGTGGTCGAGGACAGCCGTGATTGTGCTCCACGCCTCGAGGGATGGAGGGCACAGTGGGAGTCCAGACAAGGCAGCTGGTGCATGGCTGTTCCAAAACATGTCGGCCTAGTTGCTATCCGTAGTCTAGCTCGTAGATCAAGCAATCCGACCAAGGTTTTGGTTTGGGCAAGCACAAAGCCAAACCCAAATGCCAGTGTCGAGACTCGCGCCGGAGGGGAGCACGTGATCTGGATCCGGAGCATCAGATCTCCCGGTGGGCGGTGGCCGGAAGTCGCTCCATCCAGCATCTCGAGCCTGTGACAAGGAGCCCGCAAGCATTGATTCAGTTTGATATCGCCAGTTACGTATTCCTTCGCCAGAGCAACATTATTTTTTCAGGCCTGTACGGCCCTGGGACTCGTGCACGCTCTCCTTTTCGCCTCCTGTATGTCTCATACCTTCACCACAGTTAGCGCCGCTCGCCCCTCCTGCGTGTCGCAAGAATCAGATTGTCCACCACCACAACTGATATCGCTGCCTCCATCCCCCGGTCCCGCCTCATACTAACTTGTCTCTGGCAGGCGATCGCTACGTACTCCGATAGGAAAATTTTGTCCATCGTCGTGCCGGACCAGCGCCATTCCTCTGTCTCGGCCAGCCTCCTCTGCCGTTTTTGACACCCAGCCGATCGATTTCTCCGCCTTTCGCTGCACACTCTGGCTCCTCCTCTCTCTTCCCCATGGGCCATTGAACCTCGAAGGCGACCTCCCGATTACGCAACACCGTCACCAATGAGCCTGTAAGGATAGTTGTTTGTGCGAAGCCCTTGCGCGAGCACCACTCAACTTATCTGCTGCTCTCTTGCTTTGAGTCACGTCGAGCCACCATCGTCGCCACCAACCACCACAACTGCAAACCACGACCGATCACGACCTATCACCGCCGACCCTGCTGAAATCGTCTCTAGTCTCGTCCACGTCAATTTCGAGGCAGATGCACACCAACGCCTATCTACGTAACCACGACAGAGCATCTCCTACCTCCATATACCCAGTCATACCGTCTGGAATTTTCAACGACCAATTGCTGCCGTCAAACTCGGGCTGCCGGGCACGCACAACTCTGCCGGCATGTACTCCCAAAATCACCAGCAGGGCCATAATGCCCGCCTAAACGGCTCTGGTCGCGGCGGGATGCCTCCCAATCTCCTGTACAATTTCCAACAGCACGCGCAGCATCAACATCCCTCCCAGGCCCAGCACCATCAAGGACTACAGCCCGACCACCTGACATCCTCGAACGGGCTCGGTCACCACTCATCCTATCCATCCGGTGTCCTGGGGAGCTCAACGCCGTTCAATTCCGGCCTTCAGAACGGCCACTCAGCTTCGAGAGCTGGCCAAGCTCCGCAGAACGAGATGTGGGCGGAGCAAATTCGGTTGCACGAGGAATCTAAGCGAGCTCACTCTGCAATGACCGATCAACAACAACCGCACTATTATGCGCGACTTAAGGCATCGGAAAACAAAGGCATTGGAGCCCCTCCCCCTCCTTCCACCAAAACCCAAGCCGATGGCGAAAACGACTCGTCCGATAGGAGGAAACCGTGGACGTCGGCCGAGGAGAACAAGAGGCAGGACTGGCACAACATGGATATGAGTGGCCAGGGGCTGCGAAATCTGGCTACGGAGCTGTTCAGGTACTCGTTTCTCAATGAGCTGTACATTGCCTCGAACAAACTCACCCGCCTACCAAAGCAGATTGGTGAGCTGAGGCAACTACGGCACCTGGACGCTTCATACAACCAGATTAGCGAACTTCCCGCCGAGCTCGGCATGTGTACATACCTGAAGCAGCTGCTGCTCTTCAACAACAATATCACAGAGTTGCCATTCGAGCTTGGATCGTTACACATGCTGGAGATGCTTGGCATTGAGGGCAACCCTCTGCACACCGATGTCAAGCAGGAGATTATGGAAAAGGGAACCAAGAGCTTGATCAATGCCCTCAAAGAGGGCGGACCTGGTAAGGAAAAGACGACCTGATTTGCTGGTATGAACGACCATTTGCTGACCTCTAGCTATAAAGTGCCACGTTCTCCCCCTCCCCGCCAACCCATCACTATTCAAGAGGATGTGTCCCCCAACTTGGAAAGGATCAAGGTCTTCTCTTGGAATATTCTCTGCGACAAATACGCCACCCCTCAGACCTACGGATATACGCCGACTTCCGCGCTAAACTGGGACTACCGCAAGGATTGCGTTCTAGAAGAGCTTCGCGAGAGGGATGCCGATTTCCTCGCCCTACAAGAAGTGTCCACCGAGGCCTTCAAGGAGGACTTAAGCCCCCCTCTGGCCCGGCTCGACTACAAGGGAGTCCACTGGCCCAAATCTCGAGCCAAGACCATGTCCGAAAAGGACGCTCTCTCCGTTGACGGTTGCGCTGTCTTCTACAAGCAGAGCAAGTTTATCCTGCTAGACAAGCAACTAATCGAGTTCGCCACCATTGCTATCAATCGACCCGACATGAAGAACCAGCATGACGTGTTTAACCGAGTCATGCCCAAGGACAACATTGCTGTTATTTGCTTTTTCGAGTCCAGGCTGACCGGTGCTCGGATCATCCTTGTCAACGTTCATCTCACATGGGACATTGCCCTCGCAGATGTCAAGGTTATCCAAACTGGTATCTTGATGGAGCATGTCACCAAGCTCGCAGAAAAGTATGCTAGGATGCCAGCCGTGAAGGATAAGAAGATGATCACCGTACCACTGGCGGACGACGGGGTGATGCCTCCACATGTGGAACCCGGGCCAAGCCAGGAATACCGCACCAATACCGAGATCCCCTTGCTTGTATGCGGAGACTTCAACTCGACGGAAGACTCCTCTGTGTTTGATTTGATGTCCAAGGGTCGCGTACCGCCCGATCACCTGGAGCTAGGTAATTATCAATACGGAAGCTTCACTCGTGACGGCATAGAGCACCCTTTCAGCCTGCGCGACTCCTACTCGCTCACCAAGGGCACCGCCGACGAGCTAACGTTCACAAACTACACCCCAAGTTTCACCGGCGTGCTTGATTACATCTGGTACTCGACCAACACGCTCGAAGTGGTCAATGTGCTTGGGCCTCCCGACGCTAGCTACCTGTCGAGGATCCCCGCCTTCCCATACTGGCACTACCCAGCTGATCACATCCAAATCATGACCGAGCTCGTCATCAAGGGGAGGAAGGACAAGAAGCAGCTGCCGGAGCGGGAGGTGGATTTCGGCAGCGGCCGCGGGTGAGACGAACGTTTGTATCGGACTAAGCCAGATGGATGGATACACAAGTACTTGGAAAGACATGTCACATGAGAGGACATATTACTCTCAGCTGGGGAATATGGACGGGATTATGGGTGTCTCTCTACCTGGATTGTAGGGCTCTTTTCTTGGCTTTTGTGGAACGGAGTTTCCGGATTTCTTGCTCAGGAAGGGAAAGGGAGTGTCGCAAGGGGGAGGGTCGCTAACGGGGACATATAGTGTTAGTGCCATGTAAACGGACGGTGATAAGCGAGGTCGTGGAGCGGCTTTGTTTGGAATTGCTGGATTTTTATTCATTCTTCATTTCATGCGGAGGGGGGATGTTGTTTTCCCCCACGTTCCCACTCCTTTACGTGTGTCCGTGTGTGATGTTACGCGGGATTCGAACGCCCTTTTGTTTGCTTGGCTCCGATGTATCGCGACGTGCCAGATGAAAAAAAAACTGCTGTGGTACCCAAAATCTGACGCTCAAAGCACAAATTAATGGCCGACGCGGTTGAACCTGAGATGAACACCTGGTGAGTTTGTGCACGGCACCCTGTATTATCTGGTCCTACAGCTCCTCCTGCGTGTCCTTGGGTGATGCCGGCGACTTGATCAAATGGAACTTCTCCTGCCGTCCATACACCCACTCGAACTTGCCGTCGACCCAGTATACGTCCTCCTCCAGGGGGAACTTGAGGGTCGCATTGCGCTCGGGGACGTAGTGCTCGGCGAGCAGCTCCACACTGTACCATGTTCTGTTGAGGAGTGGGAGTTCTCCGAGGACGGGGACCTCGTCTTGGAGGTTTGTCATGCCTGTGATACGGTCAGAAATCTTGTCTGTAAACTTTAGATGACTGTAGTTGTTCTTCCACTCCGGATTCAAGTGAATGGTATCTTAACGGCCTGATGGCGGCTTGCCAGTTAAGAGGTCATGGTTTCAAATTCTCCTCAGTTGGCTCAAGACTTAAGCCGTCGGACTTTCATGAGATGGCAGGCCACTGGTCAAAGTCACAGTGAAACATCCACGATTTCAGGAGCATTTCGGGTCGAGATTTGGAAATAAGAATAGGAAACTTACCGATAACAGCACCTGCAGCGTGTCCCCAGTCACCGATGGCATGGCAGTAAATCTTGCCCTCAATGCCCTCCTCGGCCATCTGGGCCCGGGTTGCCTGCAGGATCTCATTGCCAGTCTGTCCGGGGATCATCTTCTCTCGCACCAAATCCTGGAGGCGGTTGCCCTTCTTCAAGCCCTCCTTCAGCCCTGATGGAACATCATCCTCCGTCTCCCCAGGGTACAGAACATACCCAAGATGCTGCGTATCGGTATTCATCCCCAGGGCAGTCACGCCAAAGTCAACATGCAAAAGGTCCCCGTACGCAATCGCCCGCTGCGGACCATCCCCCCAGGGGAACGCCTCCTCGATGATGGACACGCTGGGCTGGAACCAGGTCGTGTAGTTGAGCTCCTGGATCTTCTCACGCATCCACCACTCCACGTCCGCGGTCGTCGTCCTCCCGGGGGTGATCACCCGCTCGCTAAAGGCCTCGCCGATGATGGCCCAGGTCGTCTCCTGCAGCCGGCGGTACCACGGCAGCCTCGCCTCGATCTGCGTGCCGATGAACTCGAGGTTGACCAGCGGCCTGACGACGAACCGCTCCGTCCACTCGGGGCCCAGGGCCTTGGCGATGGCGTCGCTCTCGCCCGCGTGCAGGCCCGAGGCGAACGCCAGCTCCGGATGGGCATTCACGGCGATCTGGCGCGGCTGGTGGCGGCGCAGCGCGTCGGCCAGCTCGTCCCAGACACCAGGAGTATTGTCGATCCAGGTGTAGGATTCCGCCTCGTCGTCGGCGACGAAGAGGGTGGTGGTGCGGCGGCGGGCGCTGAACTGCGTGGCCGCCTTGAGGGGCCAGAAGACGACGTCCTCGGCGTACTCGCGCTGGCTGATGAGCCAGGCGTCAACGCCGTGGGAGCGGAGGATGCGCGGGATCGAGGCCCTGCGCTCGGCCGTCCAGGCGTCCTGGAGGGCGGCCTGGTCTCGCAGCGGGGGGAGCTGCTGGTAGGTGGCCGTTGCCGCGAGGGCTCCGTGGACGGCGAGGGCGGCCAATTGGAGTGATGAGAGCTTCATGATGGGTTTTCGCGAAGCAGGATTTACGTAAGAATCAAATCATGGGTATCATGTATTGGGGGGTCGGTGGATGGAAAAGGGCGGGTGCTGGAGGGTTGTCACGGAGGATGGCGAGATGCCTGATTGAGGAAACTCCACAGAGCAAATACCGCTTCGATATTGACCGTCCTGGCGGATCGTCGCCTGAACATGACATGGGTCTGGAGTAACAAAATTCGGATGATCGGCTGCTACGATTGCAGCTATTGGTTTCGGATGGATGTGTGTGATCACGCAATTGCTATGTCCAGATTGTCAGGAACAGATATCAGCTAACTATCTCTAGTTTCAAGATTCTAGTTTCAAGATGATGATATACTTCTGAGCTCTGAGCTCTTCCTTGGATGTACAATTCGTCAATCCCGGGATCATGTACAGACGATATCTACTCCTCTGATTCGTCATACATACAGGGGTCCTGATAGTTGGTCGATGGAGAGATCAGAGCTCATCTCATAGCACAACATCAAGAGCCTTCTTCCTAGGTTTAGTTATACTGTAGTAGCTTCATAGACTTTCTCCAAGTTTTGTCTTATATATTGTTTCTCCCAAGGCTGACTTTCTATGGCTCACTCTACCTCAACACGCAAATGTGTCCTTAAGATAGATAAGAAGGAATCGTTTTCTTCCTGCCCTCAGGTAAAGGTTTCCAAAGAAACCGAGCTGCCAGTTTCGTTCACCGTAAAGTTCCCCCCGGCTTTGTTCAAGCAAAGGTTGGCGATGAGCTTCGACTCTATCTTTGCCATGGCCCGCTTATCAGACTCAAGCTCTCATCTCCTACGATTTCGGGTGGTTCTGTCAACGGCAAGAACCAAAATTATATCTCAAGATATCTCTCTCGACCAAAATCAACGTCACGGGTGTGTAGAGCGGTGCGGAGCCCCAGGATACTTCCACCAGCTTTACTGTGCCATGAAGCCTGGTACGTGTCCAAGCTGATCCGGAGATTCTTGCAACTCAAGCTTGGATTATCATTAGTATTCTTCGTAAAAAATATGATTCATGTTAGTACGATTCTCGTTGTTTATGCATGTCTTGTAAAGCATCCTAAAGTCAACCCAGAGCAAGTAGGATTTAGGTGTGGCGGAGAAAAAATGTAGAGCATATTGCAGCTCGGAAGCTTAAAGAAGCGATTTCCAATCTTCCACCAAGATTGCCTACGAGAATGGATATCGTGTCACACTGAGTCTTCTTCCAATTTGCCCCAAATAATGCAGACAGGGCTTCAGTTATACACTTTCTGCCCAATGGCCCAAGCCAGCGTTTGTCACATTCCTGCCCATCAGCTGCTCTTGCTGACTGGACCTCTATCAGGCCGGAGTGCTATTAGCGATACAGAAGTGCCCATTTTCAGAGCGATGACGGACCGACCAACTTCCTCCTTTGAGAATCAGCAATCATATTACAGCTGTAGCACTTCGGGTCTGTCGTATCCTTCCCCAGCCTTACCTCCTCCTAGTGAGCAGATGACTGATCTGCGGCACTAGGCCTACCTTGTCCTGATACTCGTGGGGCGACCTCGCGTGGTCTAAGTCGGCCTCGACGCAGACGGCCGTAGAATTAGCAAGAGTAGGGGTCATATATCTAGCTGATTACATCGTACGGGCGATTTCGGCAGCTGTAGCAAATTGTGGCCTAAGGATTCGTGTCCCTGAAACCGTTCGCTCAGCTTTGGACGCAAGTTTCGAGCTTAAACCGGTGGCTAAGGCTGCGTGTGGTTTTGCTATTTCTGACCAAAGGGTCGTATCCAAGCTGAGCTTGGCGGAGCTTTGCCCGACCGCCGCCACTTGCTGCCTTTCTTTCAGCCTACCCGACACCGACACCGACCAGGCCTCAACTTCGACTCGACAACCTCGATCAAAGACCGTGACTGCAAACCGTCTACGAACCCCCTCCGAGCCGATTCTTGCTACACATCACCGCTGCCATGGCGTCCAGCCGAGACCGTCGTATAGCCAAGGAGCTAGCCGACATCACCTCGGACCAGGCCAACTCAGGCGTCTTCGCTGCTCCCGCCGACGGCGTCTCCCTCAAGAGGCTCGTGGGCACAATCAACGGCCCTCCCGACACTCCATATGCCGGCGGTACCTTCGAGGTCGACATCACCATCCCCGATGCCTACCCCTTCAAGTCGCCGTCCATGAGCTTCAGGACCAAAATCTGGCACCCCAATGTCAGCAGTCAGACGGTAAGTCAGGAAGCACAACAAAACAATCAACCCCACCAAACCCCTCCTACCTCGAAACCCTTTGCCCCCCTTCCCTCCTGAAGCCAGTTCATCCAGGAAACTGACGAGCCCTCTCTTTCCCCCTCACAGGGTGCAATCTGCCTCGACACCCTCGGCTCAGGCTGGTCGCCCGTCCAGACCATCAAGACCGCCCTCCTCTCCATCCGCATGCTCCTCGAGTTCCCGAACCCCAAGGACCCCCAGGACGCCGAGGTCGCCAAGATGCTGCTCGACGACCCCGAGCGGTTCGCCCTCATGGCGCACGAGTGGGCCGTCAAGTACGCCGGCGCACAGAGGAGGGATCTGAACCTGAGCCAGTACAAGAACGAGGGCAGGCCGTCCTCGCACGACGATGACGTGAGGAGGTAAAAATGCCCCCCCTCCCCCTCCCACTCCCACTCCAAACCAACCCGCTCTCCCCCCCTCAACCCAAACAGCGAAATTGACAGCAGGTTCTTTCTTAGGTACAACGGCTACAATAAGGAGCTAGTCGGCCGCTTCGTCAGCATGGGCTTCGACGTCGACGCCGTCGTGGAAGCCTTCCTCTACGTCGGCGTCGACCGCAACCACGGCCAGGACTACGAACTGGAGGAGCGGTACATGGGCGACGTCACCGCCCGTCTCCTGGGGGAGTGAACGTGGCTTTGCGAGAAAAGAAAAATGCCCCCTCCTCTTTATATATATACTCTTGCTTTTGGTTTCGGATGGATGAAACGAGCTGCAACGTGAAATTTGCCCTCAGTTTGCTCTCTTCTTCCTGGATTTTGGGCGAGGGTGTGCCGCCCTTGGGACGTTTATTACCAGCATGGATGGGGAGTTTATATGGTTGTTTATATTGTCATTTGCGCTAGATTCTATAATAGTGGTTTCCACGCAGCCTGCCGATGAATTGATTTAGTTTAGGGTCATCGTGCTGTCCCAGAGGCTCAGAGTCATCGTTTTTCTCGAAGGGGGTGCAAGTGCGGGCTCATTGGCCTAGTGGTGGAGCAAGCTGTGTATTCTTATGTTCAAGATATTGCATTAAGTTTTTGGAGGGCCGTGAACATTCGATATTCTCCCCCGCCGCCGGCGACGTATATTCGCCTTCTCTACATGTCATCAAAATTTGAAGGACGGAGGGTCAACTGATAGGTAGGACCCATCTCGCCCAAATAAAGCTCAGTAACCGTTATGCCATTTATTCACATCCAGACATATGAAAGGGAAAAGTGAACTTGAGAAACAAGGGTCAAAACAATATCGCACTCCCGCGGTTCAACCAGCCCGGCCCGTTCTATCAGATGCGTACGGTAATGGAATAAATTAAAAGAACCAACCCGCTATGGTCGCGGCGGCCTGTCCTCCTCCCCTTCACAGACACTCCTCTCTCCCCATCTCATCCCGAGAGAGATGGGGGTCGACAGACGAAAGAGTGCAGTAGATTACAGCAGGTCGCGGCGGACGAACTCGTTGTAGAGGGCCTTGCCCAGACCAGCTGGGGAGCGCTCGACGATGACGCCGGCGTCCTCCAGAGCCTTGATCTTGGTGTCGGCACCACCCTTGCCACCGGAGACGATGGCACCGGCGTGACCCATGCGGCGGCCGGGAGGAGCAGAGATACCGGCGATGAAGCTGACGACGGGCTTGCCGCCGTTGACGGTGTTGGCCTCCTTGAGGAACTCGGCGGCGTCCTCCTCGGCGGAACCACCAATCTCACCAATCATGATGATACCGTCGGTCTCGGGGTCCTCGGTGAAGACCTTGAGGCAGTCGATGAAGTTGGTGCCGCTGAAGGGGTCACCGCCGATACCGACGACGAGGGATTGGCCGAGGCCAGCCTGGGTGGTCTGGTTGACGGCCTCGTAGGTGAGGGTGCCGGAACGAGAGACGATACCGATGCGGCCGCGCTTGTGGATGAAGCCAGGCATGATACCGATCTTGCACTGGCCAGGGGCGATAATACCGGGGCAGTTGGGGCCGACCAGGCGGGTCTTGTTCTGGGTCTTCAGCATGCTGGTGATGCGGACCATGTCTGAGAGGATCGTGTTAGGAGTCGAGCATCGTAAGGTGGGTGGTTCGACCTGTGGGGAACATACCATGCTGAGGGATACCTTCGGTGATGCAGACCGCCAGGGGAATCTCAGCCTGGAGGGCTTCCTCGATACCGGCAGCAGCCAGAGGAGGACTTTGCAAAATTGTTAGCTGGTACAAGAGTCGGAGACGGCGGCGGAGGCAATAGCGTACGGGACGAAGAGGGCGGTGGCGGTAGCACCGGTCTCCTTCACAGCTTCGCTAACATTCTTGAAGACGGGCAGGTCGAGATGAGTCTGGCCGGCCTTTTTGGGGTTAGTTCCACCGACGACCTGAGTTCCTAAGGGGTTGGAGTTAGCATCGACAGGCGAATGAGGTGGCTAATTGAGGTTTCGCAATCGTGTGGCGGTTGCTGCTCGTACCGTAGTCGATGGCTTGCTGGGCGTGGAAGCTAGACGAGGCCCCTTTGTTAGTAAGACGTTGACCGAAGGGGGGTAAAGCGTCAAGAGCTTCAACTTCAAGCTAAAGGTCCAACAAAGGGTCGCACCACTCACGTTCCCTGCCTGCCAGTGAAACCTTGGTAGATGACCTTGGTATCACTGTTGATACGCAGGTTGTTGATTGTCTGGGCGTAAGGCAAGCTGCTGGAGCTGTATGCGCGACTGGCGATCTGGCGCAAAGCGGCCGGTCGTAGAGTCGATCTGGGGAGGGACTGCATTGTGAAAGGGGGTTAAGGGGAAGAAAGAAGAAAATCCAGGTGGAATGGCCGCAAAGTCAATTGCGGACGGGGGGTTTTGATGTTCTGGAAACCTTGCTCGGGGAGTGGAAAGTCACAAGCCTAGGTGATGCGAGGAAGCATCATATCTGGAACCAGTATGCAGGCCATATGAACATTTCCATTTTCAGTCGGGTGTGTTCGGACCCTCGGTGTGATTTTTTCCGAAATTGTCGGTTACGTTGCGCCGTTGCCGAGTAAAAAGCCCTGGAGCTGTGCAGAGACGGTTAGTGACGGCCATTTACAGTGGTCCGGTAGGGTTCAGACGCAGGGCCAGGGAATTGCCGTAACAGACGGCGATCAATGATCGAATACGGTGGCAGCCGTTTTAGACGGAGTTTGATGACCTTTAGCCCCACCAAAGTTTTTTGAAGTCAGTCATGGCGAGGGGCAGCTTGTGAATATCTAGCGTGTGGCGGACGCCTTGACTTGACGAACCCTGGAGGCACGTCTTGTTTGTGACGATACGAACGAGAACAGAATTTCAACATGGCGACCACCACCGTTACTGCAACCACGTCCAAGAAGAAGGCGGCCGACCTGGTGCCTGAGACCGAGCGGTACCTGCGCTGCTGTGCTGATATCGCAAACGCCCTGATCGAGGACCATGAGGCGACCAAAGATGGCCGTGCCGGGCGCGACATCAACTTGAACTCTCTCAGGGCCAAGCTCTCCAAGAAGCACAAATTGAAGAACATCCCTCCTCTCACGGCCATCATTGCGGCGATTCCCGAGCACTACAAGAAATACATTATGCCAAAGTTGATCGCAAAGCCAATTCGTATGTCATTCACCATTGGAGGCTTGGGATAGATCCAAGGTCGCTAACACAGCAAAGGAACGTCATCTGGAATTGCGGTCGTGGCAGTCATGTGCAAGCCTCATAGATGTCCTCACATTGCTTACACGGGCAATATCTGTGTCTATTGCCCTGGTGGTCCAGACTCCGATTTCGAGTACAGCACCCAGTCCTATACCGGATACGAACCAACGTCAATGCGAGCGATCCGAGCACGATATGATCCTTTCGAGCAGGCAAGAGGCCGAGTGGACCAACTCAAGTCGCTGGGCCATTCAGTAGACAAGGTCGAATACATTATCATGGGAGGCACATTCATGTCCCTACCCACATCATACCGCGAAGATTTCATCTCACAACTGCATAATGCTCTCAGTGGCTACCAGACATCGAATGTCGATGAAGCAGTGGAGGCTGGAGAAATGAGCAATATGAAGTGCGTGGGAATTACGATCGAGACTCGCCCCGACTACTGTCTGCAGCCCCACCTCACTGATATGCTGCGATATGGATGCACCCGTTTGGAAGTCGGTGTGCAGTCTCTCTACGAAGATGTGGCAAGAGACACGAATCGAGGCCATACAGTAGCAGCTGTGGCAGAGACTTTCTGCCTGGCCAAGGATGCTGGCTTCAAGGTAGTGAGCCACATGATGCCGGATCTCCCCAATGTGGGAATGGAGCGCGATTTGGACCAGTTCAGAGAATACTTTGAAAGCCCTGCCTTCAGAACCGATGGTCTGAAGATCTACCCTACTCTTGTCATTCGCGGCACTGGTCTGTACGAGTTGTGGCGAACTGGACGCTACCAGAACTACACGCCTAATGGTCTCATTGATCTCGTCGCCAGAATCATGGCTCTCATCCCCCCCTGGACTCGTATCTACCGTGTTCAACGGGATATTCCTATGCCTCTAGTTTCATCTGGTGTCGAGAATGGCAATCTCAGAGAGCTAGCTCTGGCCAGAATGAAGGACTTTGGAACCACTTGCCGAGACGTACGCACTCGAGAAGTCGGCGTGAACGAGGTGAAGAATAAGATTCGTCCCAACCAAATTGAGTTGGTCCGAAGAGACTACACTGCCAACGGCGGGTGGGAGACCTTCCTCGCATACGAAGATCCCAAGCAGGACATCTTGGTCGCGCTCCTGCGACTGCGCAAGTGCACAGAGAAATACACATACCGAGAGGAACTCACGGGTCAGCCAACTAGTATGGTGCGTGAGCTCCACGTCTACGGTACAGCTGTTCCGGTGCATGCCAGAGACCCTCGAAAGTTCCAGCACCAAGGTTTCGGTACGCTGCTTATGGAAGAGGCAGAGAGAATCGCCAGAGAGGAGCATGGCAGCGAGAAGCTCAGCGTTATCTCTGGCGTTGGCGTTCGAAGCTATTACAAGAAGCTTGGGTTCTGGCTGGACGGACCGTACATGAGCAAGTGGGTTGATGGCAGGGAGCAGCCCAAGGAGTAAGGGTACATCCAATTACAAAAAGCATATCATGAGTTACCGATCATATAAGGGACATTTCCGATAGGTCTTCGAGGTTGATTTACAGGGGCGTTGGGTGGTATTGGTTCTTTTTGGCATACCTTAGGCAAAACACACACTGAATTGATGTTACTTAAATGGTTCCAATGCGAACCGCCTTCCAGAAACAAATAACGACCCACCTCCGTCTTAAATTGAGAAAACGGCAGCACGGGCTCAGAGAAGCCTCGCCTCGGGAGTGAAAGCTCATCTGCCGTTAGCGCCCGTATATTCTATCGGTGGAGTCAGGATTGATGCCGTCGCTGCCTTACGTAACCTGCCTCGGCTTCTAGCGGTTTGCCCACTGACCAAGATTTCCGGGCATATGAATGGCCGACATTGCTGAGTCAGCACTTCGCCAATCTGCAGCATCTCGGGATATTATCATCGTTCCTAGTCGACCCGATTGGACTCGGCAGCATTCACTTCCACGGAGCCAGGGGGCCAACACAATGTACCGGCAGAGCCATGTCAACTGGTCGTAAGGACGCCTCCGCTGCGGCCGTCCTGCCTCCGGGGACTGACCCAGCGGCTCACCTCTCAGACCGTCCCCCGCGGAGCAACGCCGCCACGGCCGCTTCTGCTGCCTCTGTCCGAGCCTTGAGCGCCCAGCTCGTAGCCTTCTACTTCCGTGCGCCGGCCAAGGCCTTCTTCCGCACGCGGGTAGACTATCTAGCCTATGCACGGACTGTCCATCAAGCCCATATCGAGGGGCTGAGGAAGACCATCACAAGGGATGCCAACGCCTCGCGGCTGCAGGTCTTCCTGAAAGAGGCGTGGCTGTTACTTCGTGGGACGACGCCTGGGGTGTTGACCACCGCCATTAGACACCAGGGATGGAGTGTCATTCCGCAGCAGATTCTCCCACCGCTTATTGCAAATGTGGGCGTTGGTGCGGTTCTCTACACCAGCTACCTTCAGATTCTTGGCCAGCTTCACGAGGAAAGCGCCCAAGCGCGCAAGAGGGTGTATCCGCCTCCTGATCCTTCTCACACTTTCACAGCGGGTCTGCTAGCTGGCAGTATCCAGAGCGTTATCGCGGCGCCCCTGGATGCGTTACAGGCACGTTTCGACCATCGGGATATGATGCCAAATGACGGGAGCAACAGGCCTCGTAGCATGTGGAGTTTCGGCTCCGAGAAGCTCAGAGAGATCGGCCTGCGTGGCATATTTGCCGGATGGGGCCTCTCCCTAGCTAAAGACGGTCTGGGAAGCGCCATCTTCTTCAGCACATTCGAGTATGTCAAGGCCCAGGGATACTACCGCTTCGTGACCTGGTATTACGGCGGTCTCGCGGAGGATACTGTGGATCTTCTAGCCAGCAAGCGTCCGACCCGTTCGCACGAAAACGACACGACAACCATCATCCGGCCGCATTATGCTCTGGAGCCTACGTTCCTACTTCTCGCAGGCACATGCGCATCGCTGTCACAGCAGGTTCTCCTCCATCCGCTCACCCACTTCCAAGTCAAGCACTGGGACCACCTCGAGGATCTCGACGCCAAGGCGGCGCGTTTCCGGGCCTCTCGGGCTGCGAACCCGGACAAGCCATGGCGTCGATGGCGGATGCTCCGCGCGTACTACCACGCCTACCAAGAAACGTGGGCCGTTTGCGGCGCCGAAGCCAAGACCGAGGGTCTGGGTATCGTGAAATGGCTGTACCGCGGGTTCTGGTGGAACGCGATCCGACAAGTCCCCAGCACCAGTGCCGGGCTGATCATCTTTGAGCTCATTAGGCGTAAGTACGGATTCGGCTCCGAGGAGGTGAGAATCACCAAGGACGGATACGACATTTTACTGCATTAGAATCACATATTTTGGATACACTTCTATATAGGAAGATGTGGCGAAGGCGTCTGGAGATCAGGGATAGATATTCTTGCTTTTGTTTTGCGGCAACGTTATGAGGAACAACACATCGCCACTTTGGGTCGGATTAGAATGACTTTGTATTTTTGGCCTGTTAGATAGATGGACACAGGCATCAATAGCCTCTCTGGAAAGATACATATACGCATCTCATATATTTCTTGTTCTAGTCCAGGATATAGAGCCGTGCTCAAATAAAGGATGGAGGTGATGTTGCTAGTAACCTCTCCCACTATCTACGATCGCTCATCCTAGGCCAAGGTTAGTATTATTCGATATATAGCGTGCCCAAGATACAAGTACATGCTAATTTTTTTTTTTGGGAACCACAATAATTTGGTAGTCTCAATAAGTCTATGAATACGAGGCCAAGGAACAATTATCTGCTGACAAAAGAAAATATAGTGAAAGTCAAAGACACTGCAAAACACCCAGTTACTCCAAATAACGCCCAAGTCAAACTAACTCCCAAATACTTGCTACTCGATCACTGCGCTGGCTTCTCGTCAGCCTTAGCAAGTCTCTCCTTCTCGTCAGCAAGAGACGAAGCATACAGCTCCTCATCCTTATCCGAGTACGCAGGGACCTGCTCCGTCTCCTCAGTGTCAGTAACCCTGACCTCGGGCATGATGGCCTGCTTCTCGTCCATGATAGGCATATCCCGAGCAGGAAGGGGGGCAGCGGCCCCCTCCTCCACAACGCTGGGAGCGTACCCTCTCCCATCCTCCAGGGCCTTGAGCACCTCGAAGAGAGGTCGGGATCCCATGGGCCACGCCACATCGCCCTGCAGGATCCTCTGCGCCGTGATCCCCCGCTCCTCGTAAAAGACGGCATTGGCATCCGCCCGGTTCACAATCACGGTGCCGTCGACCTGCACGCCCGCCCAGATGCCCCGGCTCTTGATGTAGCTCCACGCCGGCCGCCCGGGGCTCGTCACCGCGGCGTTGACGGCACTGCCGCTCCCCACAGGGCCGAGCGAGACGCCAAAGTTGCCGCCCAGCGCCACCTGGGGCTTCGCGAAGGCGGCGACCTGGGCGGGCGTGTTGAGGACGCACACGCAGTCGTAGACGTCGAGGCCGAACATGAAGCCCGCGCCGATGGTGGTGACGAGGAAGGCCGAGGGGGGAGACCAGGTGCCGTCCGGTCTGCGGGCGGTGACGAGGCCCGAGCCGCCGGCGAGGGAGCCGTGCCAGGCGCCTACGCGGGCGGTGTTGAAGATGGCGAGGCCGGCGGCGTTGTGGAGGACCTTGGGGGGAATCTTGACCATGGACTTGCGGGTCAGGCCGGTCGGGTGCTTGGGGCCGTTGGAGTTGGGTGGTTGGGAGGAGCTGTCGAGGTCTACGAGATTGGATGTTAGTCAAGGTGATCGTATGGATTTCCTTAAAGGTTTTTGGGGGACATACTTGTGAAGGAATGGAGGATTCGAGCGGCCTTGACACACTCATCTTCGACGGATGTGGGCCACCAACCCTCGGAGCCGATGATGTTGGTGAGCTTGTTGACGGGCTTTCCAGTTGCGATGGTGATCTTGTGAAGACGCTCCCGGAGGGTTCGTCGCTTTGCGATGTCTTTCTCTGGGATGGGCTGGGGCTCTTGAGCTGCGTACATGGCGGGGTCGTCTGAGTAGGCGGGAGGTTGTCTCTCTTGAGTCTGTGATGGCTGCTCTTCAGTATAGACTGGGGTGTCCTCTCGGTTGTCCGACCCGGCCTTGTCGGAGGCGGGCTTGTCGGTGTAGTAGACGGTGGCAGTCATGGTGGTTGGTGTGTTAGTAAAGGTGTGTGTGTGTAGCTACTATTAGGTTAGAGAGTTAAGTGTGTGAGTAAGAGAGGTGAAAGCTAGTTGGTATGATGAAGGAGAACTCTAGATGACGAGTCTACAAAGTGGTTATATAGATATATCATCCCAGCGAAGAGGCGCATTGATGAGGCACTGCACTAGACTAACTAACCCATCCATGGGAAGATGGGCGCCTGGATAGATCTCGCCTCGCATTCGGACGATCCTCCTCTTCACATGCCGCGCTGTTGACGCAAGCATTATGCCTCTGACGCGTGCGCATTTGCCCCAACCGGAGGCGACTCGCGCGGTGTGGACGAGAATCTGTCGCGGCAGAGTGGCGCAGCTCAGCACCACACCACGAACCAGGTAACGACATGTTAACTTTGAATCCAAAGCGAGCCTTGTGGGGAAAGGGACAACTTCCTGCCGAAGACTGGCCAGCGAATTATTAATCCTGCCACCTGGACCCTGGATGTTTGTAGGGAGCCATGTCTTCATAGCCTTCGCAGCCCTGAGATTCACTGTGGATGATCCCCAGACTCACGATAAAAATACACCTGGGTTTTCCTGATTGGGCAATGAATGCGCCGGGGGCATTGGCCTGTCCCGAATTGCGTAAGAATCGACTTGCATCGCCGGCTGTAGATCCCGGCTCGATGCAGCCCTGCCACACCGAGCCCGAGGCGAGAGAGCAGCGAGCCTACAGCGAGATGAGATGCAACCTTGGAGACGCATTGATAGGATTGTTTATTTCCTCAATGTCTCAGTAATTAATCCAGAAGGGGCTTCTTGGCGTGTTTTGATAATGACTGCATTGAGTGTGAAACTCTTACCTTGGCGTGTCCATGAACGAGTTTGTAACAATCCCTACCGCATATCTAAGGTAAGCTCCTCAGGCGTCTCATGCAGTTACCCAGATGAGAAAAACCAATACTAAACCAGTATTCGCTCACAAATAATCTTTTTGTTTCCAATAAAGCATTTGAATGAAATGAAGGAGTTGAGGAATCCATCACCAGGGACTATCCAACCTGTTAAACGATAGATCTGCTATAGGGTAGCGTGGGGCACTAGATACAGCCTGCGTCATCACTTACCTGTATAAGCTTCCAAATGCTCCCATAGCTCCCACCTCACACCATCATTCACGAGACATCACAATACGCGCTGCTGCCGTGAAGCTTCCCCGTCTTCTTTATACCTGTACTAGAAACAGCCGCGATCCGTTCCATCTTCAATTCAAGGCCTGCCTCTTGACTTTTCGTTTTCAATCCCAGTGATTTCTTTTGATACTCGGTCGCGTCGCAACCACTACTCGCCCAAGCTCCCCCCAACTACCCAGCTTCTAGATCCTCTCCCTTGACCTGCCACATCTCCCCAAACCAACCGCAGCAATGTCCGAGTCCAACGGCATCCGCGGCACCGTCACCGACACCGCCGCCGGAGCCTACTCATACGCCCAGCGCTCCCTCGACCGTGTCGTCCCACCGGCCTCCCGCCAGCAGGCCTACGACCAAGTCCAGACATTCGCTCACACTCGTCCCATCCTATTCGTACGCGCTCCCCATCTCCCTTATCATAAATTCCCCTCCTCCCGTCGTAAAGAAACATAGAGTGAAACCCGCTTTGCTAATAATCAACCCCGCGCGACCTCTAGTCCGCCCTCGTCGCACAAGTAATCTTCTGCTCCACGCCCATCCTCATCTTCTCCGCCTTCGTCTTCTCGACGCTCGTCTTCGCCTTCGGCGTCGCCCTCCTCTTCTCCCTCTTCTGGTTCGGCCTCGCCCTCTTCGTCCTCGTCCCCGCGCTCCTCGGCGCCGCCTCCATCGCCGTCCTCGTCTGGGCCTGGGCGCTGGGATCCTTCCTCGCCGCCAGGTGGCTGTACGTCCAGCTCGTGGGCGGCGAGAACACTAAGGCCGTCCGTGTCAAGTCCGTCGATGGCGCCGGAGCCCCTCCGAGCAAAGAGTTCTAGTGTATAACGAGGGAGGGGAAGGGAGTTCGGGTATAAGTCTTTCTACGAAACTGTGTTGTAATATTGTTACTTGGGAGCCAACGCCAACGTGTACTGTTGACAGACTGGCATGTGTTTTTTAATTATATTTCTCATGACTGTATGATTCAAATTGGACGTGGTGGGACACAGGCTGCCACGGCGTGGGCTTGCCATTGAAGCTGGAAGCTATATTGTTTCGTTAAAGCATGGTTTTTTAGAACCTGGGTTGGAATGGCTAATGGCCAGCTCTGTAAGAAATGAATGGGTATTGGCACTTGACTCCCTTCACCCACGCTCATCTACGAGGATCGAGGCAAAGTGTGGTGAAACAATGATTCCTTTATTCGCTTCCAGTGTACAATTCGACTCGTAATGCATCTGAATCCGCTGCCCAAGAAGCCATGATTATATTTATCTTCCCGTCTAACCTGTATAATAAGTCCACTACAGATACAAGCCTTCGGGCTCGCCCTCCTGCTTCGTGCGCAGAACACGCTCGCGCGCCGATCGGAAATCGGCCATCTGGACACGCATTCTTCGCTCCCGCAGAGCCAACATACCGGCTTCAGAGCAAATGGCCTTGATATCAGCACCGGACAGATCGTCCTTTTGCGAGATGAACTCCTCCAGCTCCACATCTTCACTGAGATTCATCTTGGATGTATGCAGCGTGAAAATCTTGCGCTTCGTGTTCTGGTCGGGATTTTCAAACAGGATCTTTCGGTCGATACGTCCGGGTCGGATCAGGGCAGGGTCCAGAGTCTCAATCTTGTTGGTTGCCATGATAACCTTGACGTCGCCGCGGTCGTCGAAACCGTCGAGCTGGTTGAGCAGTTCAAGCATAGTTCGCTGGACTTCACGCTCACCACCTGACGTCGAATCGTATCGCTTCGTACCGATCGCGTCGATTTCATCGATGAAAACAATAGACGGGGCGTTTTCGCCAGCGACCTGTCAAGTTAGAAAGTAGCTCGTAGTATAAAGATTAAGAGCATAACATACCTGGAAGAGCTGTCGCACCAGCCGTGGACCGTCACCAAGGTACTTCTGAATAAGCTCACTGCCCACAATACGCAAGAACGTGGCAGATGTTTGGTTGGCCACGGCCTTGGCAAGCAGCGTCTTTCCGGTACCGGGCGCACCGTACAGGATGACACCCTTGGGAGGCTTGATTCCCATTTCTTCGTAAAGTTCTGGGTGAAGCAGCGGCAGCTCCACGGATTCTCTGACTTCTTGAATTTGTGTTTCCAGACCTCCAATATCGGCATATGACTCTGTGGGAGCTTTGTCAAGCTTCATTACGCTCACAATCGGATCAGTGTCATCAGTCAGAACACCGACAATGCTGATTATCTTATGATGAAGCAAGACACTGGCACCGGGCTCAAGGAGGTCCTTGTCCACGAAGCTCATGATGCTGACGTAGTACTCCGGACCGGTGGTGCTACTGACGATAGCGTGGTCGTCGTCAATCAGCTCCTCCAGCGTTCCAACTCCCATGGGGCTGCCACGCATATCGTCGACTCGGCCACGCTCGTCTGCTAGGCGGTCGTTATCCGCATCGGCTCCTGAAGTCTGTCCCTCCTTGGCCGCCTTGGCCTTGCGAAGGCGCTCCTGGTTCTCGACGTACTCCTCTTCAAGCAGGAGGTGGTCGTGAATTCGCTGCATGCGGAGTAGACGGAGCTTGCATCTGCTGCTGGGGTATACGGCAGGGAGCTTGGCGGCAGCGCTGGTGCCGCCAGCCTTCTTCTTCTTGCGGCCGACTCGGGTCGTAGGTCGTGGAGGTGGCTCGTACTTTGGCTTATCCTTCTGTTGGTAGGGTCAGCGTCGAGTTCCATGCATCGACATCGTGAAGAGCCTTAGCGGAGACGAACCTTCTTATCCTTGTCATCCCGACCATCCTGGCCTCCCATGCCAGACTGTCCCTGACCCTATGATTCGTAATGTCAATACTTGAAGCCTGGCAATCAACAAGATAGTAGGAAACTAACCATCTTGGCGAGTAAAGCTCCAAAAGCTTGGAGTTTTAGTCGGAAATCGTCAGTTTGGGCACAATGCAATCTAATAGAGTCTGGGTGGTGTACCCAGGCGAGCAGACTGCAAAGTGATGTTGATGTTGAGTCGAAGCTGGAGTGGGTAGCTGGATAGCAGGCAGGCCAGTGCTCCGTCGACGATGATGGAATCAGGCGCCAGGGCGACACGACTACCTGCCTTTGCATCACGTGACCATGATTAGTCACACCCACCTCAACCTCATCACTCCTCGAAATTCAAATTGATTGGTGACTGAAGTCGGCTCATTCATACCAGACGCCAGACTACCCCGATAGGTGGACTGAGAATTGGGACGCCTGAATGAAGGCCCCCCGTAAGTGTTGAACTGGTGCAAATAGCACAAAATTCACGCACCAGAACAGCTTCGAAAGGTAGAGCAGCTTCGAAAGTGCTATGGCAAGGGAAGCCAACAGGCAGGCAATAATGAAATGAGAAAATAAAAATAAAAATACCATTTATTTGTTAGTCTCTCTCGTTTGGATGTACCTTCTGTCAATATTTAATGGCCTTGGAGTGGCATTGGACAGTGATCAGCTTGAGGCTGTGATCGCGCATTAATCTAGATGTGGAGGCTGGAGTCTCTACATATGCTAAGGTATTGTAAGAGCAATCTCATTAGCATGCCTTGTCAATCAGAATAACATTTCACCTCTGGAAACCCAGTTTAACTATAATCACCGACACAAGTGGCTGGTTCGCTCCGAGAGACATACGGAGCCATCTGGACCGGAGTTGGCATCCTGAATCTACCCCGAGGGAATTCACAACGCTCAACTAACCGAGACGTACAAAAATAAGAAGCAACAATCACCGTCGAGTTCGCTCAAGTTGACTACTTGACAGAGTCACTACGATCTATCTTGATACATTGTTTCATCAACTTGTGGTCATATGACCCAGCGTTTAATATCACCAAGAGCTCCGCACTGACATACACCTCCCACTCGACAGACATCCCAAAGGGCTGGATAGAAGATTATGACAGGCCAGTGGTATCCTTGGAGAACCAAAGCCTGGCTGAGTTGTCAAATTCCACAATCGGCCGTGTAGGTAAAGTTCCGACCTGTGAGTGCAAGGGGAAAATGGGGACCGAGGCAAGCCCATTTGCAAGGGAAGGGGATCACAACAAGTCCATTGCAGAGGAGGCAGTATCACTATGATTCAATAAACGTCACTGAAAAAGAGTGCAAGACACACACATGTACATATCAAGGGGGGGTCACAAGCCGAGAGAGTAAGAGATAATGATAACTTTTTGGCTACATGCACAGGACTTCGCTAATAGATACAAAGAATATCTGAAAATAAGTAGAGCAACCAATGTGCCATTAAAACATGCTAATTCGTTCTACTGGCATTTACCACGCAACACCGCGAAAACTGAAGGTGACCAACACAGTCTGGTATCCAGCATAAAGTCAAACTGACAATGAAGACGATAAATACATTCCAAGAGCCTCAACAAGATATGATGCGTTTACAGAGCAATCATGGCAGCGCCAGCGCCGAGGGCAACGACGCTGTACAGGGCAACGGCGAGGTTGCCGAAGATGGAGACGCGGGAGATGGAAGTGCTAGAACCGGCACTGCCGCTGTCGCCAGTTGTGGAAGTGCTGGTGGGGTTGGCCAGAGCACCAGTAGCGGTGGCAACCTTGTTGTTGTGGGCACTAGCGGACGAAATAGCAGCGTTGCAAGAAGACTCAGAGCTGGCCTTCTTTACGGAAGCCTTGCCCTTGTGGTCACAAGCGGAAGAGGAGCTCTTCTGGTCCTTGTAGTAAGCACCGAGCAGGTAGGTCAGCTTGGCCTTGGCGCCGCACATGCTGTAAGCTCCGTAGACACCGGTGGTGGCGTTGCCGTTAATACCAGCGCAAAGCTCGGGCTTCTCACCGCAGATGTAACCGAAGAGGCTGCCGTAATCCTTAATGTTGAGGTCATCGGCAGGGCCACACTCAGAGGCAGCTTCGGCACAGTCACAAAGAGTCTGATCAGGGGTAGGAGGGAGGTTCTTGTTAGACTTCCAGACATCACCAACGGCAGGGCACTGATCACGGCCGGTGTTGGGGTTGTAGTCCTTCTCCTGGACACGGGTGGGGTCGACCTTGGCATGGGCCTTCTTGAGAGCATCGAAATCACCCTGCTTCTCAGCCTTGCCGTTCTTGATCTCAACAACACCGTAGTCGTTCTCCTCCTGCTGGTACTTGAAAACGAGACCACCAGAAAAGACACCGGTCATTTCGTCAGAGAAGAGAGCCTCGGTATCGGTATAAATACGGGTCTTAGCACCACCGGCGTTGCAACCGTACTCAGCGAAGAAGACAGGAACGTTGTAGCTCTTGAAGAACTCAACCCACTTGTCATAGCCAGACTCCTTCATGCTGCTCTTACCGCACCACGAGTAAATGTTGTAACCCCAGAAATCGGTAGCCTCGGCATCCTCACCACAGTTGAAGTACTCGGCGATCTCATTGCGGATATCGGGGTGGTCGTTGGAGGCGTACCCAACACCCATGGGGCGGTACTTCTTGTCAACAATGTACTTCTTGGTATCACGGATGGCGGCCTTGACGTAGGCGGAAGCCTCGGTGTTGTTCTTGGCGTCAGAGACTTCGTTACCAGCAAAGAAACCGATGGTGTTCTTGTACTTGGCAAGGGAGTCGATGACATCCTTGTAGCGAGTAAAGAGCTCGGTGTTCCACTCAGGCTCGTCACGGTTGATGGCCAGGGCAGGCTGAGAAAGATCAGAAATGACGTAGATGCCGGCGTCATCCAGGAGCTTCATGCACTTGTCGTGATCGACCTTGGGGTCGATGGCGTAAGTTCGGATAGTGTTGACACCAAGCTCTTGCAGCAGAGGAACATCACGCTTGCAATCGCTCTCGCTGGACAGAGGGTCCTTGTAGTCAGTGTTGTTGCCAGTGTTGGTGCTGCTGCCGGCAGTGGCGATCTCTGCCTGGTAAGCAATACCCTTCATGTAGAACTGGGTACCGTTCTCGTAGAAGAACTTCATGCCCTATATGACCAGTCCTGATTAGATGCGCTTCTTATGCTAATTGGAATGCGGTCATTGTGCGGGGAGGGATAATCTACCTTGATGTGGATGGGAGGGAGCTCGGCAACAGCTGCACCCGCGAGGGCCAGCATGGAAAGGGTCTTGGAAACCATTGTCAACTGATTTTTTATTTTCTTTGATGCTGAAGCAAGTTGAAAGTCGTTAATGCGTTGTAACTCGTGTGATGAAACGACACGGTCGTGGAATTAGAGGTTTGCAAGTTATTGTTGAGAGAGCGTGTGAAAAGTAAGCCAATGAGGGAGGAGGCCAATCTCGACTACCTTAAGCCAGGTATGGGCAAGTGATTCAATTAGTCGGAGCGAGTGACTGAAGGAAGAGAGGATGAGAAGAAGAAGAGATCAAAGAGATCAAATCGAAAGCAAGTGGTCGTAGTCTCTAAAAGACAGGATAAAGGGCAGGAGCAGACGGCCAGCAGGAAGGCCGGGCCTGCCAGCAATAAATTGCCATTCCGGCGGCACCCCCCTGATGGTACGCTGACAGGGGACAGGCCGGGCCAGGGCTAGGCGGCGAGGCGCAGCACCTTGCTCCAACCTTACGCTTAGCGGTAGGTGGGCAGCTCCAATGGCGAGCCCCCTTGCCCTATCAGTGGCCTGTGCCTGGCAGCCCCCAGCGGGCCAACTGACTGCGGAGCTGCACTAGGGAGGCCCCCACCAGTTAAAATCCACGGCTCGTACAGACCTTATTGACCTGTCCGGGTCTGTGCGTCTGGTTGATATTACAGTATGAGCTCCTGCGAGTTCACACCAGACGAGACTGACACGAGCCCGCCAGCCAGCTCGCCCGCCAGCCGCTATTGCCCTTCGCGCCGCCCAGATCGCCTGGCCCTCTGCTAGGCCTCGATAGTGCAGCCTCGCAGTGCAGCGCCGCCCTGCGCACTGTAGCTCCCATCTCGACACCACCGTCCGGCAAGTATCATCCCGTGCCTTTCTGTTCCATTGTCTTGGCCAAGCGGCAGGAATAGGGGCGCTTCTCCACCGCACCATCTCCCTTGAAACATACCATCCTGTTAAGCATAGTAATGGATCAGCATCAGGTTGCTGTTCTCTCCCCAGGCCGAGCCGCTAGGCGCCTGTCTCTGTCCTGAATCAAGCTCATGCCCAGAGTTTGCTAACAAGCCAAGCTCACCACCAACCTCTCCTGGGCACTGGCTGATCTTGGAGTCGTCGTCACCACCCAGCCATCGAAGCGCGTTGCACTATTGCTCTTGGCTTTCCAGCGCATTATTTTATCCTTTGGCGCTACGCTCCAGGTCTCGTCATCTTGGCTTCAACGCCGTCTCTCCACTCCTGGACCACAGTAAATCTCGCCCCCTGCCACTCGTAATTCCAGCTCTGCTTCATCGACGCTCTAGTTGGCTTCGTCCTTATCCTCTGATCGGCAGGCTTGGTCAAGGAGGTCTCCAAACAGTCCTCTTTCCATGAATGTTCCATACTATGTACGCCTAGGGAGGCAACCAGCAGGCATCTTCCCTCCCCGTGCCAAGGTATCGATCTGTGCGACGTACTGTGTCAATGGATACAATCGCCGGCGGTCGGCTAATAGGGAGTGGGTAGCTCAAACGGAAGGTTATTTGTGTTAATTTCGAGGGCAGATCGCATGACCGCATCGCTATTTCAGTAGCAGCGCAGAAACAGAAGATCTAGACACTTGGGCCAGATTTCGTCAATGCCCACACCATGCACCGACCGTCGCGCCACAGTTGGACGTGCGTTTCTGGTTTGCTAAAAGGAGGAGGCTCTTGGCAGGCAGCGCTTCTGTGTCAGGAGTGGCCATTTTCGTATCCGTGCAAGTCTGGGCAGTCTGGGCATTGTGGGTTAGCCGGCGCCTCCGCAATAATAATGCACCACACCTGGTAACAAGACTCTTGGCTTCTTACTCAGGCCAAACTCGTGGCGAATGATCTGTCTCTGACCCAGAGAGACGATTGTCGCATACATGACTTATTGCCCGTTGTTTTCCATTGCGCTTCCATTCACCTACGACGCCGCGGACCTGTGTTTTTATTATTGCCCAGGGTGTTCGACTATTAAGTACGGTGTTTAATAAGCTTAATCCGTAGGGCAGCCGTCACGTAAAAAAGCATGTTTATTAAGCCTAATATTAATACGAGCCTAGGGTGCTCTGGATGTGGGAGACGCCCATCCGGTCCCCATTGAGGCCTCCACTCCGTGGACTCCGCGCGCGCCTCACCTCCAAGAACCAGTTTCTCGAGTTGTTTCGCGCCCGCTCGACGGCACATCCAGGCTCCAGCAGTTGAGTTCCAGCCAATTCCGACCAATTGGCACCCAGCGCTGAAACAGCTTTGAGCGATCGCTGCGTGCACAGCCATCCTTTGCTCGGTGTTTCTGTTATCATAGTGCAGTGCCCGTCAGCCAATAGGGTACTCGCAGGTACATGGAGGTACATAGAGATATATTCTTATCTTGGCATATACTAGAAAGACATTCTTTCACATGTCTGAAAATTACTTTGATTCTAGTGAATAAAGCAGAAATATATTAGGCATCTTGAATACTGATTAAAGCTTGTTATCCTATCTTTATGTCGGAATGAATCTGTTGGCTCATGAATCTCGGTGTCGCTTTTGGTAGAGGTGGGCATCGAACCTTTGCTCCCACACCTCGGGACGCGAGGAACGCTGAGTGGATTACTTACTCAGAGTGACAAAAGGATCACCGCCAAAGGTATTACTGAAGCGTCGTCATCCATATCAGCATTACGAGATTGTCTCGTTTGATGTAAATACGACTAGAATTTCGACGAGGGGGTTTCACGCATACGAATGTGAACTCCAATATTTCCAGCTATAGGGTATCTGCATCACAAGCACCACGAGGCACGCTCAGGAGGAGGACCAGCCCCCATTTCCTGGCCACTGCGTCTCCTGCACTGATACGAAGTGTCTGCTTCACTGCCCAGTGCCGTGCCACGCTGTTTCCTGCTATCATTCGCCAAAGAATGTCCCATCTTGATCTTGGCTGACGATCGACGTACGCGTTCTCTCTTGGCTTATCTGTGGGCCTATGTGCTGTCTTCCGCGACAGCTCCAAAGCCGAGCTTGCAGATAGGCCTCGCCCTTCCTGAGCGTCTTCCCAAACCGACCAAAACAGCCTGCTCCATGGCTGTGAGTCTTGGAAAAACCCCTCGTCGAATGTTGCAGGTTCGGCCATCGAATCCCTGAGAAAAGCCATGTATACCTTGAGCAGCCTAAGTACATCGTTTGCTCGGCAGTCAAGTAAGTTCCCGCTCAGTGTCCAAAGGTTTGACGAATGATACGGATGCTCTCGTTCACGAACGTTGCCGAGATCCCCTAGAAGCCATTCTCTTGCTGAACCAGCCTCCAAGTTTGATGTGTCTAGCACCGGCTGCGAAGAACCAAGGAATATATTGTCCAACTTCACATCATCATGGCAGAGCCCAGAATCCGAATGCATCCCGCCCAACACCTCCAACAGATGCTCAATCGAGGGTCGGAACATGATATCGAGGTCGCGAGCTGTATATGAGATGCCAGACTTCCTCAACTGATGCGCCAGCTTCCCAAGGTTACCCAGTGGTAGGAATGGGGTTACAAGATGCCATTCCCCGACTTCATTCCCCGTGCTAGGCGGAAGGTAATAGTCGACGACGGATAGAAAGCCTGAACTGTTTTGGCTTCTCTGTTCACCGGCCAGACCTCCAAGAATAAGGGAGGCTGGGATTTCCGTTGGCCACCGTAGCCGTGGTTCTGTTCCAGGCATGCAGTTCCTGAGCGGTGCTCTCTCGCTGCTGAACACTTTGATGACATTTCCCTGGTATCTGTATACTCTACCCTCGAATCCTCTCCCTAGCTGCTCCCATTCATCTCGATGTGCAAGGGTATCTTCTCGAGAGTATCGCTCCCCTATTTCGTTTGGTGGTAGGCCACCATCCCGTTGCCACTCATGGTCTTTGAGAGACAATTCTACCATCGTTGAGAAACGGCCAAATCTCGTAGGCGTGTACTTGATCGTAAGCTCAGCACGATGCCGCTGGAAGTTATCTAGGAAGTGAAGCGCTGCAAGTATGAAAACCACGGATATTATTGCTTTCCACAACCTGCTCACTCTTGGACTGTTGCGTACCAGCCCCGGTCGCTGCCATCGCCATTGCGGCAGGAATGAAGTAGGTCCAGCCTTGAGATTTATTCTCATGATCTTTGTGTTGACTCCCCCCTTCGCAAGTACACGGTGAGAAAAGAGTGTGAATGGCTTGTGGCCTGATGTAGATATTCTATGAATTTTAACATACTCAGGCGCTGACGCTGGCTCATGGTCGCTATCTCCCAGATGACGAACGCGGTGAGCAGAACCCTGATTCTCCGAAGAAAACATGCCTTGTTGCGCAATTCTCGGTACTCAAGGTCTTGGCGAATCGGCACCTGACACCCATGCTTCCCATGTGACGACCCGAAGAGTCCTGACCAGAGCCATGGGCCTGTGAAATTGTTTGGCATAATTTAGAACTACCCGCGGATTCCGCCCGTGGCCCGATTTCCTTTTCCTTGTTCTTAACTTATAATATGATGTGCCATTCAGTAAGGTGCTAAGTGGGTGACATTAAAATTAAGACACTCAAACATTAAGCTGCTTATTTTCAAGTTTGCGAGCGGTATTATCAGATTATTGAGTACTAATAATACATATATAAGAGATAGTACAGCATATATTGTCACTTAACTTCTTGTTATACTACTAGATTTCTCTATTTATCATAGAAAGTAGTCTATTTATAATGACTCTTCCATTAGATGTCTCATTTCTCCTGTCACCCACATGGGTGCATACGAACGCATAAATGGGATCAAGACTAATAATTAGACATGCTAAATTTATTATGGATTCGGGCTGGCTTGGCGAGTCGTTGACTCTGCCAGTGGTACGTACGCACGGAAGGCCAAGACAATTGGCCATCACCAATAAGGATCACTTACTATCGAGCATGACGTGGCATGTTGGCCCAGTATACGCGAGACACCATGAGGTTTGCAAGCTCCAATGCAAGGCAATCCATGCGGCAACACGAGACTTTCGTAAAAAGGCCCTTGTTTGAGAACTGCAGCGCCCTGTCCTTTCTATTACCTGTGCAGTAGAAATCTGTCCGAGGATACCGTATGCTGGCTGTCTCGATACCGCAGTCGTTCCTTGTCCATGTATTTCCCCAAAATGCGTGCCAAGTAAAGCAGAACAAACTGCTCGGTAGGTGTAAATGGGCAATTTGTGTTTACTGCATGAACAATGTGACGCTAAAGGTCGTCGATGTCATTTGTCTTACCGATGCCGGTAGAAGTCCGTGACTGGAGAAATTCGATGGGATAGCCACCGGCCGGCTCCAAATTTCCTAATCTAGATTTATCTCTGTGCCAAATTGATATCATTTCAATGTATGGGGGAAACAGTACGGAGTCAAGGGTTTGGAGCAGAGTGGATTGGTAGTGGGCACGTTGTACTTTTGGGTAGGCCTCATGCTTACCGGATACCGAAGGCATACACGAAACACTCATATATCACTACCATATCTTGTTTTGAACCAATGCAGTGATTTTGATTTTCTGGATGAGGCAGCCAAGGGAATGCCAACGTGTAAAGCATTGCTGGTCGTTTCGTTCTGCAGACCATACGTGTTGGGACGCATTCCATGAAGGCAATGGTAGACTTCGTAATACAGCGCCCGGGTAGTAAAAGAGTTCTCTAAGATAATGATATGCACCCAAAGCCATTTCAAGTTGTGAAGGAATAAGTCACTCTCTTATTGATTTCGATCACTCGATATTTGTCAGTCTGTAATTTATAACGATCGCAACGTTCAACCAACGCGGTCAGAAAATATTGAAGCGGAAGCCTAATCGATAGCAAACAGTAGATAAAAACACGACAAACCATTCCATATCGGAAATATGATGCGTAGTAGATGTTGTGAGTAGGGCTAGTGTAGATTTCCTACCTCGCTGTTAGCCACGATGACATCTTCTCACGTCACATATATTCGCACTTGTTCCAGCCACTTGTTCAAATGATGTCATAGAGTCTGCAAATCACAGGTAGGTGCTCATAGCAGAAGAGCTGAACTGCAGTAATCGATTATGAGAATGACTTGATGAGGATTTAGCACAACATGATGTCATTTATCATCATACAAACCTGCCCACCCTCGACCGAGTATATGAAAGGCAATCCGGCTTCATATTGACTAAGGAATATCGGCTTATCGACAGAATTTGACAATACAATCATAACTATCTACGTATAAGAGCCATTAACATGTCTCCTAAGAAGAACACCGGCGCAGAGAACAAGGTAAGTCCGGAGCTCTCCCCTGTACGAATCATTCGTGTGCTCATTTCTCAAATCAGCAGGAAGCTGCCGGCCCCGTTCCATCCGAGTCTCTCGCTGCCGAGTCGTACCGCGAGGGTGGCGCTTTCGCGGAAAACGTCGGCACTCACCTCGAAGACTCCAACACATCCAACTTGAAGAAGAAATCAGCATCTAGTAAACTAGACGCCGCTCCTGGCGAAGGTTATCGCAAAGGGCCCCAAGACGAATCTTACGAAAGTCTAAACGCCCGCAATGTTGGTAGCTCGGAGAACATGCCTGATTCTTACGGTGGAGAGGCACCTTCCTACGTCAACAGCCAATATGTCGATACCCATGGTCCAAAGGGTAAAAACTTGCACGAGGGATTCGATGATTCCGGCACTAGAGATGGTATCCAGGCCGCTATGAATGCTAAGATTGGGAGCAAGAATGATCCTAGCCGGCTGGCCGAGAACGAGTTCGAGATGCGCAATAGTGCCAATCCTCGGGCGGGTAACGAGGGAAAATTTTCAACTGAGACGAAGTATGATGGTCTTGAACGGGATGCATCCGCTTGACATGGACTGACCGAGACGGACTTGTTGACTAAGTTTATACTGCCGTTCCCAACGAATACTAAATATGTGGGAGAATTAGTTTGAGAATCGAAGAGGTAAAATGAAAATAAAAATTAACCAAAAATCGCGAATTTCCACCGATTTGGTTTGTCTTTCCTTTTTTGGGCTTGGTAATATTTCATGCATATCGGGATTGTTGGTTGGATGTTGGAATAACAACCAAACCCCATCTCCCCCACTGTGCACAACCATCTAACAGCGCAATCAAACGCGCCTCCCTGGCTACATAAATAACATGTCTATCCTAAATCTCCCCAGGGAGCTCCTTAATCGTATTCTTATTCATTGCCTCATAGTCCGGGGCGTAAAACGCGGTGTCCGGTTGAGGCTCGTATGCAGTAAGTGACTTACCACAAGCATTAGTCCTCTATAGTCCGGCTAATGCAGGTATTCAGAACATTTCGATGATATGTTCATGCCAGCTCTCTATCAATCGCACATTCTAGACTCTTTTTCCGCGCCGTATGTTGGCTGGGAGTGGTGGTCACGTAAAGACTCCTGCGGATCTATCAAGCTCTGGCATGGCTACCTTGTCTTCCGTGTGCTTGGCGAGCAAAGCCCAGACGTAGGACGCTTTATTGAGATTCGCAATGCTGCCAAGGCTTTGAGTCATCTCTCTGATGATGCCCTCTCTCTATATGAAACCGTCCACGGCCTCTGCTGGTTGGCATTAGAGCTAGGCACCAACTGCCCTGGCGAACGGCAGCTGTGGTTGAAGGGAGACGGCCGCGAGTGCTGGGTCATCTACCCTGATCAATATAACCCTCCAACTGTCGAGCGTGCGTTAGAGCGACAAAGTGGTTCAAGCCAGAGAACTCCGCCATCGAATGCGCAACTCGATCTGCTTTGCGGTGCAGCTTACTTCAACCTGGTTTCAGTTGCCGAAAATCTGCTACAGCAAAGCCATGGCCTGAGGTACGCTCATGTTGATCCAGGCGATCGTTGTATCTTTTTCCTAACAAAACTAGTCCAACTGACGCTGGCGGCCTCTTTCCCTCGCCAATTTGGATTGCCTCCTTCCGTGGACATGTTTCTATGTTAGACCTGTTTCAAAGACATATCCTCTCCAAGGTGCCCTACACGTTCTCAGATGGCCAAAGCTATTACAATTGGGCCCATGAGAATACTAAGGATGCCATCACAGGCGCCATAGCCAGTGGAAATTTGGATGTTCTTCTCAGCGTCCTTTTCCCTCCAAGTATGCGACCTTCTCCGCCACTCATTTCCGAGACACCAAAGTGCCTACATGGCCAAAGTCTGATGGACATGTGCTATCATAGAGCCTTCTCCCCCACGCCGACCATGTATGATTTTATCATGAACACATTTCCTGACATTCACGATGAGGATCGCAGGATCGGGTACCGGCGACGAGACGAGGTGGCCAGGTACGCCAGAGACGGCAATCTGGAAATGGTGCGTCATATTATGAGCGCCAGCATAAAGGTTCATCGCGGGGGCTTTGCCAGGCTTGCAAATCCCCTTTATCGAGCGTGCCAGGGAGGCCACGAGGATACGGTCGAATTCCTTCTTGACCGCAATGCCAAGTACAATGGTGACGTGCTCTTTAAAGCTATTAGAGTCGGTAGTTTGAGCATTCTGGGGAGGCTCTTAGATAACGATCCAATGGTTCACAACGGAAAACATAGTTTCGATGGCGAGGTACTGTCAGAAATCATCCGAGCAGAGCATACGGCGATACTTGACTTGGTTTTGGAAAGGGGCTATGTTATTACCAAGGAACGGCATGAAGATGCGATGAAGTCAGCCATAGCGAATGGCCTTGAATCAATGGTGGAATTCCTGGAGAGAATCAAAATAGCTGAATAGATGTCGAGCTGGCTTAGGGTCTCAAGCTGTCCGTCGGTTTGATGCTAATAGGTCATGTACTCAACGCTCCAGTTTAGTTATTTTCACTGGGTGGATGCTCGTAAGGTGCCGTGTATCGCTTCTTTGTTTCCTCACAGTCAAAGCCAGATCCAACTAGGTGAACACAACCGGGATATTTAGGCGGCTGCATCTTGGGCTGATTTTTTTGTGCGTCAGGAGATAAGCCAGGCTTTTTTTTGCCTAGAAAGACTCTCTAATACAGTCGAAGTCTGTCCGAAGTGACACAATTCTTAGGAAATCCATAGTTAATTCCAACCTTGGTTGTTTTTATGTTACATAGACAAGACGTTTTGTATTCATTGTATGGCGAATTTGGATTCATGGTATTAGCATATTTTCAGAACTATCCGCGCCCTCGGCCTGCGCAGCAACGTACTTTGGCTGAACCCAGCATCAATTTTCATAACCAGACTAGATACCATGTAATATATGGCATCCGGAAGAAGCCTTTTTGGACCAGAGGCTGCATAATGTGGCGCCCTAGCAAAGTCACAGTCACCAACAAGGCAGGAAATACTTGTTGCAAGGGCTTCTTCCACACTGGAGGGGATTCCTACCTGGGGACCCAATGCCGTGTATATGAGGTAGGGGATACAACATAGCTACTTGTAGGGTCATTCATTGCTTGTAGAGATCTGGGACAATACCTCCCTCGTCTTCTCTGACCCTATAGGAATGTGAACCTGCAAGAGCTAAAATCAAGAGCCACGCAGTTGTAATAGAACAGCTCAAAATGCCGGAATATTCAGGTTAACCTTCGAACTTCTGTCGACACCATTTAGTAAATTTGAAACTCTGACGGGTCCCACTGGCAACCAGTGCTTCACGAGCTGTATGTTTCACTCCTCGATGAGCCGACAGATCAGACAGCACGTGACACAAGTTCAGGTACATTAACAGAGTTTCGATGTCTGAACCTTCCACACACAGAAAAGTCAAAATTCAACACCATAGACTATGTATAGGCATCAACGCCTCCACAAGAACTCTAAACAGGGCTGGCTAATATATAATTCGGCCATTGCACAGGTATGCTCACAACTAGACATTCTTCTTCAGCTTGCTGCAAAAATGTCAGTATCTAACGATAGCCTAGGCCTGGCTATAGCGAGAGACCAACCTAGAAAATTTAAGCAACCAAACTACCTTTCGCTTCAGAGAATGATATGGATCGGGTACAGGGTAGGCAACACTTAGGTAGACTGGGTCAAGTGTGACGTCAAAAACAGGGGCCACTTGGCGGTGACACCGAGCTTGCCTCTTTTTTCTTGCCTTACATGTGCCTTGATGGAGCTCCTGGCGCATGAGGGGTGAGACATTAGCAAGCCAAGAGCAAGAACTACGACCAGGTATGGGTTGCTGTGAAAGGGCCGACGAGTGCAGTGCATGCGATGGTCAGCTCTGCCATTGCATTGCCCCTGGCGACGCAGGTTCAAGATCCATGCATGCCGCAGCGGCGATGAGATTCCAATGCACGTGAAATCCATTCAATTGTTTGTGCCTTAGCTTGATGCCTGACACGGTGCCATTTGCTGACGCTGATGGAGGGTCAGTGGCCAAAATTTTTGTTATCGGCCCCACCAAGAAAAAAATCACCCCGCCTCGCCTCCAGACAAGCCAACGGCAGCATTCTAGGCTTTCTCACACACCTTCCTCCCCTCCACGATAGACCCTTGGACAGGAATAGCCATCCATCGGTACTGGCTGGTTTGTTTTTCTATCCTTTCTCGTGCGGACCAGAATTCTGTGTTCCTCTTTTTCTCTTTTCCCGGAACATTTTTCATTGCTCCTGCGGCTTCAACCCCTCAGAGCATCTTCTACAGCCAGGGTTTTCGTTAACCCCGCGGTAATCTTTTTGTGGCCTGCGCAGTTCAGTCCGCAACATCTTAGACGCACCTTCAATTTAATTTCTTTTCTATTTTTCGCTAGATCGCCAACATGCCTCCTTCATCGTCCAAGGAGAAGCGACTTGCCAAGAAGGCCGCCGAGGGCAAGCTCAAGGGCAAGGCTGGCAAGGCCAAGAAGAACGAGGAGGTCCAACTCGATGCCAATGGCAACCCCATTGTTGACGAGAACGCCTTTGCCACCACTGGCGCCAAGATCGATGAGGTCAACCGTCTTGCCCAGCAGATGGACGAGCACGGCATCTCTGACCGTGTCACCACCGGTGTGCTCGCCTCGACCCCCACCAGCAAGGACGTCAAGATCACCAGCACCAGTCTTGTGTTCCACGGCCGCGTACTCATCACCGACTCTACCCTCGAACTGTCTTATTCCAAACGATACGGACTCCTCGGTGAGAACGGTTGCGGAAAGAGTACTCTCCTCAAGGCAATTGCTGCCCGCGAGTTCCCCATCCCCGAACATCTTGACATCTACCTGTTGAATGAGGGTGCCCCTCCCTCTGATCTTGGTGCCCTTGAGTGGGTCGTCAAGGAGGCCGAGATGGAACTCGAGCGTCTCGACAAGCTTGCTGAAGAGCTGCTGGAGAAAGAGGGCCCTGAAAGCCCCGTCCTGATCGATCTTTACGAGGTAAGCTGGAACGACTGGAAAGAGACTCCCTATTGAATTACTTGAAGCCTTACTGACAACGAGCAGCATATGGACAAGATGGACCCCTCAACCTTCGCCACCCGTGCCTCCCTGATTCTCACCGGTCTTGGATTCAACAAGAAGACCCTCCACAAGAAGACCAAGGACATGTCTGGTGGCTGGAGAATGCGTGTCGCCCTGGGCAAGGCTCTCTTCGTCAAGCCATCTCTGCTTCTGCTCGATGACCCCACTGCCCACTTGGACCTCGAAGCTTGCGTGTGGCTGGAAGAGTACCTCAAGAAGTGGGACCGCACTCTCGTCCTTGTCTCTCACTCCATGGACTTCCTCAACGGCGTGTGCAACACCATGATTGATATGCGTGGCAAGTTGCTGCAATACTATGGTGGTAACTACGATTCGTACCACAAGACCCGATCTGAGAACGAGACCAATCAGGCAAAGGCCTACACCAAGCAGCAGGAAGAAATTGCCCACATCAAGAAGTTCATTGCTAGTGCCGGTACTTACGCCAACTTGGTCAGACAGGCCAAGTCCCGACAGAAGATTCTCGACAAGATGGAGGCCGACGGTTTCATCCAGCCCGTCACCCCCGACAGGGTCTTCACCTTCCGCTTCGCTGATGTGGAGAAGCTCCCTCCCCCAGTCCTGTCTTTCGACAACGTCACATTCTCCTACTCTGGTAACCCAGAGGACGACCTCTACCGCAACCTGGAACTTGGTTTCGACATGGACTCCCGAACTGCCCTGGTCGGACCCAACGGTGTGGGCAAGTCCACCCTGCTGCGTCTCATGACTGGCAAGCTATCTCCTACTGGCGGTTCCGTCACCCGCCACACTCATTTGAAGCTCGGTCTCTACTCCCAGCACAGTGCTGAGCAGCTTGATCTTACCAAGTCTGCCCTTGACTTCGTCCGTGACAAGTATAGCGAGAAGTCCCAGGACTACCAGTACTGGCGTCAGCAGCTCGGCCGCTACGGCCTGACTGGTGATTCCCAGACTGCCCTGATGGGCACACTGTCAGAAGGCCAGAAGAGCCGTATCGTCTTCGCCCTGCTCGCCATCGACGGACCCAACATGCTTTTGCTTGACGAGCCTACCAACGGATTGGATATTCCTACTATTGATAGTTTGGCTGACGCCATTAACGCCTTTAGCGGTGGTGTTGTTGTCGTGTCCCACGATTTCAGGTGTGTATACTCCCCCTTTAGTTTATGCCAGCCACAATATGCTAACTCGCAAAACCTAGATTGCTCGACAAGATTGCCAAGCAGATTCTCGTGTGCGACAACAAGACTATCCAGGAGTGGGATGGCTCAATCGGCGAGTACAAGAACTACCTGCGCAAGAAGATGATTTCTTCCGGCGCCGTCTGATTCGGTGGAGCATGAGGATACGACATTTACAATCTTATTTTATAGAGTTAACGACGCAGACGGGACATTAAAAAAATTGCATGACCAGAGCGGCTTCACGGGGTACAGCGTCGCACGGCTTGCCATCAGGAATGGCAGCGAGGTTTTTTTTTGTGAATAGAAAAAAAAGTTCGACGAAGCCGCAAGGACGCCCCGGGGGGAGCTGAAGATACCCCCTCGATTTTACCCTCATCCATAGAAGCGGCTTGTGGCCTCTCACATGACCTAACGCGTTTTCTTGTCGTATGGGATAGAATGGTTGAATTCTGATTTTTTTTTGTCTTTCTCATTTCTACGATTTTGGGTTTCCGACCATGCCAGAGAAGGCTGAAATAGCTTAGTACAAAAATGGCATTCAAAAGTTGCACATAGAAGTGAATTTGCCCGTGATAAGTGTCGTATCGTTGGTTCGAGGAATTTCTGAGTGATCACGTGGGAGTAGATTGCCTGATGGCACATTTTCCAGGCGCGCACGCGCAGGTCCTGTGTTTTATTGATGGCTGGTCGTCAATGCAGGATGGCAGAAAAAAAAAAACCGTGTCTGGGCGCTAGCGAGATGGGTGATTGCGTGTTCTCGCGCTTTCGTGGTGTGTGGTAGGGTGAGGGAAATACGTGTTGGATAGGTTATTATTCTGTGACGTGCCTTCGCAGGATGGATGGATGGATGGATGGATGGAACCCAGGCATTTTGGTGGGCAGTGACTGAAAAGGTGGAAATGGCACGGAAGTATCCCTGCGGTGCATGTGAGTGTGAGGCTATCACGGCCCCGTCACGTGATTAAAGCAAGCAGTCCAATTGTTCTGGTCATCAATTATTTATCATTGAGCAGAGATCCTACAGCCTCAAGGCGGCTGTCCTGCTTAGTTGGTGATTACTGGGACAATTTTTAGGGTCTAAAATGGCTACTTAGGTAGGGTTCCTTTTTTTGGAACCTGCTGGCACAGCGTCGCAGTGGCTGGCGACTGAGAGATGCAGGATTGCCAGGAGGAGCTGCTCGCAGACGTTACAGGGACCATGATACTATTTACCCAGCTAATCTTAGGAACCCCACCGAGGATCGAGAGCCGGGGAAGCCCGACTCGCATGTCCGGGAGCGGAGATGGTGTCTTCCCGACAGCACACACACTAATCGCCAAGTCAGAGGTAGATAACCGACCGGTGGTTCAGGGGAAAGGGAGAGCAAATAATCAATTCCACCTGGGAGGAGAGTGTGCATCGCGAGTGGGAGCGATAAGAACGCGAAACTAGAAAAAAAAAGAAAAAAGAAAGGCGGGGAGGGGGAGCCTAGCATAAAACTGCATGCAAGGCGTCGACGGCTTTCAACAGGGGACGAGAATCTTGGGGACAAAACCAGCCCGATGTGTGAGCCGACATGTCAGGGAGGTGGACAGTGCGTGCATACATAGTACCAACCCACCCGCGATGTGCTATGGACAATAGTCAAGGATTACGAATGCCAGTGAATGACTCTTTTTACTGGATGTCATTATTGAGATAGGAGGGGGGAAGGGAGAGAGGCATGTACCCTTTCTTGCGACTCCTTGGGAAAAGTGTTGTTGCCCCATGTTGGTGTTTTGAAGAAGGCAAGGCGCACGGTAAGCCACGTACGATTCTGGAGGGCTGTAAGGCAGCGCTACATGATGACCATCCAAGGTACTGTGGAGGAATGGGGGAATCGAGCCTGAGAAGCGCGTGCGACGACGTGTTGGCTCAGCTGGCCCCATTTGTGGTGTCGGAATGCGTCCGCCGGCCACCTCTGTGCCCGTGAGCGAGTATCTGGTGCATTTCCATGTACTACGAAGCTCCGTGAAAAACTTAATTTAGTGCCTGCGATGTTCGGCAGGCTTGCGTGGTCGACATGAGCTTGCATTCACGAGAGGGAGGGTGCTAATTCATCTTAGGCCGGCCAAGTTATCGCGGCATGCCTTACATACATTCCGTACATCCATTGTAGCGAAGATGGTGATGATGAACAGGGGGCTGGGTGAGCACGATTATGATGGCAATGATTGGGGGTGATGTGTGGATGGCTAGCTGTGGGAAGATGCAGGGAGAAAAGGTGTGGCGAGCTGATGCGGAATAGCGAAGTTTTCGCTCGTCCAGTGTTTCCGGGCGCGAGGATAACGGGGAGGAGGGGGCGTACTCTGGTATCCTGGGCTTCCCTCCTTTCTCCGCCCTTCTTGAATTCTGCTCGCCTTCTAATGCAAGTCGATAATGTCTGATGGAAGCAGCCACTCACGGAGGTAAATGGCGCCAGGCGAACGACCCGGTAGCAGGTACACCACCGTACCCCGGGAGGTGGGTGACATGGGCATTGATGCACGCACTAAAGCACTATCTCCGGCACGGTTCAGCTCGATTTCAGCGCTGAATTGGCCGCTGTGTCGGTACATTACTTATTGACGAATGATTGGACAGATAGGCCCTCTCTTCCATCCCAGCGATTGCATCTGCTTCTATTGTCCCTGCTGTTGGGCGTTGCGATGCTCGGGGTCCAGGTACCTTGTACGGCTGGCGGAAGCATGCGGGTAGCGACAGGCGCAGGGTACTGGCTATTCCTACCTGAGGAGCTAGTGTCGAGAGGTACGTACAAGGTGTGGCACTTAGCAGGTAAGGTAGGGCGTAGGATGTACCTGACAGCGGGCGACATTGAATTTGGGACACTCACGCGTTTTCCTGCTTCTTTATTTTCGAGTCTGCGATGAGCGTCATCAAATTATTGAGCGGTACTAGTAATGGTATCAGAGGCGATACACTAAGATTTGTCAATTCCTATCATTTTATGCCACTGAAGATTCTGGTCATTGTAGAAAGTGGTCGCCCTTGAATCTGATGTCTCATTTCTTCTGTCACCCACTTGCCTGGCGGGTGGAAGGCCTGTGCAGGTTGCCGTTCTGGTTGGCCTGGGGCAGCCGCCGACCAGTAAGATTGGCCGAGAGCAAATCGATCGTCAGAACTCTGAAGCTGGAACCCCAACCAACGCCGCCAGCAGCAAAGTGGGCTGGCTCATCAGACTGACCAGACCAGACCAGACTGACATGGAGACAGGACAGACTCCGGACAACGCCTCACTTGCCTTGGCCCGGAAAAAGGCGATCGGCCAGCTGCTGTAGACTCATCATGGCTGCCTCTTTCTGCCCACGTCCATCATAGACCTCCCCTCTCATCCCATTGCCTCCTCCCTCCCCCCTCACCCCATCTCCTCTATCGCATCACGACGACGCCTCGCGATCGGCTTCAAAGCGTCGCCCGTAGGAACCAACACCGCGCGGCACCACGCCCGCCGCCCACCACCCACCACCTTGCGGCTCCTCGCACACTCCTAGGGAGGCGCCGCACCCACGAACACATCGCATCGCATCCCAAGACCGCCCCCAGTCATCGTGCATCCTGCCGTTCTCCCCTCCGCCCCAACCATTGGCAATGCCCACCACCCGACAGACAGACAGCTTTTGATTTCCTTTTCCCTCCTCATCACCTCGGGACTCGCTCCTGCCGCCCACTAGATTGTGCCTGTCATCCGAGTAGAGTATCGTGCCTCGTTTCCTCGCTGTCGCAGCCTCCATCATCTACTGCTACACTACGCTCGCCTGCGACTCGTACAGTCCCGGCCCTCCGAATGGGCCCAGCGCTCGCCCTTTCCATTTCAGCCTAGACAAATCCCCAGACGGCACCTGAGGAGGCTGCAGCCCAGTGACGGCGTGCAATCTTATTGACCCAGGTCGCAGCCATGGATACCAACGGGTTTTATTCCACCGTGCTGCACCCAGCACACCAGGTCGAGGCCGAAGATGACCGTGGCCGACAACACCAGCGCGACACGATGAGTGCAGGGAGCTCTGGTCCTCCACCTTCGTCTTCGTCAGCGCACCGACACCTTGAATCCTCCTCTGCCTTCAGACTGCGATCGCCCTCCAGCAGCGCCCATTCCGACCACCACCACGGGCACAATCCCAATCCCAGTTCCAACCACAACCACAACGCTCCCCATCCACCACCGCCGTCCTACACCTCGTCTGCCGGCTCGCACCATCACCACCACCCTCAGTCGTCGCCCCAGCATCTCCGATCCAGCCTGCACGCGCCTGGCGGCAGCCCATACATGGCACAACAACAGCCGCAGGGCTCGTCCTCTGTCGGCGGGCCCGTGGCTCCCACGCTGCCACCGCCGTCGGGGCTTGCAGCACCTCAGACATCAACGTCGCCGATGGCTGGTGCAAGCCATCATCACCATCCAGGTCCCTCGCCATTGCACGCACCCTCGGGCTACTACCCTCCCCCGGCCTCATCGGATAGCCATCGACACGCGCGCGATAACAGTGGTAGCAGCAGTGGCAGCGCTGCCAAGCCCACGAGGAGCTTCTACGATCCAACTACAGACTCGTCGTCTCACGAGCGTCGCGTCTCAGACTCGTGGCAGACCACAACCCCCAAGGTGAGCAAACACCACGCCCAATCCCCTAATTCACGTCAAACCCGCCTTGTACGTGACCTGTCCGCGTTGGCAGGTCCTTCTGCCCCAGTCAATTTTTTTTTATTGTACAACTGCGACTGCTCCTTTGTGTCTTGATAAAAAAACACCACGCCATTAATTGCATGCGCATCGCCCTTGGTTCTTTCGCCCCCCCCCAAAATTTCCCTCGACCCCCTTCTTTCATCACCACCCAAAAAATCCCGAAACAAGCGTCCGCGCCCATCCTTATTAGTGTGCAACGTGTGCTGACCTGGTAAATTTTCTCTCCCCAGCACCAACCACGCGAAGCTTACGCCTACTCCCAACAATCCGATAAGCCATCCTCGTCATATTACAACGGCAACAGCTACTCATCGCCAAAATCATCAATTCATCGCCCTCGCAGCCCTTTATCTCACTCACACCCAAACCCACATCGGGGGTCGTTAAGTCCGCCCAGCCGACAGTCACACTTGGCATCGCCCGGCTCGAAGCATGCAGGCGCGCTCAGCATGACCTCCACGTCTAATGGAGCGTCGACCATGGCGCCCATCATGAAGACTGATCTTGCTGCACCCTCACCCAAGCCTACACCCCCTAGTGTACGTGTTTATTTGATGTCCTCTTTCCCCTTCAACCGTGTTTGTCTCAGGCTAATAAAAACATTTCTCAGACTGCAAGCCGTGCAGACCCCATGTCTTTCTCCAACATCCTCCTAAACTCCGAGCCTGCACCCCAGCCCCGCGAACGACCCGTGGACGCGGAGCCTCGTGAGCCCGAAGCCGATCGAAAACCCAAGATCGAGCCCGAAATCAAGGAGGAAGCTGATAAGCTGATGCCTGATCGGGATGACAACGATACTGAGTTGGAGGCAGAGGCAGAGATAGTGCCCGTCAAGAAGAGGGAGGTTAAGAAGAAGGCACCCCGAAAGTCAGGTCTCGGTCGCGTATCAGACGTCCGAGACGAGGCCACGCCCTCTAAGCCCGGGCGCCGGAACTCATCGAGGAAGGAATCACCTGCTCCCCGCATATCCTCCAAGCGTCAGGCAAACGGCCAGGAGAAGGAGCAAAAGACTTGGTCGAACGAAATGGAAAAGAAGATCCAGAATGTCGATAAGCAGATTGAGAAGAACATTGCCAGCCTGGACAAGTCGGAATTTGACGAAGACGAATACAAGATGCGTGCCGCCAAACGCCGCAAGGTCATGTGCGATTTTGATACTGACCGGAACGTTCGTCGACGGGAAGACTACGTTAAGCTGGCAGGTAGGCGGCTTGGAGATCATGCCGAGCTCGGCAAGAGGCGATACGAAGAAATGTATTACGAAGAGGCTCTCCACGAAGTCCGTGAGCAAGAGGTCTATGCTGAGAAGGAACGCAAGAAGGATATGCAGCGCAAGCGACGTCGTGAAAAATCTATGGCTGTCACCATGGAGCAGAAGGAAGCTGCACTTGCTCGTGCCAACGCTGCCGAAGATGAAACCGAACGCCAGAAGCATCTTCGTGATGCTGAACGAGCCAATAAGAAAGCCCAGCAGACGAAGCTGATCTTGCAAAAGGGCATCAAGGGTCCTGCCCGGAATGTCGACCTCAATCTTGATGGTGGTACCATGTCCAGCTTCCAAGCCTCCGACGCCGAGACCAGTGGGAAGAAGACCAAGCGTGGTGGCAACCGCCCAAAGAAATCCAAGGAACAGAAGCAGGCCGAAAAGGACTCCGCCGAGGCGGCTCAGGCTGCTATTGATGCAGGTGAAGAGCTCCCTCCCCTTGCCCCCCGCGAGGATAAGGAGGGCAAAGAAGCCAAGGATGCCAAGGAAGGCAAGGTTCGTATCAAGATCAAGAAGTCCAAAGACAAGGAGAAGTCCAAGGACAAGGGCAAAGACAAGACCGAAGTGGACAAGGACAAGGAGAACCGTGAGCCTAGAGCCGAAAAGGTCGACGACACGCCTGACTTGGAGAAGAAGTTTGCTAGCAAAGGCTACAATCAAATTTACGATCAGATCTGGCGGGACATGGCCCGAAAGGATGTTAATAAGACCTTCAAGCTTGCCACTGATTCTTATGCCACCAAGGCGTCGAATCTCAAGAAGACTGCCATCCTTGCTTCCAAGGAGGCTAAGAGATGGCAGCTGCGCACGAACAAGGGCACCAAGGATCTGCAGGCCCGTGCCAAGAGGGTCATGCGAGACATGATGGGCTTCTGGAAGCGCAACGAGCGAGAAGAAAGAGATCTGCGCAAGGCAGCAGAGAAGCAGGAGATTGAGAACGCCAGGCGCGAAGAGGCTGATCGTGAAGCTGCTCGCCAGAAGAGAAAGCTCAACTTCCTGATTTCTCAGACCGAACTCTACTCTCACTTCATCGGCAAGAAGATCAAGACAGACGAAGTAGAGCGTAGCACCGACAACCCGGACATTGCTCCCGATGCCAAGCAAATCCCTCATAACAAACTGGATGTCGCCGAACCTGACGGCCCCATGGGCAAGGTAACTGATTTCGAGAATCTCGACTTCGATGACGAGGACGAGACGAACCTCAAGGCCGCTGCCATGGCCAACGCTCAGAACGCTATTGCCGAGGCACAGAAGAAGGCCCGTGATTTCAACAACGAGCGCTTGGACATGGACGATGAAGGCGAGATGAACTTTCAGAACCCAACAGGTTTGGGCGATGTGGAGATCGAGCAGCCCAAGCTCATCAATGCCCAGCTCAAAGAATACCAGCTCAAGGGTCTCAACTGGCTCGTCAATTTGTACGAACAGGGTATCAACGGTATTCTTGCCGACGAAATGGGTCTCGGCAAAACTGTGCAGTCCATTTCAGTCATGGCGTATCTCGCCGAGAAGCATGACATTTGGGGTCCTTTCCTGGTTGTTGCTCCTGCTTCAACCTTGCACAACTGGCAGCAGGAAGTCGCAAGGTTCGTCCCCGAGTTCAAGATTCTCCCTTACTGGGGCAGTGCCGGCGATCGAAAGATTCTTCGTAAGTTCTGGGATCGAAAGCACTCTACCTACCGAAAAGATGCCGCTTTCCACGTTTGTATCACTTCATACCAGCTTGTTGTGTCCGATGTTGCCTACTTTCAGAAGATGCGCTGGCAATACATGATCCTGGACGAAGCCCAAGCTATCAAGAGCTCCTCGAGTTCCCGTTGGAAGAGCTTGTTGGGCTTCCACTGCCGAAACAGACTGCTCCTTACAGGCACTCCGATTCAAAATAACATGCAGGAGTTGTGGGCCTTGCTTCATTTCATCATGCCTTCCCTATTCGACTCTCATGACGAATTCAGCGAGTGGTTCTCGAAGGACATTGAATCACATGCTCAGAGCAACACCAAACTGAATGAAGATCAGCTGAAGCGTCTGCACATGATTCTGAAGCCTTTCATGCTTCGTCGTGTGAAGAAGCACGTGCAGAAGGAGCTTGGTGACAAGATCGAGAAAGATATCTTCTGTGATCTCACCTACCGTCAACGCGCCTATTATGGTAACCTCCGCAACCAAATTAACATCATGGATCTCGTTGAGAAAGCTACGATGGGTGATGAGCAGGATTCTGGTACACTGATGAACTTGGTGATGCAGTTCCGCAAGGTCTGCAACCATCCAGACCTCTTTGAGCGTGCTGAAGTTACCTCGCCTTTCTCCTTGAGCTATTTCGCGGAAACGGCCTCCTTTGTACGAGAGGGGAATAACGTTCCGGTTGCCTACTCGGCACGCAGCGTCATTGATTATGAGCTGCCTTCTCTTGTCTGGACCGAGGGAGGTCGGCTCGAAAAGCCTGGCCAAGATAATATCAAGGCTGGATGGCGCAACTCGGCTCTTGCCCACATGCTTAATATTTATTCGCCAGAGCACATCCGGGAAAGTACTGACGAGAACAAGGGATTCTCATGGCTGCGTTTTGCCAATGTTAGCCCTGGAGAGGTCTACCAGGCAACTCGTCAGAGCCTGTTTGCCCGTGCTGTGGATGAGCTGCAGAAGACGAACCGCTTAGGTCGAGTCAAGGTCGCATACGATGATCCGGAAGACAACGGCTACACACCGGCTCACGCTCTCTTTAACATTGTAGAACGCAATGACCGACAGCCTCTGGTGGAGATCATGAACGAAGGCGTGATGGGCAAGCTCATGAATGTCGCTAGAGCAGAGTACGATGAGTCTGGCCTTGGCCGCCTGGAGCAGGCCGGTCGACCGCGTGCATCTGCTCCTCCTGTCACCGTCTCTTGCAACAAGCGTAGTGCCGTCATTGAACTGGACAATATCCTTTTCAACATACCCATACGCAAAGCACTGTACGGCCCAGCCCAATGGGAGGAGGAGGCTCTCGTGGAAAGGAAGGTGCCGCTTGAGCTCTACCCCACGAAGCAGACTCTTCCAAAGCCCGACGGCGAGTTGAAGCGGTTCACCAATATTGCCGTTCCCTCTATGCGTCGCTTCGTCACAGACAGCGGCAAGCTTGCTCACCTGGATCAACTGCTCTTCAAACTCAAGAGCGAGGGCCACCGTGTGTTGCTTTACTTCCAGATGACTCGCATGATCGACATGATGGAGGAGTACCTCACATACCGAAACTACAAGTACTGCCGATTGGATGGTTCGACTAAGCTGGAGGATAGACGAGATACGGTGCACGATTTCCAGACCCGACCTGAGATTTTCATCTTCCTGCTGTCTACCCGTGCCGGTGGTCTGGGTATCAATCTCACCACTGCCGATACCGTTATCTTCTACGATTCGGATTGGAACCCAACCATCGACTCTCAGGCCATGGACAGAGCTCACAGATTGGGACAGACCAAACAGGTTACAGTCTATCGTCTTATCACCCGCGGAACTATTGAGGAGCGTATCCGAAAGCGTGCTCTTCAGAAGGAAGAAGTCCAGCGTGTCGTCATCCAGGGAGGCGGTGCAAGCGTCGACTTTTCTGGTCGCCGTGCTCCAGAAAACCGCAATCGCGATATTGCCATGTGGCTTGCTGATGACGAGCAAGCCGAAATGATTGAACGCCGGGAGAAGGAGCTCCTTGAATCTGGCGAGCTTGACAAGAAGCCAAAGAAGGGCGGCAAGCGTAAGAAGACTGAACAGCCCAGTCTGGATGACATGTACCATGAGGGTAAGATATTTCCTGACATATTTTTTTTTTATCAATTTCCATGAGTTTCTAGACCAGTAGCTAACTGTATTCTGCTTTTTAGGCGAGGGTCATTTCGACGATGGCAGCAAGCAGCCCGGAGCTTCAGGAACAGCAACCCCTGCCGAAAGCGATACCAAGGGCAAGAAGGGCAAGGGCAAAAGCAGTACGAAGAGGGCCAAGACCACGAAGCAGAGACTAGCGATTGCAGATGGCATGGTCGACATTTAATAGGACGAATTTGGTTACAGCCCCACGGCTGTTGTAATACAGGAACTCTTGGTGAGATAATTAGGAACTGGCATGGGCGAAAATGGCGTCAAAATGAATGAACTTGATTTGGGATTTCGAGGACAAGAGGAGAAGCTCCCAAGTCCCTGACCCGCGTGGGAGTGTTGAACTTGATTTTAAGCCGAGTGGAGAGGAGAGAAGTGTGCATCATGTGGGTGGGATTGAATTGGGGGTTATAGATGTTTTTTTATTATTTCTTTATCCTTGCGATATTTTCTTATTGTTCAACATCATGGGAAAGAAAAGGGACTCAAAAAAATTATGGCCAACGTTCCTTGATGATATTGGACTGGCCGTTTTGGTGTATGCTCCGGAGATAGAGGCGCCGAGTGTAGTAGTACCAATAGAGACGCGTGTATCATTTCTAGCATGTCCTGCGCTTGTGCCCGATGAAAATCATTCCTTTCATGAAGTCAGTGTTCCTGCTGTGGTGTTGCAAGGCACAGATGTCACGGCCAAGTTCGGGTTGAGTGATGGATTGGTGACGAACGTTATGCTAGTACATTATGATTGACGAAACGGCATCCCAGTCAATTTATCATCCTCTTCCTTTCCGTGAGATCTTGCTTTTCATTTGAGCTAGCTATCTGTTCATTTGAACTCCTTGTGATATCAAAACGCCTTCCAAAGTCCTGTTCCCTGCATGATCGATGTGTTTGCTAGCTGTTTGAGTATTTTGAGCCATGACGCCCTTCCCAGCTTGCCATATCCCAGCCTGTTGCGATACTGACCCAGTACGGTGATAACTAAATCAAAACCTTTTTGAGTAGTATGATGATAAATCAAAAACTTTTAATGAGAAAATCTCCCAAGGGAGGTCATGACGGGTGTCCCTGAATTTCCTGAACGGATGAATCTAAGCCAAATGATGGAGCTCTCTGTGTCCCCTTGCCACCTGCGCCCCTTCGATCATTTCTTTTCCTCCGGCGGTGTAGCGTAGCCAGGCTCCTCTTGCTCAGATCCATCGCACCATTCGTCCTTGGCGTCTTCTTGGATGGGCTTCTTCGCCTTGCCCTTGGCTTTTTTGCCCGGAGCTGCTGCCTTTCGAGGCTTCTTTTCTCCCTTTGAGGCCTTCTTCGGCTTATTCTTTTCGTCTTCGTCAGGCGCATCGGCCACCAGCGTTTCGTCACATGGTGGGATTCTGATCGGTCCTATTTTGGTCCCATGTGAGTCCCAGTACTCGTTCCAGCTCTTGATATCGTCAAGAAGAGAGCTCCGGAGTTCCTTGACCTCGGCAGCGCAATCCGGGGCGTCTTTGGACCCTGAGCAGAGTTGTTTAAGGACCTGGGTCTCGATTTTGCCAAGATTTTCAATCAACTCCTTGTTCAACTTTCTGTATTTTTTGAGGAGTTGCTTCCGGCACTCAATTAATTCCTCCGAGACTTTGGCTCCAATAGAGATGATGATTTCATCTCCTTCTTTGACTGCAAAGTCGTGCATCGTCTGAATCTGTTTCTTTACCATTCCCTTCCCTGATCACGTATTAGCAGATATCAACAGCGAGGATAAGAGTGACCGTGCCTCACCATGATGCTGAGAAGCTTCAATATAGCCTTCCTTCATAGGCTCATTCATATACGCTCGGGACTTGAGGCGAATTTTGTTGATATTTGCCCTAAAATGAGCTGCGGTCTGAATCATCTTAGACTGATGCTCCATTGCTAAGTTATAAGCTTTATAAGCCACTCGTCCGAATGCCTCTCTATACTCTAGTGGCAAACTGTCAAGGTTACAGGTCGCGTGCAGGTTGTGGAAGATGTTTTGCCCAGCCTTCTTGGCCAGATCGACGAAGTATGCCGGAAGTTTCTTGGTGAAGGCAAAGTTCCAGACATGCGCCTTCTTGGCCCAGTAGTGACCGTACCTATGAAGAACCGAGAATGTTAGAGGCATACCAACATATGTATCAGGCCGTAATGGGGAATGGCCCCGTGGAAATAATTGGAACTCACAATCTTGCCTCCCAGCAATGTGTCTTTCGGGGTTTGTGGGATGTGTGAAATTGGCGCCCTTGGCGACGAATGCATGCCGAATAGGTACTCCAATGAAGCCTGGTCCCATCGATATCCTTTTGGAACCTATCAACAAGGTTTGAAAACCCAGTGATGGCAGGATCATCTGCCCCATTCTTGGAGGCTCTATAAGGCTCCAGCCTTCCCACCACCCCCTGCAAGTTGTTTTCAGATCTTTGGAGTTCCTGCTCATCAAAGACGACAACCCAAGTCAGTATAGAAAGAGATGTCTCCGATCACCATGTCAACTTACCGCTTTTAGCTTTAGGGACGCTTCCTTCAACACTTGTTCAATCTCTGGTTTAGATGCCCGAGGCAACTGGAATGGAGCTCTAGGTTTGTCTACAGCCCACTCTTCGATTGCATCAAAAGAGACTTTGCATCGGTAAAGGATGTTGTCAGCTTGGATTTCTCTGCTTGTCAGAGTAGCTTGGACAATCCAATCTTTTAAAGAAGTGAATCCTGTTGCTGTACTATCAGGGAAGCCGTCCATGGGGAGTTTTCTTGCGAGGCTTTGCTGAGCTTTACTGCTAACGGGCAAGACTGACAATACAGTAGAAGCGTCTCGAGTTTGACGAGCAGAGTTGCGGACCTGGTCGAAGTAAACCTGGAGAGCTTCCACGCTACCCTTGGACCGTGATTGGATGCAAGCCGCCAAGCAGCGGTTGTACAATTCCTTGACCTCGCTCTCTAGGACGTGGCGTAGATTCATCGCTTGGGTCAGCTCGGGGGAAGTCTGCGAGGAGTCTTGGACCGCACGCTTTGAAGAGCTATTCCCGGAAATAGGCTCAGGGCACCCATTGCCTTCAGCTTTGAGAGAGACTATTTTCTCCTGTAGATCTCTCAACTGTTCAGACTTCTCCTCGTAGAGATTTCTGTCTGTGGCAAAAGATGGGCAGATAGAATCTGGATCTGCCTCTGTATTCACGTACTTTTCCCAGTCGAGTTGATCAACCTTGGTGATAATGATAGCGATCGAGTTATCATCGAGCTTGCCACTTGCTTCTAAATCGTAAATTTGGTCTGCACAGATGAGTTCCGTGGCCGTTCGATTGTCTTGAGCTCTGTCAGCTGGAGTGACTATGAGCATTTTGTCGAGCTTGTCGTAATATTCTCTAGCAACCTGCGAACGGGAATCTAGAGCGTCCATTTGGCCAGGCAGATCAACCAAGACTAGGCCTGAACATCTGGAGAGAAGCGGAGAGGGAAGCCAGATTTTGACGAGCTCAACAAGTGGCCACCGGAGTTGTCCTCTCTTCGCATTTGAAACAGAGCCCACAAAGGGCGTCACTTCTCGCAAAAACTTTTGAGGGTTATCCGCGTTGAGGCGAGTATGCTTAGCTATGTTGGGCTGAGAAAGATTGAAAAGCATGTTCGCACTCTCGCAACAGCTTGTGATTTGGTCAATTTGATCCGACAAGCCAAGCTCTTTCACCTGAGCAGGACTGAATCCTGACCACCCGCTAATAACCTTAATTTGCTCTTGGAAACGGACTTCCTCAGTTCTTGTTATCTCGTCTGAGCCTTCCGCTTCCACTCGATCGTGGAGATCTTTCATTTCTTGGAACATGGACGCTAGCTCTTGTTCAACGGCTTCCTTGCTCTTGAATGTAACTTTGGCCCTGAATTTCGACGTGCCGCTCTCCGGATAATGATTCTGGAAGCAACAGACTGCCGCAGTGCAGGCGGCCCGTTGGGAACTTGGCGCGATGTCTATTGTGTCATTAATCAGAGTGTTCAGTAGCATCGTCTTCCCGAGGCCTGTATCGCCGCCTTTGAAAATTTAGCGTTAACAACCATTATCTCGCAAATAGTATGAGAGTGGAGTAAATGAACTTACAGATACCGATGTGGGTGGAAAATTTCTCGAAGTCCTGCTCAATGCCTCCTGTATGTGTATCATTAGCATTTACTCAGCATGGTGGTGGTGAAGTCCTTACGGTATGTAGAGTCCCACGTAGACAAGTCAATATCTGAGGGCTCAACTTTGCTCTCAGTGATCTTTCGTGAGATCGATGCCAGATTGTCTAAGAGTTGTAGAACGGCGTCCTCTTTTTCTTGCACCACTTCCTCATGGCTCATCTCTGGGTGTGCCGGATTTGGTGCCTCCGGAGGAGGCGTGTCGCCCGACATGATGAGGGATGCGACGAGATAGAACTAGGAGATCTAGACTTCGAAAGACCACTCAATATGATATTGGTGGTTGGAGAACAACTTCTCTAGCGCTGAACTGTTAGGTGCTTCAATAAGCAAATGTGTAACGCGCTGCGTTAGGTATTGAAAGTGTCAAGGAAGTAAAAGAAGCTTGGTAGAGGCTGGGGTAGAAGGTAGAAAGCTGAGGTTGACTGGAGATGAAAGTGAGAAGCCGGAGGAAGAGAGAAGAGAGGTGGTTTTATACAGCAACTGAGGCCAGTGGCCGCCTGAGGAATCCACCAGGCAAGAGAAGGAGCCACCCCGGGAATTTCTCAGGAGAAAGTGAGAAGGTTCTGAAGGAAGACACGGCCGAGTGCAGGGAGAAGTGGAAAGAGTGTGGCCAACCTCCGGCTTCAGAGGAGACACGGCAGGCGATGCGACACAACTCGGCTCGATAGCGGCCAGTCACAGGGAATGGAAATGAAACCTGGTCTACGAATATGAGGCGTTGGAGTAATAGATGACGTTGAGTTCTAGATGTCAAGGCACCTAAGCTGCCACGGCGCTTCTTTGAATCTGAGACTGATGCAGGGCTTTCATATAGGAACCTCTCGTTGTAGGAATTGAAAAGACACTACGTCGTTGACACAGGCGGATTCAAGTTGAGAATATGAGATCATTCTCCTCCTTTGCTCTTCCAACAAAACACAGAGGTAAGGATTATAAAACTTATGCTCAGAATTTGATCTGAACAATGAGATGACATTTGGTATTCTAGCTGCCTACCCGAAAGAAGCTCTTGTCTAGATTGCCTTTACCCCCCGGCACACCCGCAGAACCTCAGACGGCATCTCGCAAGGCTTGTGAACCCAAGAAAACGTTACAAAGATCGGGGAAAGGGAACAGACGCAAGCCGAACTACTGGCTCAGCCGCTGCTCACGACCGTGCCTGAGAACGCGTGTGACGACTCGTGCTTGGAACCAGCTGAGTACATATCCCCCTTCTGTTGCTCACCCGCCAATGTAAAGGCACTCCCTGAGTTCTCACCTCTGAGTTGTAGCCCAGAGACACTCCTTAGGTACAAAGCGCGGGCCCCGTCGTCGCTCTCCTTTGAAGCTTCTCCCTGTCGCGGGTGAAATCATTGCACCTTTCTCATCTCACACCAACCAACCACTCAAAACAAAATCATATTGAGTACAGACCCCAAGCCTCACATTTTTCTTCGACATCTTGCTTTTCCCTTTATGAAAGCTCCGTGCAGAACCATACAACAGACAACCAGAACCAGACGCAGCCCAGAAACCACAAGGCATGTGTGCGTAGTAGGTCTCCTCAATCAGACATAACAGACGTATTTGAAAATGTCTGACGCCTACTATCTCAACTGCATCTGCCCCGAGCACAAGCTCCTGGCCCCTCTGCCCACTTCGGCGCAGATCGACGCGGCCATCGAGGAGCAGGGTTGGTAGTTGATGGGGTTGAGTGTCTTGGTTAAACATGATCTACACAGGAACTCGAGACAAAGGACAAAACAACAGGGCTGGACCTCGATTTTTTCACAGGAGATTGAACGGCCCAAGAGCCCATATACCAAAAGAACTACATAAAAGGCTCTATAAAAAGAAAGAGAACTTGCTGGAAAAAGATTTTGCTCAAAACATTCGTCCTACATGACTGATTCCACCGTCTTGAGGCTCAAGCTCGCTCTTAGGCCTCAGAGTCACTTGCGCCTTCGACAAGACGCTCGTTTGGCAGCATGATTGCTCGGTCAAGCTCATACGGTAGCCCGCGATGACGCCCTCGAATCATCATGATGCATATCACAACTTTCCCGAACGGAGTAAATTTCCCACAAAGGGATACGTTGACGTTGGGATACCCAAGGCTCAGGCCGACATTGGCGCTAGAGTTAACCGTCAGCACTCTGGAAAAAGGAAATGAACGTGGATAGATCATCGTACTATGCAGATGTGACTTCGAAAAGTATAGAAAACAAGTTGAAGGCCTGTAGGTAAGAGGATCAGTCAATCTGCTCGTTGCGTAACAGCCGAATCCACACGACGGGAGAAGCTTACCGGATCAGCCCCATCCATGATCTTATCGGATTCTGCAATGGAGATGCAGAAAACTCCCAAAAATATGTACCACAAGTCAAAGCTGAGTTGGTTCTGCATGTGCTTCAAAAGATACGATGGGCCAGTGCTTTCAGACTCGTCCACCTCAATCTCGGGAGGCTCATAGATCCCGAGCGACCGTTCCTCGTACGTGTTTGACGCTCGTATGCTGATGGCCAAAGGAAATACGGAGATGTACATCATGACCAGAAGACTGAGCTGAACAGCCGGATTGACATCCGAGAGGACAAACGTCGCCGTGCCGGTGTGGCGGGACGAAGCAGCCTGGAAAATCGCAGCGAGAATCCGCTGGCCGACCGGGAGTACAGCAACGGCGGGATTATGGAGATCAAGCACGATGATGAGAAGCGTGTCCACGAAATTGAGAACAAAAAGAATGCCAAAGAGGACCCAGGTCTGCTTGCTGGGGAAGAGTAGCGTATAACATCGTCGCGGATGCTCCAGGAGGAAGTTGAGCGGTTCTTGGATGGCCGAGTTTCTTGGGAGGACCTTTGACATCGTCCATATTGACAGCCGCAAGAAGATTGGGTAGCAGGTGTTTCCAGCAAACGCAAGAAAGCTCATAACGACCATTGGCCATTCTGCGTCTCTGAAGCTGATCATTGAGTCTGGAGTGAGTGTGAGGCCTAGATTGTTGAACATGGTTTGTGCCGAGTAAAAGGCCCTGCGGACATAGTTTAGATAGGGCCCAGCAAACTGGGTTCTCGCCGCAGAAGAGCGTGAACATCACTCACCACCAAGTTTCAGACACCGCGCATTCTTTCAAATAGTCCCTGTACTTGGCATCCGAATACTTGATCCATGGAAGTAGACAGATGGCGCCGAAGAGATGCAGGCCAAAAAAGTAAGCTAATCTAGGCAGTCAGTGAACCAGACCTGCCAAGCAATTCAGGTGGCAACCTACTGATGACGATTTTCAGAAGGAGTTTCAAACTTCTATATTCGATACCCCCGAGTATTTCCCTATCTTCTGAGGTCAAGTTCACGAACAGGGAGTTCCGACCGATGGTTGCTTGATTTGAAAGATATGGCAGGCTATTGAGGGCGGGCTGTTGCAAAGAGATAGAATTTCGTCGTTCTCGAGGGGGGTTGTCTCGTCCAATGACGAACATGGATGAAGCAAACGTAGCGACACGATCAACTGAGCGTGCCTCGGCAAGTCTAGAGCCTTCTGTAAAACGGCGCCGCAAACCAGGTTGCAGACTCACTCCGGAGATAGCATCTGGGTCGCGCTCTAGAACAAGAGAGTTAAATCTTAACAAACGTAATTACTCCGTTGCATATGAGTAGCTGCTAGTTTCATACCGTCATGACTTCGTGAAAGAGTGTTGTTCAGCTCAATCAAAGGATAGCCTCGGTCACGGTCACGAGGCCCCGGAATGTAAAGCGTTGCATCATTCTTGGGCCGATGGTCCGTGGAAGGATCAAAACTGATGTGGGCACGAGGCTGGGAAGGCTTTTCGTTGTTGATTTGATTTCCCTCGCCATCCTTACCCTGGTCTGTGGCTAGAGGGGGAGTAGGGGGTGGCGAGGACTTTCGTTCGGTCACCGTGTTTTCAATCACACCTTCATCTTGTGTTGTAGGCTCACTCGAAACTCTCGGCTCCGATGGTGAAGCAGAGCCCGGCGGTGGTGAAGTGAGTGGTCCGCGTCCAATGATTTCGACATCTCTTGCTCCCTGATTGGAATTTGTATTTCTTCTGGCTGAAAGTAGATCTGGAGCTCTTTTTTTCAAATGCTTTCTGAACCACCAGAGGCGTACTATCACAACAATGATGTTAATGAAGCCAATGTTAGTGACAGTCGGCAGAAAATAAAGGTACAGCTGTTGATAGGTTTTCAGCTCTTTCAGGTCCACACTGTTCGGCGACAGCGAGTGCAGATTGTTAGAAGCTTCCAAAATGATTCTTCGTGTGGCTTGTTACGTACGTATTCAGACCGGACTCGGTGGATGCGCTGACTCCAAAGTGGTAGGTGTCAACAGCGCTGAGGGTGCCATCTGGGTAGAGAATGGGAAATGACAGCAAGCCAAGCACAATGATATATGTATCTATTTATATCTCCATCGTCAGTTATTAGTGACTCGATTGCTTACTTGATTATAGCTTGTCTTAATGATAGTGGACTCACAGTGTAGAGACACGAAGTTTATCGGTGGACGCCACATCCCACACAGACCTGAATCAAGAGCCGGGGAACTATGAGTTGCGAAGGTGATGCAGTCAGACGAGAGGTAAGACAAGAACGTGTACGGCGCTTGGATAAGCCCGGCAAGAATCAACAGAAGCCAGTAATTAGAAAGGGTAGTGTCCTTGCCTTGCTCGGGAGGCCTCTGGGTCAGTCAAGGTGGTGATATGTTCTTTTGAAGTAGGCCTTTTGAGGATTGTGAAATTCTGGCAATGGCTATGATTAAATATCTCGTGCGAAAAGGAGAAACATCTCATGATCAACTGGTTGACACATGGGATCCGACGATGCACAGCCTCGCATGATCAGTCATATTTCTTTACCACCCACTTCACCCTCCAGGTAAGACAAAGACCGGCTAATCGCGCATAATTACAATGTCCATTGCCGGAGTGGCCCGGACACCGGGGCCTGGAGCCCAAAATTAGGTGGCCTTCCCTTTCCCTTGGGCTGGGACGGTGCGTGATTGTGTATCCGGGATCAGCGTCGCAGTAGTTGGGTAGTAGGAGGCCTCTTGACACTGGGGCCGGGAGAGCGCCAGAATCAACCACAACAACCCCCAATTACAGCCGATTGGTACATGATATATGCATGTACAATGGCTGCTAGATAAGCTTGCAGGTTGTCGCTGCTGGCTACGCTCTAGGAGCCGGGAAGAACCCGCATATTTCAAGCTTAAGTTCTTGGTTGTTGAAAATAGGTGTGGCTGTAGCTAACAAAGTCAGTACGAAAGTGGCTGCAAGCTTTCACTGCGATAAAGAACAGAAAGAGAAAGCGGCAGTAATGAAAATAATTTCCGTGCCAACAAATCCAATCCCAACACTCCATCCCAGAGTTGAATATAACTTAACTCCGAAAGAGAGGGTACGGGAATGAAGTTGGGGCCTGGTTTCTTTGCATTGGATACTTCTATTCTCCCGAGTCAGGTTTCAGAGCACGCAAGCTGAAGCCAACGGGCGCGATTAGTCCCTTCTCTTCTTCATGTCTTGCACTGATCGGTTGACACGCTCGATTTCCTCCTGGGCACCATCCCACTTCTTGCGCTTCCCGTCAAAGAGGCGCAAGATATGTGGTGTAAAAATGCCATCCACCAGCATACTGTAAAGTCGTCGATTCTGGAACCAAAACTTCCACCCTGCCAAACCCCATCCAAGGCGCTCGTTCAGACCGGTCCCTGCCACGTCGTTGGCCCAAGTCAGCCACTCTTTTTGGTTTACCCACCCAGGATGGGCACTGCCGGTCTTGGCTATTTGGATAGTCATCTTGTGCTGTTCATCAACAGCTAGATTCATCTCTTCTGTTGAAGGCAGCGCGGAGGTGCCTTTCCATATTTGCGCAATAGACATCGTGGCCAGGTCGTATAGAGGGAATGCCCCAGTTGCAAAGGCTACACAACCGAGGAAGGCCAACGATTGAGGATGTTCGAGAGAGAAAACGTTTCTATATAAGCGGGGGAGTGGTTTACCTCTGGATCCCAAGGCTGCCTCCCATTCTGACGACGTGTTACGGGTCGGGTCGACCGCGGCGTCGAGGAGCTTGAAGGTGTGTCTATACCCAGTGCACCAAATAATAGTGTCAACATCGACCTTTGAGCCATCATCCATCTCGATTTCGTTAGGCCCTAGTACCTGTTTGACACCATGGCTGATAGGTTGCACCTTGCCACTTCGGAAAAGGTCAACGATGTTGTCTGAGATAACTGGCAGGGCGTTCCTGATTGACGGGGCTGGAACGATGCGCCACTCGGGGTCGAATTTGAAGGCCGAGCTCGACATTTTCCCTAAGCCCTTATCCGTCATGAACTCGAAAACCGAAGGGAAGTTAGTCTCCAGAAATCCGAGGATATTGATCTTGCGAAGCGTCATAGAATGATCGAATGGCACTCCGGCTACCTTCCTGGGCAACTGTAGATGTGTATGTGTTAGTCCCTTCACCCAACCAGGTAGAGCCATCAAGACTCGTGGGTAGATGGATTGGCCAACGAACAATGACTGCCCCATGTCTATACGACAGATAGATATTATCAGCGTTCCCAACAAGAGCTGCTGCGGTGTCCACGCCAGTACTTCCCAATCCAACAACTAACACCTTCTTCCCCTTGAAGTCTTCTGGCCTATCATCGAGGTCTTAGTGGTCCGAGTCTGAGGATGTGCCAAAAGTGAGGTTTTGACAAACCTCTTGAAGGAACGGGAGTGGACGCTGTTTCCCGAAAATTTCTCTATGTTCGGGAGATCGGGAATCTGGGGCTCCTGTTGCGCGCCCGTCGCGATGACCACTTTATCGAAGAAGAGAGGATCTGAGCCTTCGACCAGTAACTTCCATCGATCGGCTTCCTCGTCCCGAATTACTTTTTGGATGTTGGTGCCAAGCCGTAATCTAGATGCCAGCCCGAAGTGCTCAACATAGCTCTCCAAATAATCTTGGACATCTCGAGCAGTGCAATGACTTGGGGCATCTTGAGGGAAAGGAAAATCGGTATAGCACCCTCGTTCTTTAGAAATGTTGATCACCGTTGCTAAAGATGCCTATTAGTTGGGGCCCGTATGAGGGATACTTAGAACAAGGACAAGGTTGTCTCACTTGGCAGAACCGATGTCCTGTCCTCCTCTGAGAAGTGCCACAGACCACCGACAAACGGGCTACGCTCAAAACCAACGACATTGAAACCCTCCTCGGCGAGATTTTTCACAGCCACCAGACCCAAAACCCCTTAAGGATAAGTGTCAGTAATGTCACAACGCGTTTGCATCAAATGATGCTTGGGCAAGTTATTGCGCATCCTACCAAGTCCAACAACGGCAACAGACGGGGCGTCTTGTGCCATCATTTAAGAGAGAGAAGATAGGAAACCCTAGCCTGTCATAGACAAGTACAAGAGCAGATACTTTGCTTCACCGTGATATGAAACGTGTTGCTTGCGGAGAAATTGTCTCAGTGGCTGGATACCATCAGTGGGCGGGCTAAGCCGAGGATGTGGCTTTGTATATATTGTGATGAAGAAGCCAACATGTGCGCATGCTTCATGAGACACAAGAGGGAAGGAGACTGGTATAAATGGCCGAACGAAGCCACCGCTCCCAAATAAAGCTCACACGACAGATACGCAGGCTGCCCAGCAAGGGAGCCTAAAGGCTGAGTTCATGTACCCACCAGGTAGCCTTGATGGCCACTTTCAATGGGTGAGACCCATTGATTCATGCGGCATGACCAGCTTGACACTTGCCATGCAAGCCGCGTGGTGCGGCTGAATTTTAGCGTTTAGGTTAATTGGTCCTTGTGCGGCGCGCCTCCCTGGCCGAGAATTATCCTCATTGGCTGACTTCCAGGCAGAAATTGCACCAGAAGCCCGTGTTGATGGCCTGAGTGTTGATGATTTTCATGATAAAGGCGATAGGTTTGAGCGGTTGGTAGGCTCGCCCAGTTACTATCCCGTTGAAGGAGGACTGTGAAGGTCTCATCTGGAATAGACCAGGGGTAGTCGACGATGGTGGGGCATGATCTTATCAATCTGATCGTTGTAGTCAAGGTCTCATCACTGGAAGTCTCGACATGCTTGGCCATCCCTGCTCGGACAAACAATCTGGCCGGTCCTGCTTTTGTTGGCTTATATTCTAGGGATGCCGGCCTGACGGGAGGATTGCGTCTCCGATGAGCCTACTCTTTTCTCCATCCTATACCCCCTGACATGCCATGTGCTTTTCTGCGTCAATTATAAATGGAGCTTGTGGATGGAAGGTCGTAGCTTAGATGCTTCCAGGCACTAATTCTGAGTACGAGGCTCCCAAACTGGATTCCCTCATCGGATGATCTCGCCGGGTGCTCGAGTGCCGTATGCAAGTGTCGGCGTATGTGAAGGTGGTCGCCAAACCGGCCAAGCCGTCAGATCGTATTCGCCGGTCTTTATGCTCAGCCCCTGGATCTTGAATAAATTCCTAACCCAGCGTGAAATGTCTCCACAGGCCCGCTCAAATCGGCATTCTCGTTAGCATGCCCGCGAAATTCGAGGGCAGGTGATCGTCGACGATGTAGAAAGGGAAGATTGACGACTCAGGTTGGCAATTGGATCGTTCTGTCTAGCAACTTAATTGCGTTAGCAAATCATCTGGGGATGTCAAGTCATGGGTTGCCACTTACTATGAAGATTACAGGAGCATCCTTGGGCCAAACACCATGTCTGAGGACTTGCTCCGGGTAGACAAATACTTATTCGCCTGCAAAGTTGGTGTTTCCATTGAGAGGAGTAACGAGTTGCCCGTTACTAGTGCCCGATAAAAGGTTTCCAGCGAAGGAAAGAAGCTCCAAATCTCCAATATTACTCTTGGCAATGGAACGAGACACGCCGTTTAGCAGTGATTCTCCTGTGCCGGATCGAAACGGGCAATGGCGGAGTGAACTAGTAGGGTGTCATCCTTTTCTGCAGCCAGGGATTTTGTTAGTAAATCGAGTGGTCTGTTTGAAATAGAAGCTAGTGAGCCTCATCACGTCAAGCTTGGTTTGTGATGACGATCTATCTCGGTCGACCTTTCAACTCTATGAATGATGTTGTTATCCATATCGATGGCAGCACCCAGTTCACAGACCTAAAATACGGTTTCGAGCAAAGATATCGCTCTATACTGAGTCTACCGGCCGCTGTGTATCGACTTTTCCCTAGAACAAAGACATTGGATCTGTGGCCGATAGTGTCGGGCATCCTAACGGCATCTGCTTTTCACCTGATGAGAAGGCGGTCTATATTGCCGACACAGATCAGCAACACGGCCAGTCAGTGGATTGTAGTCTGGCAGCCTCCATGCAAGGGAAATACATCGATATACTTACCAATAAACTTTTCAAGCTGGGTGGGTGTTGCACACACACGATAAACGCTGGCTTTGTTGACACTATGCATCCGACGTAAAATACTACCATGGGCAGCCTTTCTTACCAGCCGTCGTTTATTTGCACTCGCCAACACAGTAATACCTGATAAGATCAAATGTGACACATATGGAAACGTGTACAGCGGATGTGGCGATGGATTTCACGTGTGGTCGGCTGGTGGCGTGTTGCTAGGCAAAGTGCTCATCCCGGGGGAGGGGGGGCCGCCAACTATTGTTTTGGTCGAGACGAAGACAAGTTCGCGCTGAACGATCATGGAATCTGAAAAGCCAAGGTTAATTCGAACACAAATGGTGCTTTGCTTGGGGAAGTGAAGATGTCGACGAGTCAGCAGGCAAGTGCGTCGACGAGAAGGAAGTGCACCGTATCTGGCAAGTAGGGAAGGATCGAGCGAAGAAAAAAGAGAAAATACTAGCTCCCAGAATCAAGACACCTGTGTCTGAATAGGAATCTGTTACATTCGTAGTGCAGCAGCCATATTTCCCAAGAAAAAGAGAAGTGTGCTTTTGCTTTCTTGTTGTTGCATGAGTACAAAGTAGCACGGCCCACCTGGAGGGCTCAGGACTGACGCTTGGGCACATCTCTCCTTGTGCAGCCCGCCACTGTCAAGTATTCAGCACTGGAAATTCCTCTATTACCCACTGGGATCTGACCTTTGCCACGAGTGACACCCATCTCTCCATTGTACCATTTCAAATTTACTCTCTTCCTCCATGGCATGCTCGCTTGCCTGAGCACCAGAGAGAACTCCTCGCTGACTTATGCATCATCTACCCAAGCCCTTACTGCATCTTCTACTCACCATCATATGCCCCATGCCGTATTTACTTGTGAACTTCGCTCCCTGGCAGAAGTGATTCACTCTTATTTCACCTATCTTGCGGAGGGGGCGTGACTACCCAACTAATGGTATCGGCATTTTATTTCTTATTGCCCAAGAAGTAGGCACTAAAATGTCTCTTCCGTGTGCCACCGAAGCTGAATATCGAAGAAAACACGCTTCAGATCCATCTCGACTAGTCCTTCCCATCAAGGATTTTGAATGCTCCTCTTCTCAAGGTGATGCAAAGAAGAATCCAGCTGGTGGCTTCAAACTAACGTCATTATGTGTTAGGCATCAGTATGAATCTACGTTCAATACGTTCGACTTCCGATCAGGGCCTTAAAGCGTGAGGGTGGTTATGCGATCTGCCAGAGATTGGAATTCGCCTCCGAAGGCAGAGCAGCCATGAACTTCGAACAACATCCCGGCGCCCTCGACTCTTGTCTACGTGGAGCGAGCTCTCTCCAAGTAGAACGAATCATCGAATTCCTCATATCCTTCTTGCTGATAGCCTACTCTAAGATACGACGTCGAACCTGCAGAGGTGTCTCATCGTTTGGTCATTTACCGAAAGGAACCTTCTCTCCTCACTCTGGACTACAGATGCTTGACAGGCATAGGTTGTATTATTCAGATTAGGCTTTGTGACCTCTTGGACAACGTTGACTGTTATATTTGGTGATGTCAGATCAGTTCCTTCTGTTGACAATCCCAGGACTACGATAATCATACGCCCCTCTTACCGATGACAAATTCCGTTACAGGATCAATACACTTGACTCTAAGTCTATTTTATTCTCGTGAGCCAGTACTCTTAAATTGCCCCCCCGACGTGAAGCAGGCAGTTAACCCCTATTTCTAGGCTATTTTCGCACACCGCCCGGTTCTAAGTCCGAAAATGTACCGTTGCCGAACGATTGCCCATTGCTACAACCTTCAGCCTATTCGATTCCCCGTCCCTTGGCCGTCGACTCCGAACGTGATAGATATATCGAATATCGTTATCAAGATGACATAAGGAATATGTCTTGAGGCACATTTCCAGTAACCTCCAAGTCCGAAGGAACCAAACCCGCTACCACATAACATCCTCCCCAAAGACTCTTCTCAGAGACCATCTGAGAGAAAGTACTAGTAGGCCAATGACCTCAAAGTGCTGACCTTTCCAATAGCCTGTTTATGACACACAGATCAGTAGTTGGCCATCAAGCATCTATGGTAAATACATCAACCTCGTGCACCTCTCGGTCCAGGACAACCCTAAGAAAGAAAACCTTCCACTCCTACGAGGTCTCTCAAAAATGAATCAGAAGGGAGGCCCAAGAAGCTGAAAATTAGGACAAACTCCTCTCAGTATATTCACTCTGGACTTCTTCACCCAAAGACAAGGCATTGCACAGTAAACCAAGAGTTAGGGCTTCAAGTTTTTTGTGATTTAGAAGCTGAGGTTGACTGAAGAATGCTGCCCAAGAACCATTAACTGACTTTCTTTTTGTGCTCGATCTCATCTCCTCCTCACCATGAAACCCTCCTTGAATGAACAAATTTCCCTGATGCCCGTCCCCAAAAGGCCCCCGGATTAACCCGGCTTCCTCCTCCCCGCTCCCTCCTTCCCTCCTCTCACTCCGCCAAAAAGGAAGAATGAAAAAGTGAAATTAAAAATTGGAAAAATAAAGGGAAATTTTGAAGTGGAAAACCAACAAGAAAATTGGACAAAATCTTCATTACCTCTCTGTTTGATTTTGGCTGATTATGGCAGTCTGGAAATAATGTTAGTAAATGGCATAGGTAGAATAGCGAGGGCAGGGGGCATACTTACAAACTTGATGGATGAAGGTAGCCACCACGGGACTAGGGTTCAATATCGATCCCTCGAAAGAAGAATGCAGTATGCTGTGATGGAGTTAGCCGAGGTAGAGCTGGGCATGTCTGAGACTTGGCCACTAACCTTAAAGAATGTTGGCAACGGCCACCATGATTTGGATATTGGGCTTTGGAGAGTGCAGCGCTCAAGGTTATCTCGTGTGATGTGGAAAACTAGAAAGCTGATTAGTGTGCGGTTGAGACTCTGGGAAGGGGGTTTTATTTAGCCCTGAGGTGGCCCAATGCCAGAAGAAGGTCAGTGACCTTTGAAAAGCACCTATTCATTTGATTAGTATGGTACAAACAGGTACAGAAGATAGAGGGGATGAGAATGAGATGTTCGGCAACAGCTGGCCTGATACCCAGAGAAGGTCAGCGACCTTTGGAAGTCTGAAGTCATCTAGACACTTGATTAGTGTAGTGCAAACAAGGGAGATGGATGGATGGTGATTTGTAGTTATATGTGGCTTGTGAAGTCGAGATGAATGGTTGATCTAGTCGGGAAAGGAGAAGTTCGTTGTTTTTTTTTATATGATCTAGAGAGACACTTGATTAGCAAAACCTGTACATATAGGGATGATATGTGTGTATGAGAAGGTGATGATGGCTCTTCCATCAAAGCAAGAGGCTTGCTTGAAGGATTAATGCGTCATCTGGTGAACAAGAAACAAGTGGAAGGGGAGATGGGTGTGCGGAAGAAGGAAGAAAGAGTTCAAGTTGGAGAGGGGGGAAGGAGAGTATTTATTTGTCCCCATCCGGCGACAGGCAGAAAAATCTGAGCTACTGATCTCAGACTAATCTCATTGATACCTCACCTTGAATAGAAAGGGTAATGGGGAGAGAAATAGAAAAAGCAGACGCACAATACTCGAGGTGAGTCCAGGAGGGGGGCTGACCTACGTACCCCAGGACCCAACAATAACCCGGCTCACCCGACCCTACGCCTTGCTTGTGACGGTGAATTGCACCAAATCATCACCTACAATGAGAAGGTAAATTTCCAAATGATTAGAATACATATCCAAATCATTGAGATGACTAGCTAATTCTATTCAGCACTGGTGATAGTATGCTGGTCAAGGTCACACGCTTTCAAATCTGACGATGGAGGCCTCGAAGTGGGCCTTGCATTTATGACTGAATAATACGTTGGTTGTGTGAATCCAACATCTTACGCATGCCTTTCAGTTTGGCTACCTAGGTAAATTTAGGTGACGTTGACGTTGAGCAGTTGTGGGCTGCCAGCTGCTTTCTCGGCAGGCCCAGCCACCCCTCTCACCTTGCGGTCCCCTTATGAGCTTTTTGAGCCGAGCAGAGCAGCCCTGTAGCAAGCCTAGAGTTGCTAGTCCAGAGATCAATGTTTACTGGTAGTGAAGCGGGTGGGCAAAATAGAACTGAGTTAGCCTTATAACAGGACTGCTAGCTGTGGCCAGCTCCCCCAGCGGCTTTTTGCTACCTACCTACCTAGAAGTGTGAGCCATGCAAAAGTTCTTGCCAGATATCTTCAGAACATGCTCCATGTGCCATAAATCGTCTTCTAGATATTGCTCGAAAAAATTCATGTTGTTTGTAGGCTGAAGCAGATCAACACTATCCAAGTCACCACGCCCGCCACTAGATCTGAATTTGTGAAGAAGAAAAACACAGACAGCTAATTACATTCTCCATTCCCCTGCGTTCATCTAGGTACATCTGTCATAACATGCAACGCAAACCGACATAGCCTTATTTGCTCCTCGAATCTAACCCTCGAACGGATCAACCCACGAGCGTCTCTCCTCGGAGACTCTAGCTACTGCGCGCTTGGAGGATATGGAGATCAGCTTCTCACATTTACCGCGCAATAAGCCCAAGTGCCTGTACAGTCTGCATTTCCTCCCTCGTCTCTCACACCGGGCCTGAGCGTCAATCAGGCGCCGCATCGACCTGTAGCTTCTGAACAAGGAAAGGCTCTTGCCAGTAAGACTCTCGCTGGTGGATGTTCCAATTGATATTGCCGGATATTCATCCTCGTATGCCTGGAGAGCTGTCTGAAAAGATAACACGCATTTTTTGTCACAGAAAGGGGCAGGACGGTCACTGCGAGCCTTATCCCGCAATTTTCTCAATTCTTCCTTTAGCAGGTTAAACAGCCGATGTCGAGTATGCACGACGACATCTTCACCGCATTATCTCGTCAGCACATCCGAGTGAAACAAGAAAGCTCATGGAGGAGAGAGAGGAGAGAAGAAAACTTACCGAGCAAGTTGGTGCTAATCGGCAGGTTGTACGGATCGAAAGGGCAATTGCTATCGTGGACGAGTGTGGAAAACACCTTCCGGACCAGATCCACGTCCTTGAAAACGCAAGCAATTGTCGCATATTTCCTAAGGGAATGAGACATTTCCACATTGCTGGGGCGTTTCCTCCCCAAGGCCAAGGTAAGGGGGCGGATCATTCTCCTCAACTTCTCATGGCATCCATAATACTCTAGCATCAGAGCTAGTTCAAAATCTGTGTGAAGGTCATTTGGAGATGGTGGTAGTCTGCTCAAATCTTGGAAAGAAATGCCATCTTCGGTATGTATAGCCATCATGAGAATAATCATGGCTCTCTCATCCCATCCACAGGCCGAGACGACGTTCAACATCCTCCTCGTACCTCCCAGGCCGCTTTCCCATTCGATGCTAACGTCCAGAATCGGTACGCGACGAGAGAATTGACGTTCAAAATATTTCGTAGCCGATCGAAGCTTGTCCATTGAAACTAGCATCGTGGTTTTCGTTTTGAGACTTGGATATGAATCCACCAGGGCAGCTTCTTGCCACCAAGCACACTCTCGTCTCACAGCATCCTCGGAGCTTCGGTTACGTTCATGCTTGAGATCGTCGAAAACGTAGTATGCATACTCCTTTGCATCAGGTGTAATGCAGAGGGGGGAGTCTGGGTGGTCCAGCTCCAGGAGCGTATCCCCATCGATGTCTTGTTCTTGCACCATCAGTGAAACTGCGGAAGATACATGATGGTATTGAAACGTCGGCTGAACTCTTGGCGCTAGATAGCGCCTTTGTGCCATTTGCCCATACATCTTCGAATGATTTTGAGGAGGCCTGACGCTATGATAGTAAACAGAATGTAAAATGGTGAGCTTTCGGACGAAATTCAGTCTGATGACTACTCCAACGATGCAGAAAGTAATGCAACGAAGGGCTTTGAAAGGGCTCGCCGAGGGGGGTTTAAGTATTCATGGGCTGAGGGATGTGCCTGTTACTGTTACTGTTCATCGCTCAGGCCTTGCTGTACGACGCAATTAGTGCCGAGAAACAACACAAAGTAAAGGTTGAGCAGACAAATGAATACCTTCTCCAAATACCACAGGTGCTAGATAACCATATGTCATAGGGTGTTCTCGATTGCTTGGAGCTATCTCGCTGCCTTTGGAAGAGAAAGGACGAGTATGGGCTAAGAACCATATCGGAATACCAATACAGTTGGCAAAATAATACAAAGGGATGGCATTTCATATTTGGTTTCGTTCGGGTCTACGTACTCACATTACAAAACGGCATAATTTTGACTTCGCGGGACTTACGGGTAGCTACTGTTATGGCTTGCTTAATTCCACGCCCACGTGGGTATATTGGGTATTCTGTTGCTGTATCGTCACTTCCAACAGGGGAGGAGATGGAAGCCTAAAGAACAACGTAGGACGACAGCTTGTTCTCTGGGTTGGCTGCAGCTAATCTAGGTACCTATCCATGATGCCCACATGCCAACCAGTTGTTCATACCCGATGCTTTCTGAAAATTCTAGGGCCTAAGCGTTCATCAAACAAAGAAAGATTAGCATACCCTGTATTGAAGTTGGGCTAGGGGGATGTTTCGTCAGTCATAAGCTGGGAGAGACGTATAGGCGGCCAAACAGGGCAGATTGGAAGGAGGCAGACTCTACTGACAACAGAAAAGTCTCATGTCAGTATCCAAATCACCAATGTGACACATCACACTTTTCTAGCTTTGGAAGCGTCCTTCTCCGTTCAAATCTCGGGCTGAGTCCCTCCCGTGCAGGTGAATATGCAAGTACCCGCCATCTGACACAAGCCACCTCCTCCGCCTCATTTCTGATAAACAGGTTTTGACGGCTCCAGGAGATTCGTACGATTCGGTATCTATCCGTCTGCCAAGAGGAGGGGTGTGGTACTCGTCCCGAGGTGTCTTTTCTTTTTGGGTGGACAGAGGAGTTCGATTGCCCATTCAGCATTTCAACATCTAACAATCACCATGGGCCATCACTACGCGAATAATGAATGTTTCGTAAATCAGGGGCCACAAACATCAACTGTCATTGATGAAATGTCGCCGATAGAGAACCCTACGTCGACGAGTAAAGACAGAAAAGCAACACTTGCATCACACCGACAACGCCAAACCGACCCAAATCCGACCAGCAGAGGCTCCCTCTGGTGTTTTCCACAGATAAAAAGCAACGCAGACACCGAAACGAATCACAACAAAAACGAAAATCAGAACTGAGAAATCAAGCAGCCAAGTTGGACGACAATAGCCACAAGCACCACAGGCTCTCTGGCATCTCTCGGAAAATCTGGATCAAGAGCAGTCCTAACAACGAAGAAGGCATAGTCAGAATCATGTCCAAGAAAAGAAGAACACTCACAACACTTACGGTAGTGAACGACGTCGTCAAGCCACTCAATGACCAGAGGGGGGGTAGGAATAGGCGGCAAGACGACCAGGCCAAGAGCAGGCCACACAGGAAGGAGATCACGGCCAATGGTCATTTCGGCAGGACGGATGCCTTGGAGCCAGGCCTCGAATAGCCTCCTGTTTCCTCGGCGGGCGATGACATCGAGGCTCACATCCTCCGTCTCGCCTCCCTCCTCGCCGGTGCGAGCCAGGACCATCCTTACTATCAGGCTGGCCTGAGTTTGGACGAAGTTTCCCCGACGGCCTTCCCAACTTAACAAGCCATCTTCGTCGATGAACATGTCTTCGATGGGCACAGACCGCCCGATAGCTCTTGAGAGCCTCTGCAAGGATCTCGCATGGACGACGGGAAGCCAGCAGGAAGGCACTACCGGCTCGAGGTAGGGAGTTACGTTGTCACCCATTGTTGATTTCGTGACTTTTCTGACTTGCATTAACGAAACTGAAATCCTAGTCTACGAGAAGAACTTGGATGACGACTGACGGGATGGGAGGTGACGACGAGGAAAGACGAACCAACGACCGAAAAAACAACGAGACAACGGAGAATGAAGTCTAGGCTTGAGGAGGGAGAAGGGAAGCCCGGAATGTATGCGAGTGAAATAATAAAACGATCAGTGTCAAACTTACCAGGAAGTTGCGGAGAGAGAGGAATCCAGGAACGATTGTGTGATAATGACTGGAAATGTTGGGAAGTCCAGACACGAATCCGAAGTTGCTATAGTACCTAACATAACAGAGCCGACTGTCTTCCTGGGGCGTGACGCAAGGAGCTGGGACAAAGTGACTGACACGGCCGTCAGAAGACCGGCCTTCGTCGACGAACACTGCTGTGCAGCTGTCAACGAACCTCCTTTCTTCAAACCCCCTTTCATAGCAGAGAGTGGTCAAATTCTGGGCGAAAGACCGTCTAGTAACATCATGAAATAAAATTACGACCTTCGATAACAAGATAGAATATATTACCACTCTTGTTATTGTTCTAGCTTTCCGAAGGCAAGTTCACTACTCATCAGTACACTGCGTGCTAGCGGGCCAGATAAATCTGAAAACCAGTAGTTACTCACACATACTCATATCTACCCAATTTCAATACTAACAAAGCCATTTTATGCCGCTTGTGCAGTTTTGTCCTCGTCCCCTTTGATCTCATTCTTCAACACAATCGCCCTCGAGCTGTTTTTCAAGTGGCTGTCGATGCTCACTGTACAGAACGCACAGAAAGTGGCCAAACCTCCGAACCCAATAGCAACCAGATAAACGAGTCTAAACGCTTCTACGTTTGCCAGCTTTGTGTGATACAAAGCTAGCTCAACAAGTCGAGGTGTGGCTCCTTCGATCGCCGAGAAGGCTGCTTTGGTGTTGGTCGCTGCAGCTGTGACGAGCCCCTTGAGGAGAGAGTTCGAGAACGATACATCTGAATCTTCGATAGCCGCGCCCATCTGGCCAGGCAGGGCCTCGCTGAGTTTGGTTGACAGAATGGCGGAGTAGATGGCTGTAGCAACGGCACCACCAAGCAGCCGAAATGTTCCCGCAAGGCCGACAGCAATACCACTATACCCATTCGTTAGTATTTCGTTTTCACTATCCTTAATACATCTTGGGAGTTCCTTGAAGTTAATCTTACATGTCTGATTGGTCCTCTAGGCCGAGTGACAACATCGCGAAAGATACCAGCTGAGGAGCCGTGACCATGGCAGAACCGATAATAAGCGTCACAATGGCCTGAACTCGATCGTCCACCCCGACCGAAGAAAGAGAACCGATAAGAGCCGTCTGAACGACCATGAAGAATACGAGTTGCCACTTCTCATGACCCAGCCACGAGCAGACGAAGACGGTTGTGACACCTCCCACTTTGCACAAAGTCAGTAATCCGAACCGTCGACGAAGATCATACTGGGAGAATACTCACGCCAACTTCCGATAGAGAAGAATGTCGCATAGCCGCCTCGGAGAATCGGCTGGTCCGCGCCCACGAACAAAGTTTGAGATTGTCTCGGCCAGAGAACGTTCATGCTGTAGTAGAGCATTCCTCCAACGAAGCAAACCACGATAACCATCACAAACTCTCGAACTTTCATAAACAGCTTCGGTGGGAGAAGGGGATACTTTTGGTTCGAGTAAACCTCCCAGAACCCAAGGGCGACGTAGCTGCTGATACCAAGAATGATCGGTGTGATAGTAGCTGCGCTGTTCCAAGCATATTGTCTCCCTCCAAAGTTAATGCCTAAGAGAAAGAGTACTCCTCCAGTTATGAAGAGGAAGATGCCTACATAGTCAAGTTCGGCAAGCAGCTGCATCTTAGTCTTCCCATCGTGGCGGTGCTTCATCTTGAAATCAGGGGGACGGTAGAAGATCCAGAGGAAGATAAAGGCGACGACATGCCATGTGAACATGTACCAGTAAGCACCCCTCCAACCGATGTCGTGGAAGGCGATGAAGCAATATGCGATGGCCGGGCTGCTAAACGCTATAGCGAGGGAGATGTCGAGGAGACCTGATATCCAATGTAAGTCTCTCTACCCTAAAACCAACCCTGAAACAACGAGTGTCACTTACCAACTCCTACCATTCGGTGCTTATTAGGTAGCATTTCCTGAATGCAAGCATAGGCCATTTCTTGGAATCCGGAGCCTATTCCAAAAAGAGTTCCGCTCGCGATCATCATATCGATACTCCTACCGTTTGCACCAACGAGGCACCCTACTATCGAGATCGAAGCACCCGTAATCATGAAATATCGACGGCCAAAGATATCGGACAAACGGCCGCTGATGGAAACAATGATGGAGCCACCCAGTTGCCAGACGATGGTGATCCAAGAGTAGTAGGGGCTCGGCCCAAGCTCCTGATTTATATACGACAAGGTCGTCGATGGAATCAACAGGCTCATTACATACGCATTGATTTGACCGGCAATAGCCTAGAACGTTGAAGATCAGCATTCCGTTGTCAAGTAACTTCTTTGGAGGTCAGTATGGTCATACAATACAAGCAAGGATCGTCTCCTTGGTGAGTTTGTTATGGACATCATTGAGCTCATCAGGGTCATGTTCCAATGCCGTGTGCTCAAGATGGGCATGAATCCCTTGCGGTGCCTTTTCCCCGTCAGACTCGGAACGAATATACTGAGCTGGGGTAGAGCCACCGGAACTGTGATCACCAGTTACCCTCATGGTGTTGTACTTGGCTGTTGCCTTGACGACTGTTTGGGTAGCTGGGGAGAGAAACAACGCAAGATACTCCTACACAGCAGCCTGCTCGACTATTGTACTCCTAGAGAGCTGCGGGGTGCAAGGTGGAGGACACCATCAATGTATAGGGCCTGGTTGGAGGTGCATTCTAGGGTAAGATCCATCTTGCACAAATGAATCTCTCCGGATAGGGCATTCCCCAGATCTTCTGCATTTCCCCACACTATCATGAATCTTGGGTGCCATCATTGGGTCTAACGAAATCTCGGCCGTAAAAGCTTCTCCATTAGGCCTTGCCATCCAGGGCTTTCAACATCTCCGCTATGAAAACCCGCGGGAAATTCGGGTGGATCATGGGGTCCTCTAGGTTTTAGTCAAAGACGGGAGTATAAACCGTGAGCAAGGCCCAAAGGCAAGGGTATTATCTGGTCTTGAATGTTGGAACTGGTTTGTCGTTTCGGACAACGTTTTCCCAGACCCCCACTGCTAGCATCTTGGTTGTTAACTTGGGCTAGTTCAAAATCCGGATAAGAGGGGTCCTAAGACCCTGGATGTTCTGACGTTATACCGGTCAAGGCCAGAAATACCAAGCTCGTTTACGGACCAACGTCACGTTACTGTCAGTCCGGGGAGAACTGGAAAATCGATTTCCGGAACACCTAATTCATCATATGCCACCACCAATCCCTAAAGCAACATAGCTATTAATCTAACTAATTCTAATTAACTAAGAGGGAATTCTTAATGGTTTGTATTTCGTCATTATGCCGGAAGAATTCGACATGAAGTGTGAAGCGTCTTCCAGTGTCCAGAGGAATATCCGCCCAGAGAGCAGCTCTCGGTGATACCAAAGCAGCGCTTTTCTTAGGAGAACTTGGCGTAGGATGAATACAACCCATCCAGGATATCCATAACCATATCTCGTCTCAAGATAACTAAGCATCTCCATTGATATCGGAAATATATCAACCTTGTTAGTTGTTGCCGGATGTAGAGCCCATGCAGGGAGTTGCTGTTTCAGTTTTGGTATTGAACCGGCAGAACCGCAGGTGCTAGCCAGTTGATGATTTGTTGCCTAGTAGCATTCTGACTTCTATGGTTTTTCGGTGAAACCCAAGGAATAGGTTAGACGAAGAAGTGTAATAAATAGCAGGGAGACTCTACGAAGTTGAACCCCTGACCATGTCGGTAGTTGTGTGAAGTGTATCAAGTTCAAATCAGCATAAAGAAGAGGCTCGATGAATATATCAGTTGTATTTCAAGTAAACAGATGTATTCCGACTGGCTGGTGAATAATAGACTCATTTCGTAGTCTGGCAAACCGCCTGGCTCTATATTCCGAACGCCCTCTCATTCGTATCATCGTTTCGAACCGGCCTCTCTTTCTCTGCTTTTATGTGTCCCATAACGCCTTAAACTCCGATAATGATTCAGGTCGACCCCAACAAGGCAAGCGAGAGTATCGGTCGTGGTTGGTTGTCCAGCCGTTCGAGCCAACCTCCCACACCTCTCCCACTATAGGTCTTGACCAGCAGCAAATATAACTTATTGGATTTCCATGTCCTCGGCCGCAGCACTTTCGCCCGCGTCGGCTTTAGCATCGGTCTCGACAACATCTAAATCAACCCATCAGTCACTAAGCTCGAACCAAACCCGTCCCCTGACAGCATGATACTCAACCAAGTCGAGACAGAGCCAACTTACCAGTCATCTCAACGATACCCTCGGCGTCCATCTTCCTCTTAAGCGCATATCCCATCTTCTTCTCCAGCTTCCTCGCCTTCTTGCCGCTCACCTTGGCCCGGGGCCCGCTGTTGGGCAGGAGACCAGGTCGCGCGCCTCGTGCGACATCCTTCCTCGAGATCTTGTTCTTGTTCTGCTCGGATATTTGTCTCTGCGCCTTCTTGGCCTTCAACGACCGTGCGGAGGCACGGATCTTGGACATGCCATTGGGGTTCTTGACGGATGGCATCGTGGCGGTGTTGGGATGGAAATATCGCGCGGCGGATATAGTTTTCGAGATAGGAGTCGTTTTCGACGCTTGTCCTTGCGTGGGGGGATTGGAAGCCCTTTCACTCGTTGAAGCCTTGAAGGTGAATTGATTATTGCAGGAAAAAAATATTTGGCCCCGCTGGTGCGGGAGACGCCGAACCTGCATGGCGGCATGTCTCCGGATTTAGACCCCACTATAAAATTGGATATCCCCATATTCATATTCAACGGCATCGAGCCCAAACAGCATGCTGTCAGGAGTAATCAAGTAGGTGGGTATCATTTGGTTTGTAGAAGCTTGAAGAAATAATGATGATATGATTTTACGATACCAAATCTCAATCAAGAGCACCTTCTCCTCAACTTCATCAAAGCAGAGTTATATGACGTAGATAAGATTTCTCCCATCGAGATGTGTAAATCTCATACTTTCACAAGCTTCCGACCTTCGCCTGACTCCATAACCCAAAACAAAATGATGTATAAAAAAAGAACCCGATGATGTGGTTAACAGAAAGATGCGGGAATTATTCAACATTTATAACCTCACGCCAGGGGTTTCGCCGCTACGACGGAGCATTCTCTCACCCTCGTCAACTTCGTCGTCGCTCGTTAGGCCATCTAGCTCGAATTCCTCCGCATCCGCAACCTGGCCTTCCTCAACCGCACGACCATTGGCGTCTGAATACCCGTTTGCGAAGCCCTTGGTATCGATAGGAGGGTTGGCAAGACGATCGTAGAGGTGGATGAGCATGTTTACGAAAAGGAATACCAAGAAAGCGAGGGAGAAGAGAACCAAAATGTAAGAGATATGGTCCATTGGGGAGCTGGCAACGAGCAACATCTGCTCTTCCTGGGCACCCATGAAGAAGAAACCGGCCGAATAAAGGAGCTAAAGTATCGGAAGTTAGCAAAAGCGTCGATTGAAACGGGACGTGGGACGTCGAGATCAACTCACAAAAACAGGAATGTACTGGAAACTGTTGTAAGCACGGCCATCATCGGACAGCGACGGCTTATCCTTGAGGATGAAGGCAATCTCAATGACACGCGTCAAGCCGGCACCCATGAGTGTGTATCCAAACATGGTATGTGTTGCTGCGCTTACCATCAGCTCCTGTGGATGAGCCGACATGCCGTATCCTGTGATGAAGATGACAAAACCAGGAATGAAGTTGCGCTTGGGGTTTCCGTCCCGGTCCTTGCTCAGCCAGATACCCGCAAGACCAGCAGCCCACCAAATGATACCCATCGAGGTGTGCTGCCAATCGTTCTTGACCCAGGCAGTGCCCCAACGATGTTCCGTGAATGTATTGACACATCCCCAAGCCGCAATCATAGCACTGTCGAAGAACTCTTGTGACTGATTACGGCGTCGAAGCCACATCTGCCCAACAAGAAGCATGATGGTCAGGATGATACCATAGCCAATAAAAGCACTACCCATAATGAAATGAGCAGCGCACTGGCCGACGTGCTCACCCTGGCAGAACCCGAGCGCCGTGATACCACCAAAGATCATCTGGGTCCAGGATAATACTGGCATCAACTTGCCCAGGATCGAGTGGCAAGGACGGACAAGCTTCCTAATCATTCCAAGGATGCCTCGCTCCCAGTGCAACTTCAAGTAGAGTCCCAAGACGACTTGGACAGCCAGGATGATTTGCAGGATATGGGCGAACACAGAGTGAACGTTGTTACCGATGAACTCGCGACCGCCGTGAGCATGACCGAGGAAGAAGCCTGCGATAGCCAGTGCTGTGCCGAATATTTGCGTGGGAACATGCCATCGGGACTTGGTCATCTGAATTCAAGAAGTCAGTGATGAATTAAGGATCTCGTTGTCTGGTGACAACCAAAGAGCAACATCGAAGTACACGTACACCAAATATCATTCCAATGGGAAATACGACGCCATACGCGATCATCTGGACGAAGATGTGAACCCAAAGAACTTTGTCCTACTGCATAGTCAGCGCAACTGTTTTGTCTACCTATAGAATAGGACGACGCACGAGTGGCTCCAGGGAGACCGTCTGCCCCTCAGGAATATTATTCTCGCTTCCATGATGATCATGGGCCAGAGCGCCTTGCCCAAGAAGACCAAGTATAAGGAACACAAGGGAGCGGCCCTTGGAAGGTTCGAACCGCATCGTGGGGACCGGTCGATAGCCAACTGCTTCCGGGAAGAAGAGGCGCGAGTACCGTATGAGGAATATTTATTGCGATCGGTGGGGGATTATCGGACAACAGATCTCGATTACGGATTCGATCGTAGGGGTATAGAGGTATTCGGCGTTGGCTTCTTGAAGCAGAGCAACTGAATGCCTGCGTATGGACAAGGACGGACGGTAATTGATGCGATGGAATGGGAGAAAAGAAAAGGATTAAGTCCAGCAAAAGAGTGTGGGGATGGGAATGTTCAGTCGAGGAAGGAGCAATTGAGATCCAGGAATGCTCTTGCAGGGAATTGGAGCTCGATCGGTTTACGGATACTTCGGCCATACGACAAAAATGGGCGCTGTGATTGGCGACGTCGACGGGTACGGCGGGGCTCAATCTGACCCTTGCCGCGATGCATTAGTTTTAGGGGCCCCTGGCGAATCATTCCCTCTCTATTGCCAGCTGTCAATCTACATAAGCACTTTCTGAAAGCAAACGGCTCTCCTGCTCTTCCCTTCTACTATGTACCTAATGCTTTTTCCTTCCAGATTTTCGAGTATTCTTGCGGAAAGGGGGCTCTGCTCTGGGGTTTTCTAATTGAAACCCATGCCAAGGCGAGGCCAACCCAATTGCGGAGTACAAGAGGGTGGCTTTGCTAGACAGGGCACCTCTAATAGCCACGCGTTCCCGGAATAAAGGGGTATGTTCGACCAGCCGGAGAGAATATGCCGAAAGTCCACGTCTCTCCAAATGCTGTACCTTTTTTTGTGTAGCAGTAGCCCTCATGATTTCTTTCATAAAAGAGACGAAGCAACCACGTATTCAACTAGGCAGGGAGTTGTAATCATTTCCGCATATTCGTTTCACCCATGACGGGCAAGCCAGGAGTAGGTTCAAATATAAGGCCCCTTCATCCATTCACAACGAAATGGGGCGGCATGGCTCAAACGGACAGAAATGGCAGTCTAGCACCACAACACCGTAATTTATCAGTGTATGTTTTGACTCTGCAAACATCATTGCGTTCCAAGCAAGTACCCAGATTGTAGTAGGGAAGGTTTTGGCAAAAGTTATGTTTGTAGCAAACAGTGGCGTGCCGCCTTGTAGCTTCAGCAATCATTAAGCCATCACCCCATATAACATATGCAAATCAGTGATATCACAATAATCTGCATGCTGCCTCGTCATGTATGACGAAATGAGTAATTCCCCTGCACTCCTGGATCTAACCTTGACTCCCACTCTGCAATTTTCAATTCTCCTTGTATCAACCATATACCACCAAAGGGGCCCTACTATATTCTTGTCTAAACGAAATGCACCTAAGCTAGAGTCTAGCTATAGCGACCTTTGATGCAGCTATGACTTTTACCATACTCCAGTTTTCGATGGAGCTCACTTCGAGCGACTATGTGATACTCATCGGTACAGGTGCGGTTCTGGCATGGCTCTTCTGCCACTGGACGACGAGATTTCGTGGAATCTGGGCGTGGCGCCACAGCAGAACCAGCGGTGGTGGCACTGCCCTCGGCGAAGTAGGAGGTGAGCAACGGAGACGAAGGCAAAGGCGGAGGCGGAGGCGAAGACGAGTACAGGTGCAGGGTGGCCGGAGGACCGAGGATGCAATAAACTATCATAGCCTCCCCTCAAGCCCGGAGACTGCAAGCCAATTTGACCGATAAGGGGGAAGTTAAGCGTTCTGAGGAGAATGCTTATCAAGTGCAGATATGCATGCACACCTATAGGAAGTCAGCTTTTTTGTAAAAAGGGATAGTTCAGGATTCCATGATCATACCCGGCTTGGTTAGAAACGTGCAACCTGAACTCCAACAGTTCCAGCTTCCTTTGAGGACAAGTTTGAGAAGAATCCACCGTGTGTAAATAGAGCTACTCCAACTTGATATTGCTTCCCTCCTTTTCCAAGAATTTTCTGGCGTCCGCCCAAAGCTCGGCTTCCATGTCCCTTTCGACTCTGGAGCCATGGCTGTTCAACCAGCCAACATCAAGGTTTCCAACGGCACCCATCCCGTTAGGTTTGAGGGATGCACTTTTGGGACCACTGCTGCCGGGTTCATGCTTTGCTCCAGCGGATAAGTTCACAATACCAGCCTCTTCGAGAGCCATGATTTGGCGCTTCATCTTGACATCAACAGCATGCAGCGTGTCCAAGAAGGAGTCGGTTGCACCACGGAAGGCTGCCTTCTTCGCCGACGGATCCTGCTGCGGAAGTGTCCCCTGCGAGTCTGGGGAGTTGATAGGGACAGTGAGGGCGTTGAGCGCGGTGGCAGTGTGGTTCATTAGATCCACGATAGATTTATCAATGGCATTCAGCTGGTGGATGTTCTCCTCCACAGTGAATGGCTCATGGACCCGGGAGTTTCCATCACTCATCTGAACATCTTTTGGGGAATCCATTTTTGGTTTAGAGTTGATGTTTAGATTCAAGAGAACACTTCGAGAGAAAGGCGACGGACGGATGGCCTTAGCATTTGAGCCTGGGTTTGGAGGTGGCATAAAACTGTGGGGCGCATGCCGATTGATTGCTGATTGCCTGGTCGAAGGGTAAAAACCGGCTAATATTTTGACACGCCCAGCACCAGCGCGGCTGTTAGCGTGTCAGCGCCCAGACTATGAAGGAGGTACGTACCGCTTCCAAGCTCAAGCCTTCACGAACCTCAACAGAGCTTCCATCACCGCGACAGAACTTTTAGATGCATGACTGGCCCATCTATCCTCTCCCAGGGCCCTGATCTGCCATCTCCCACTCTTGCTGCTCATTGCGATTGTGTTCGATCCTCCATTTTTGGTGATTCTGTATTCCTACTGTCCCTGTAGAAGCGCTCCAGCTACTTGCCTGTCCGTTGTTTGGCGCGGGACTGGGCATGGGGCCTCGGCGTTGATCGCCTCGACACGTACTCTCGACACATTTCCATAGAGACGTCCCAAGCGCACTGCCACTGCCATCATGTCTGGCCAACCGCCCGCCCCTCCTGTACCGCCGGCTGCCAACTATGCCGTTCAGCCAGCAGCGTCGCCTGTGGCTCCCCCTCCAGCAGGCGCACCCGCAGCCGCGCAGGGAACTGGCACCTCAATGTCCAACCAGAATCTCAACCAAATAGTAAGTGGCCTTGAAGGCATACTCACACACACTCTCTCTCTTTCATCTCCCTCCTGCCACACGGCCCCTCCCCCCTCCAAACCGCACCCTCTCTTTCCACTGCCCTCACCTCACACACCCCTCCTGCGCCTGTCACACACATGCAATGCCGCATATCTCTTCTCCTTCACTCTATTCACTTTTCTTTTTTTGGTGCTACATCTCTCTACACTCATATTGTTTTTCGCTTCCCAACCCAAGATCCTCCCCCATTGTACTTCCCACCTCTACATATCAGTATTTTTCAAGCATAACTGCTTCTCGGCACCATGAGGAATCCCAGTTCACAATATGTGAACACGGCGATGCTGATGGCTAGAGACCGAGATAAAGTAAGATTTTCAGGGAGTGCATCACATAGCCTTGGTCATAACATCACCTGGAATTTTATTCTGCAACCTCTTCGACGACGGTAGCTGACCGGTTCACACTTTAGGTTACAGATTATCTCTTAAAAAGAGGGTTCAATAGAACAGAAGAGGTCTTCAGACAAGAGTCGAAGCATCTTGGTGCAGATGGAAAGCCTCTGCAGCAGATGGCCAATATTGGCCCCAAAAAGTACGGCATCGCCTTTAATAACCTTAAAGAATGGGTGGAAAATAACCTGGATATCTATAAGGTGAGAATTGAACCCCCTTCCAGGAACGCCCAAAGCTCGTCTAGCTGACACTGTACAGTATGAGCTGTCCAAGTTGTTATGGCCCGTATTTGTCTATTCTTTTATGGAGCTTGTGACTCAAGGCTATACGGAAGAGGCCAAGGCGTTCCTCAAGTTGGGGGAGTACTTCAGGCGTTCCCACGACGACGATCTTAAGACACTCGGCGGTATCACCTTGCCTCAGCACGTCTCTGATAATGCCACTACCAAGCTCTACAAGGAGAACAAATACCGGATCCCGCTTAATGAACATGCGCTTAGTGATCTGTTTAACTTCATGGAGCGGGAATCGCAGAAGGGTGGCCCAGTCATTCGTCAGTTGCTTGTTGAGCATTGCGAGGTCGACTCCACAAGCCGAGGTCCTATCACTCCCTACAGTTTTGAAGCAGTCTATCGCAAGTCTAGAAACATTGAGCTCGACGCAGCTGATATCAACGAGGGTATTCCTGGAGTCAAGATCGGTCTAGCAAATAGGGATGTGTTAGACTCAGCAACTCCCCTGACCTTGGGCCCCCTGCCCATGGACCCGGACCTAAAAGAGGATGTCCGGGCCGAGATTGAGGAAGAGGAGGCCAGGCATCCCCCTCAGCCTGGGCGCAGTATCCTGGAAGAACTGGACCAAAAGATCAAGAGAGAAGAGAGTGCCGACGCCCCTACCAGAGCCGACCTTCCCCTGCCCCCGTCAAGACCTCGAGACATCTTGCTCGAAATGTCGAAGCTCCGTGAGAACAGAGACCGGTTCAAGATCGAAGGTCGGACTGGGGGGTCAGGTGTTCCAGTCAGTGCGTGCATGTTCACCTTTCATAATACGTTGGGGACGTAAGTATCATGAGGACCTACATCTTGAATACGATAATTAACAACGAAACAGGGTTGCATCCATGGACTTCTCAAATGACGGAACAATGGCAGCCGCAGGTACCACTGAATCCTATATCCGCGTGTGGTCGCTGGACGGAAAGGCTTTGCCCTCTTCTAACCCCCATGACAAGGACGCAAAGTTCAACAGCCGCAAATTGATTGGGCATTCTGCCCCAGTATATGATGTGTCTTTTTCTGATGCTGCCTCCGGACCACCCCAGAAGCTCTTCGGTGATGAGGGCACCAAGAACTCTGCAATGGACCCGCGACCAAAGCTTCTCCTATCATGCTCCGCGGACGGCCATCTTCGGCTGTGGTCTCTCGAGTCATGGACTTGTCTCTGCCTCTATAAATCACACGACGGACCCGTCCATAGGTCAGTGTGGGGTCCCCACGGCCACTACTTCTTGAGCGGTGGTTATGACAAGGCAGTTCGAGTTTGGATGCAAGACCACGCTTCGCCGCAGCGCCTCCTCGTCGGCCACGACACCGCCATATCCGCCATAGCCTGGCATCCCAACGGACTGTATGTATTCTCGGCATCCGACGAGACTGACAAGTCAATCCGCATGTGGTCAGTGGTGACAGGATCCTGCGTTCGCGTCCTCAGTGGTCATGTTGACTACATCAGCGCCCTTGAGTGTGCACCAAACGGCAAGATTCTTGCAAGTGCCGACGCCGCCGGCAACATCATGTTCTGGGACATTGAGAAGGGCACGCGTATCAAGCGCTCAAGAGGCCACGGCAAGGGTGGTATCTGGTCTCTGAGCTTTAGCATGGAGTCAAATGTGCTTGCCTCGGGAGGCCAGGATGGAACAGTTCGCATGTGGGATGTTGAGCTCCCCGCAGACCCCCAAAAGGTCGCGCAGCAAGTTGGACTGGATGCCGGGACTACGGCTCCGGATGCCGCTGGTGCGAATGCGGATGCAGCCAGGCCAGCCACGACGCAGCCAGCAAGCGCCGCCCCAGCAACTGGCACTCATAAGAAGAAGAGTAAGGAGGTTCAAGTGACGCCAGATCAGATCAGCTCATTCCCGACCAAGAAGACGCCGGTGATGAAGGTGAAGTTTACACGGATGAACTTGGTCATCGTTGGAGGTTGCTATGATCCTGAGCGCTAGGGGCCGGACACAGCAGGGCCAATCGATGTTCCTAGGACCTGGATGAGTCTTCTGTCCCCTGATGTGGGCTGTGCCAAATTTGAGGAACCAGTCAAGGCTTAATTTTAGAGCGAGGAGTCTTGTCGTTAGTAAAAAATCTCGAGAGCTTGAGCCCCAACAGTCAAAATTGGAGTTATGGCGAGCGGCCGGCTTAATGAGAAGCATATGTATAATTCGTAGGTATATTAGGGCAGAGACAGCAAGTGCAACCTGAAGAGGCAGGTTAATCTGGCGGTTCATAGTTAAATAAAGTATGGTCTATGATGATAATAGTCTTCAGACTCTTGCAAGTGAGGCCTAGCTTAGATATTCAACCAGTTCGTGCAAGCATCCCACAACAAGACAGGGTAGGGGGATGAGAACACCAATTCGTTGAAGAAAATCAATGCCATCAAGACCCCATCGGCCTCCGCGCCCATATAGACCGTTCCATCCGGCACAGTCCAGACCCCAAACGAAGTAAGCGAGGCCCGGAGAAGCTGCCCGTCTGGGCTCCAGGCTGCAGCTGGTGGTCTGGCTCGGCGCTGCTGCTGGACGGTGGGGCTGGCGGTGGTGGACGGAAGCTGCGCAACCACTGAACTGGACCGACCAGCCACTGACCCGCCGTCGTCCGCTGACTGGTCTGGTGCACTCCACTGACGTTCGCGGAGCCCCATGCCGCATTACTTCTCACCTCATTGAAGCTCTCGCAACATCCAGGCAGCTGCCGATCGAACGACCCAATCCAATCCCCAAGCTTCCAACACCTCTCGCAATGGATGTTGAGGAATCACCATGGGCTGACACAAGCCAGGGCTCCAAGCCCGACACCCAGCCCGAGCTCACCACCGCGGATTCGACAGCTGCCACCACGCCTGCGAGCTCCCAGCCAGCCTCAGGAGCAGCCCCAAGCCCCCGTCCTACTCGTGGTCCACGCCGCCTCGTGGCCCAGCCTACACGTCTTGAGGCTGTAGATGATCCCCTCGGCCCTCTCGGCGCCGCTCCCTCAACCGGTGGCGATGGCGCTCCTCTCGAGGAAGACCGGCCCGCGCCCCCACAGAAGGAGCAACTGGTGATGCGGACGACCATGCCTCAGCCTCAGCAGCAACAGCAGCAGCCCAGGCGACCGGCCGATCCGCATCGCCTTTTTGAGGATGAGGAGGAGGAGTTGAGCGCCGCGCAGAGGGGTCCCAGAGCACCACCCCCCGTGGACGCCGCCAGGCCGAGCACCGTCCAGAGCTCGACACAGCCGAGCGTCAGCGTGGAGCAGGCAGCGAAGCCAACCTTCCAAATCTACGTCGGCGACCCGGTCAAGATCGGGGACCTGACAAGCTCGCACATTGTCTACTCAGTACGGACCAGGGTAAGGACAAACCGCATCATCCAGCCGAGCAATGGGGAGAGTCGCAAGCTAATCAAGAGGGGATTTTACTTGACAGACCACGTCGAAAGCATACAGGCAGCCTGAATTCGAGGTCAAGCGCCGGTACCGAGACTTCCTGTGGCTCTACAACACGCTGCATGCTAACAATCCCGGGTTCGTCATCCCGCCGCCTCCGGAGAAGCAGGCCGTCGGCCGCTTCGACAGCAACTTTGTCGAGAGCCGCCGGGCGGCGCTGGAGAGGATGCTGAACAGGACTGCTGGGCACCCAACCCTGCAGCATGACGCTGACCTGAAGCTGTTTCTGGAGAGCGAGTCGTTCAATGTCGACGTGAAGCACAAGGAGAGGCGGGACGTCATCCCCACCGAGAGCAAGAGTGTCTTCAGCTCGTTCGGTATCAACGTGGGTGGCGGCAACAAGTTTGTCGAGCAGGATGACTGGTTCCATGATCGCAAGGTGTACCTTGATGCGCTCGAGAACCAGCTCAAGGGCCTGTTGAAGGCCATGGAGTCCATGGTCGCTCAACGCAAGATGATGGCTGAGGCGGCCGGTGACTTCTCGGCCTCGCTGCATGCACTCTCCACGGTTGAGCTCTCGCCCTCTCTGTCCGGGCCTCTCGATGCTCTCTCCGACCTGCAGCTCACCATCCGCGACGTGTACGACCGCCAAGCGCAGCAGGACGTTTTGACCTTTGGCGTCATCATTGAAGAGTACATCCGCCTCATTGGCTCTGTCAAGCAGGCTTTCACTCAGCGCCAGAAGGGATTCCACGCTTGGCACTCGGCCGAGTCGGAGCTGCAGAAGAAGAAGGCGAACCAGGACAAGCTTCTCCGGCAGGGCAAGAGTCAGCAGGACCGGTTGAACCAGATCAGCGCCGAGGTAGGTGAGGCAGAGCGCAAGGTACACCAGGCCAGACTGCTCTTCGAGGACATGGGCCGGTCAATGCGGGCCGAACTGGATCGTTTCGAGAAGGAGAAGGTAGAAGACTTCAAGAGCGGCGTGGAGACGTTCCTTGAAAGCGCGGTAGAAGCGCAAAAGGAGGTGAGTCTTACTAATGTTTACCCCTCATTGATTGAACCAGAACTGACAGACGAGACAGTTGATCGAGAAGTGGGAGACCTTCTTAATGCAGCTGGATGCTGAGGACGACGATTCCGTCTTCTACAAGCCTCCCGTCTTCCAAACGAATCAGGACAAGGCCCCGGGAGACACGGCCATTGACCGTGCTCGGGCACGCCTCCACGAGGACTCGGATTGAGGGAGGCCAGGTTCATTCATACCATGAAACGATGTGAGGCGGGGGGCTGCTCTACGGCCAAACGACCGATGAAGATTTGGAGAGGCTTGTCATTTCTTTGTTCTCGTCAAAATTCTTATACACTAGCAAGGGAGTCTTTTGTTGTTGAAATGTTGTACATGTTGTGTCAATATCCTTTCCCGCTCGACTGTCTATTCTCCAATCTGTAGAAAAAACTCCAGACCAATTCTTCTCGAACCCATGTCTTGTACATTCATTCCGTCAAGATAATTGTTCCCCGCCCTCCTTTCTCTCCAAATTATACAAGGAAGCCAACGTCATCATATTTTGAACCCTTATTTCTTCTTGGTGGGAGCAGCATCCTTCAACGCGCTGGTGTCTTGGTTGGCGTACGAAGATATCAGGGAGCCGTAGCCATCCTCAGTGAGGTCGCCGCCGCTGCCCTCCTCCTCGCCCTCCTGCTTGCCGTCAAAGGCGGTGCCGAACCTGCCGCGGAAGGCGGCGAGCTTGCCGGCCTCGTCGAGCTCGACGTTCCTGAGCGACTTCTCCGAGGGCTGCCAGGTCAGGGTGTTGCGGGTGTCCTTTGTAGCGACGTAGAGCGGCTGGGGGGAGGTGGTGCGGGCGATGTAGGAGGAGCCGTCGGAGAGCTGGACGAGCTGGGTGAATGTGTAGGGTCGGCGGGGGCGCTGGATGAATGTGGCGTGGCGGACCTGGTTCTGGAGGCAGGATCTGGAGGACGGGCGGAGGAGGGTAGTTGTGCGGAGGGTTGGCGTGAGGGCCAGTGGTGAGGGGATCTTCCCCATTGTTGCTAGAAGTCTGGGGTTCTGAGGGTGACGGATTGGATTGGGAGGTTCGAGATGTCGGCGCTCGTCTGGGGAGAGTGCTGCTTTGCGTTGCGCCGGGATTGAATTTCGTATAATCAGATGGCCAAATGCTCAAACCTGACCTACGAGAATGGTTGGACCCATATTGAAAAGAATTGGGGCGCGGCCATTGGGTGAGCTTATCGATAAGAATATTCTGTCTAGCTCGGCGTCGATGAATTCGAGCAGAGTGCGGCTATTCGGATCACCAGAGTCCTCGATATCTGCGATTCCTAGGTTCGGTCTCGCAATTGGAAGGCTGTTCTGCGTCTGAATGCAGAACAGTTGCGCTCCCCAGGACATGAGATAATGCAGTGTTGCTCGGCGATGCGAGAAGCGCCCCTGCGAGCTTGGAGACGGTCGGCTTCCAGATTCAGCGATGCGACGACAGGTTTAGACGGGGTCTTGAGATCCAAGACGAAGAGTGTAAGATGGCAATCTGATATTACGTATGGACATGTTTCCAGACCATGTGCCGGACCTTTAAGGTGGCCCAGGAGCTGTGAGTAATCTTGAACCCCGAGCCTCCTCCCGTCGACGACTGACCATAGAGCGATAGTTTCTCCCATACGACCTTTCCACAGCTCGTCGACAGTATATTCTAATAACCCTCCCACTCCGACAGCGGCCGTCTCTGCTTCCGATCCTCTACCCGAACAACTTCGCTCCATAATGCGTCTCCTTACACATCCTGTGGTGGTCTGCACTGCGCACGACGGCACCCACCCTAGAGGCATGACCATGTCCTCCTTCACATCCCTAACGCTAACTCCTACGCCCCTCATCACATTCAACGTCCTAGCACCGAGCCGTACGCTAGACGCCATCACGGAAAGCGGAGAGTTCAACATACACATCCTGGCCGGGGACAGGAACGGGGCGGCGGTCGCGGAGAACTTCACACGAGGCAACACGGACCCCAGCGTCTTCCAGAGCCTACAGAGCGCGGCCTCCAAGCAGGGGACGGGTAGCTTGGCCCCCGTGCTTGTGGGGGATGGCATCCTCTACGTGCTACGGTGCCGGCTGGCAGGCGACGCCGCGCCAAACGGGGGGCTGATCCGTGTCAGAGACCATATTGTCGTGGTTGCGGAGGTGGTGGGGACGGACCCGGGGATTGAGGACAAGGAGTTTGGGCTGTCATATTCGGATCGGAGTTTTAGAGGGGCTGGCGAGGTGATTGCCCGGCACTGAGGACTGTGCTTTTGGGTTTTGGTGGGTATACTAGTATGTATGGGAGGTTATCTAGACTTAGACTGTACAACAAACAGTAACAGTGTATTATCATGTGTATACAATATAGAAATGTTTGGTCGACAATAGAACCAAGCAGTTGCCGCTCACGCAAAGTCTGAGAATATGGGGTTGAATCATGACGGGCAAACTAGGCGGTTAGCAAAGTGCTACTGGGAACTCTGACAGGCTTTGTCGTGTTAGTGTCACACCCAAACCGCTTCCAGATCTCTGCGCCCCTCCAAAACAAGCCAATCGGCTGGCAAAGGGCAAACAAAGCAGAATCGGCAAGAAAGGGAGACGTATAAGGGCAAACTACGTGGCTGGTGGCTAACCGTTAGGCAGATGGTTGGCCTTCAATGCCGTCTCACTTGACGCCAGCGGCTAGGCACAGCTCTTGTGTTAGCCCACAGATTAGCCTGGAGCAAGCCCCCAATTGGGAAGTGTGGTCCCTTGGGTACGAGTGCAAGCATGTTCTAGGGACTAGAGCCGCCTATCATTCCGGCCTGGTTCGCCTCCGAGAATGAAATATGCCGAAAGCCTCGTCAGCGGCCTGGGGAGGGGTTAGGCCACGATCACGATGTGGGCGGACTTGGTGGGAAAGAAAGCCTGCATGAGTCGCCTCATTGATTCGTTGGCAGACGTTCCTCAGCCTTGCCAACAAGGTCCATGCGTGGGTACCTGGCCCCTCCCTCGGTCTGAGGAAGGTACCAGGGCGGGTTCGCTGTGCAGGGGTGTGGCGGGCGTAGCAACCGTTTCAACAATAGAGGGGTGAAGAGGATCACGGCGGGCAGGTTCGCGAAGATTCTGCAGCTCAAGCCTATGTAGGGACGGCAGCGAGGTCTAAGGGCAGCAGTCTGGCTCACAATGCCCCTGGCTACGGGATGGCACATCTTTATTGCACCGACGAAGATGGAGAAGGTGGGGTTGTCGAGGCACCCGAAAAATGATGCATTCTGAAAGCTTCCATGTACCTGCCGACAGACAATTGTCGAGAACAACAGGGTCTCTTTCAGGCGGTGGAAGGCTCTAGAAGCCTGCAGCCAATCAGCGCTGTGCTCCGGCAGGCAACCGCACCGTAGAGGCAGTGCGCTTAGGCGGGTTGTTGCTGGGGAGAATGGGCGGTGCTACTAGAACGTGCGTGGAGGGGTCCTTTTCTGCCGTAGAATCTGATGGAATCTCGAGTCGAGGGGCCCTTCTCTTCCTACAAGTACTTATTTTCCAGCCAGCTCTCTCAACTCTCTTCCTTCCCTCCTCATCCTCATCTCACTTTTTTTTTCCTCCCTCCACACACAGGATCTACTATCCTCCCATCTGCTCTTGTGTGAGCTTGTTTTAATTCCCCCTCCACCTTTTTAACGACCAAAGTAAGCTTGCTCCCGCTGCACACCATTTACACCGCCTGCCCCAAACGACGGTTCCTCAGCCTCGTTCCTCCTCCCCAACTTTTTCCTCCCACCACCTCTTGTGCACGCGAGCAAAACCAAGCTAACTCAGCAACCAGACTTTGCGATTCCTTTTTGATACCCGTCACAATGGCTGAGACTTTCGAGTTCCAGGCTGAGATCTCTCAGCTTCTCTCCCTGATCATCAACACCGTCTACTCCAACAAGGAAATCTTCCTCCGAGAACTTGTTTCCAATGCCTCTGATGCTCTGGACAAGATCCGCTACAAGGCTCTGAGCGACCCCTCCCAGCTCGAGTCTGGCAAGGACCTCCGCATTGACATCATCCCCGACCTTGAGAACAAGACCCTCACCATCCGTGATACCGGTATTGGTATGACCAAGGCTGTAAGTCTGACCCATTGTGGATGGCCCATGCAAGTCGACGACAATAGCTAACACGTACATCACAGGACCTCGTCAACAACCTTGGTACAATTGCCCGTTCCGGCACCAAGCAGTTCATGGAGGCTCTGACTGCTGGCGCTGATGTCTCCATGATTGGACAGTTCGGTGTTGGTTTCTACTCTGCCTACCTCGTCGCCGACCAGGTCCGCGTCATCTCTAAGCACAACGATGACGACCAGTACATCTGGGAGTCCAGCGCTGGTGGTACCTTCAACATCACCGCCGACACTGAGGGTGAGCCCCTCGGTCGTGGTACTGCCATCATTCTCCACCTCAAGGAGGAGCAGCTCGACTACCTGAAGGAGGCCAAGATCAAGGAAGTCATCAAGAAGCACTCCGAGTTCATCTCCTACCCCATCTACCTCCACGTCAAGAAGGAGACCGAGAAGGAGGTCCCTGATGAGGATGCTGAGGTCGAGGAGGTCACCGAGGAGGGTGACGAGAAGAAGCCCCGCGTCGAGGAGGTCGACGACGAGGAAGAGGAGAAGGAGAAGAAGCCCAAGACCAAGAAGATCAAGGAGACCAAGATCGAGGAGGAGGAGCTCAACAAGCAGAAGCCCATCTGGACTCGCAACCCCCAGGACATCACCCAGGAGGAGTATGCCTCCTTCTACAAGTCTCTCTCCAACGACTGGGAGGATCACCTTGCTGTCAAGCACTTCTCCGTTGAGGGTCAGCTCGAGTTCCGTGCCATCCTCTTCGTCCCCAAGCGTGCTCCCTTCGACCTGTTCGAGACTAAGAAGACCAAGAACAACATCAAGCTCTACGTCCGCCGTGTCTTCATCACTGATGACGCTACTGACCTCATCCCTGAGTGGCTCGGCTTCGTCAAGGGTGTTGTCGACTCTGAGGATCTTCCCCTCAACCTGTCCCGTGAGACTCTCCAGCAGAACAAGATCATGAAGGTCATCAAGAAGAACATCGTCAAGAAGTCTCTTGAGCTCTTCCAGGAGATCGCCGAGGACAAGGAGCAGTTCGACAAGTTCTACAGCGCCTTCTCCAAGAACCTCAAGCTCGGTATCCACGAGGACACCCAGAACCGCCAGATCCTGGCCAAGCTCCTCCGCTTCAACTCCACCAAGTCTGGTGATGAGCTCACCTCCCTCCAGGACTACGTTACTCGCATGCCCGAGCACCAGAACAACATGTACTACATCACTGGCGAGTCCATCAAGGCCGTCGTCAAGTCTCCCTTCCTTGACACCCTCAAGAACAAGGGCTTCGAGGTTCTGTTCCTTGTTGACCCCATTGACGAGTACGCCATGACCCAGCTCAAGGAGTTCGAGGGCAAGAAGCTTGTTGATATCACCAAGGACTTCGAGCTCGAGGAGACCGATGAGGAGAAGAAGGCCCGTGAGGCCGAGGAGAAGGAGTACGAGGCCCTCGCTAAGAGCCTGAAGAACGTCCTCGGCGAGAAGGTCGAGAAGGTCGTCGTCTCCGACAAGCTTGGCAGCTCCCCTTGCGCCATCCGTACCGGCCAGTTCGGTTGGTCCGCCAACATGGAGCGTATCATGAAGGCCCAGGCTCTCCGTGACACTTCCATGTCCAGCTACATGTCCTCCAAGAAGACTTTTGAGATCTCTCCCAAGTCTTCCATCATCCAGGAGCTCAAGAAGAAGGTTGAGTCCGACGGTGAGAACGACCGCACCGTCAAGTCTATTGTCCAGCTCCTCTTCGAGACCTCTCTCCTCGTCTCTGGCTTCACCATTGATGAGCCCTCAGGCTTCGCTGAGCGCATCCACAAGCTCGTCCAGCTCGGTCTGAACATCGAGGAGGATGATGCCGCTCCTGAGACTGAGGCCGCCACCGAGACCCCTGCTGCTGCCACCGGCGACAGCGCCATGGAGGAGGTCGACTAAACGGCTCAAGCCCCGAAGGTTATGAAACCTGAAAAGTTCTGAGGAGTTTGGCAGGGTTGGTTTTAATGTGCTCATGGTATTGGACGTCTCCTAGGTTTTGCGTTTTCTTGTAATGACAATCATCACACGGATTTAGGTGTGAAACATAATCCCACAACCCCACGCCATCAATGAATGGTCGGTTGTGGGGTGTACTCTAGCTAGCTCATCACAAAGTAGATGAAGTAGAATGCGATAAATGGAAATGGCATAGAATGACTTATGCTGTTTACATCAAGCCTTGATCCTTGAATATGTGAAAATAATTGTTACCTACTAAAATGAATGTACGCACATAGTAGACTACGACCTGTAGACTTTGAATTATTACAAAGTCTCAATCCCACACATGCACCAGGCGAACAAATGTGTACATCTGAAAAAGAAGTTCCAATACATGCATATAATATACATTATATACGCAACTAAAGGCTGAATTGGCATGAACTATCAAATAAACTACCCTTAGCGAAACAAGTAGCCCCGAGGGGGCTGCCTCCCAAAACGCCAATTGAACGCCCCGTTCGCCAAAGATGACGAGATAGATACAGGAGAGAAGAAAGGGCCTCGCGTTTAGCAAGCAGGGATTTTGCTCTGAAGAAGGAAAGGGTATCCACTCATAGCAGCTAGATAAAACAGGAGAAGAAAAAGGAATAGACGTGAGGAGAAAGAGCTGGGTACTGGTTCCACGTTTGATGTGGGGTGGTATAATGTCTATATTGGCGCGCGGCGAGCTTTGAAAATCAACATGAGATGGGAAAATTGTGAAGAAGAGCAAAAGGAATGAGCGTGGATTGGGTTATCCAAGGGGGGTTAGATGAGGACGTAGAGAGCGCATATCTGGCGAGGGTCAGTATAAGAAGAGCAGATAAGGAGGAAAGGGGGATCAAACATACCAAGCTGAGCCCGAGGATCATGGAGCACCAGAAGAAGACGTTGTTGAGCGTCTTGCGGCCGCGGACCCAGCGGGTGCGCTGCATCATGAAGACGGGCAGCTGGAGCATCTGGCAGAAGAAGCCGTAGCCGCGGATCTTCTTGGTGATGCAGGCCATGACGATCTCGTGGCCGATGGCGGAGATGAGGAAGGTGATGAGGGTGGCGTAGGACCTCCCGATGTGAGGGCTGGCGGCCGAGTAGACGTGGCGGCGGAGGAAGGAGTAGACGGGGACGTTCCACTCGCGAGAGAACTCCATCCAGTCGGTCGAGTTCCACCAGTCCGAGTAGAAGTGGCGATCGCCGAAGCGGGTGATCTCGGCGAAGGCGCCCAGGACGTACTCGAAGATGACGAGGAAGACGAGGAGGAAGGTGAGGGTGAAGGGGAACAGAAGCCAGGAGATGGACTCGAGGAAGATTAGAATCCCCTCCGACGCAGATGTCGCAGCCTCGAGACGGGTAGAGGCATCATCAAGGATAGGCAGAATGAACTCCTCCGAAGTTATCGTGAGCAGGAAGATGCAGCCAAAAGTGGCGATGATCTTGGAGATGAGCGAGGTCCAGTTGATATGGGTGGTTCGCGGATACTCGAGTTCGTAGCAGAGAGTGGGACACAGGAGATAGTCGAAGTAGTTGGTCAGGGTGACATTGCGTGGGTAGGTGACGCTGCCCATGGGAGACGTGAGTTCGCGGGCAAGGTCCTCGCGCAGGGCTTGTACCTCGTCCGCACTCTCATCTGTGTCCTCTGGTTCTCGGTTCTTCGGGTTCTTGGCCTTGGTGCCCTTGACCAGGAGCACGCCCTCGGGGTTCTCAGCGCTGGGGTATAGGTAAGCTGGGCGACGGTCTGCCGTAGAGGGGCTGTCCAGTTCGCGCAATCGCTTCTCGGTCTCAGAGAGATGGCCCATGTAGAAGGCGTACGAGTGCATCTTCATGAGGAGGACCATGGTGTGCAACAGCAGGAAGACCTGCGCCGTCCACGTCCACTCTAACAGGAAAGGGGTGGCGACCCAGAGACTGAACCAGAGGGTCTGGTAGATGCTCTGCAACACGACGCCCCCTCTTCTCCAAGTCCATATACTGTTGGCGCCACTCCACCTAGCTAGAAGGTGTATCGGGATGCTGACCATCGTACTGGCAACCATGAGGAGGTCGACGATGGCCAGATGCCAGAGCTTCACCGTGAACAGCGTCCAGATGGACGTGCGCAAGGGGAAACCGGTATCCTTGGTGTTGCGCAGCATGGTGGTGATGCCCATGATGGCCAGGCCGATCCAGAACAGGTTGAAGAAGCCGTGGAAGTCGCGGTAGTCAGACTCGGGGTCGAAATGGGACACTCGGCTCGCGTACTCAATGGTAGGGAAGATGCGCCTGCGCTGCTCGGCGCGAGCCTGCTTCCGCGCAGACGAGAGGTGTTTCTCGGACGGGGGCGCATTGTCTGGTACCGGCGTCGATCGACCACTGGTAGGAAAGGAGCCGTCAGCATTTCCACGTACATGGAACATCACAGCAAGCTATGTAGGGTCTTCTTCTTACCTAGAGCGACCGCTCAGGGTATCTTGATCAGAGGGCGCAAGGTGGGCAGGCTTCCCCTCCTGCCCCTCGTTTGACGCCATCCACGCCAGGTCTCTGACCTGGGCATGTTGCGGTTTGCGCGGACGGGGCCGCAGGACGTGGTCGTCATTGTGATTGTTCTGGGAGGAGCTCGTCGTTTCTGCGGCGGAGCCCATGGTTGCTGGAGGAGATGTGAGCCGAGACCAGCCCAGGCGACGACGACGACAACGGTGATGGAGGTGACGAAGGGACGGACGAGCTGGTGAGGAGCCTGGCCTCTGGATGGTCTATTCGATGCGACGTGCGCTCTGGATGCTACCTATGCAATGGAAACAAAAACATGCAGGTCCGGAAGTCAATTGGTGGTGGTGGGGAGAGAGGAAAGGCGATGGAGAGCTTCGGCCAACCAGTGGCTCGGCACCGTGTCAGGTCAAGTTGAGTTAAGCGTGCGGGCGGCGTCGTCGATGATGTGGATGAGTCTTCGTAGTGCGGCTGTATGTCGACGTGAGTGGAAGAGAGTTGGAAGCTCAAGCAAAGCCAACAGGAGCTGTGTCCAAGATGGGCCAGAATTAGAGTCAGGCCAGCGGAGCGACAGTCCAAGGCCAGTCTGGTTTTGTAAGATAGAGAATTGGGGACAGTTCTGGAAAGGCCTTCTCAGACAGATCCCGTCGCAGCCGGAGATTCTGATCAAAGGCCACAACGTCGAAAAAAGACAGTTGAGGCGAGATGCGGCGCTCTACGTCACTGTTTCCAGGGCTGCAGCAGAACCATCAGGGGGCCATGATTTCATCTGGCCGGCCTGGGGGGCGATAAGTGGGCGCGGCAGGCCTATAATTACAGGGGGCCAGCCACTAGCGACGCCCCGGGCCATATGGGCATGCCTTATGCAATAGGGATTGGATGGCGTAGGGCAGCTGCATGAGTCCGTGTCCGAACCGCAGTCTCAATCCCAACAACCTGATACACCAATTACTTGCGCGTACCTTCAAGGTTATCTGTCCGTAGGCATTAGTCCGGAGAACCACCTAGGCTTAATCCAGAGCCGTAGTGACGAACCGTGCGCTGAGTGGCATAACGCGAGTTTGCGAGACCTCGCTTCCCGAGCGCTGCGCTGTACGAGATCACCGATCCATCCATCACCTTCCACAGGGCTTAGTCGTCTTCTCCCCCTCCTTCGGCAACGTAGCACAGGCTCCATCTCGGCCTCGGTTTCCCTGCCTGCCTAAAAACCCGAAGCCCGTCCTGACTATCGTACCGCCTCTCCCGAAGAGCCCAGCCAATACCGCTCGTAGCCACGGCCGCGGTCCAGGCTACCCATTATTAACGTTGACGACGACATTGCGCAACGTCCGGGACACATGGCTTCACCTTAGCAGCGATCATCAGCCACTGTGGCCACACAACGGCCAAGGATGCGCGCCCCTTCTAGAAAATAGAGGACACCAACCAGCTGTTGCATCGCACTCGATCCGGGCCTTGGCTGAGTCCATTGACTACCTAATATTTTATCTCAATGCTTTTTGATTGGCTATTTTTATTTCCAGTGTACGAGTACAGTACCCCAATGGGTGCCTGTCTCTGCCTAAGTAATACATGAACGGGGACGTAGAAGCCTCCGATGCTGCGAAACAATGCGCTCCTCATGCTCCTTCGCCTACACCCACAGATAATGTAATTCCAGAACACCCAGTATCTTGACCCGCGTATAGATCCCGACCGACAAAGAAACGACAAAACAAGATGTGACTCCGCTTAGTGTATGTATCCCTTGCCATGTAGGTTACAGTTCCCTTGCACATGGATATTGGTTGTGTATTGGTAGTGTGTGTGTGTGTGCAGCATCACGCGACCTGCACACCAGACACCCCATCCCATCACCACCGGCTCCTCCCCAGAGGCGACGGTGTCAACGACCGCCTGCCGCCGTCGCCGGGCACCATGATGTCCCGGTTGTACCGGCTGTGAACCGTGATATTCCACGGCATGTGAAGCCACCACTGCCCGTCCAGATGCTCCAGGTGTCCCCGCCACCACTGAGCGTCCTTGCCCCCTACGAAGAGCAGGTAGCTGTTCTGCTCCTTGTGCAGCCTGTCCGTCAGCCGCGCCAGCGTGTCCTCGACGTTGCGCCGCCGCTTCTCGTTGCGCTGGTTGTCCTCGGGGTATGCCTGGGTCCCGGGGTCCAGCACGTCGTCGATGCCGCGGATCACCAGCAATTTCTGCCTCAGCGACCTCACCGACTCGCGGATCATAGACGACGGGAGGTAGCGGCTCGCGTGCGGCCTGGTGCGCTTCTCGCGGTACGGCAGCCCGTCCAGCATCATGTTCGGCTTGTCCAGGTCCTTTGCCCTATAGAAGTATACCTCGTCCACGAGGTTCGTAGCCAGCCACATGCTGATCATCTGGTCAATCGTGGCTTCCATCTTGGCGTCTGAGCGCTGGAGGTCGCTTGCGTACACGACGCGGAACGTCGTGAGCTTGTACTCGAGCTCCAGGAGGTGCAGCTTCATCCTGATCGGCTCGTCCGTCGGCGCCATCAGGTTGTCCCCCAAGAGCACCGCCGGCGGCTTCCATTTCACCCTAGACGAGCCCGAGTTGGACGAGTCTTGGGACTGGTCTGATAGTGATGGGCTGCGGTCGCGTGACGCATGGTTGATGTGCCGTGACTCTCTAGTGTAGTTTACGCAGATAAAGAAATCCTTGTATCTTCTTCCCGTCTTGTCAGCGTACTTTCTCCGGATGGCTTCCCTCCCTCTGTGGGCCGCGACGTGGAAGTCGACCTGGTTCACAAGCAGCTCGTTATAAAACGTCTCGAGGTACGTGGATACCGTCTGCCAGTGGACGTAATACCACATGGCAGACACGTTTGAGATGCCGTGCCTCAGGAACGTCTGCGCAAGGTTCGTGCCCGACTCGTGGCGGTTGTACGCCGACAGGCAAGAGTTCAGCACTACGTTCTCAACCTTGTACTTAGCCAGCACCTCGGCAACCGAGTCCGCTTTAGCTAGACAGGTGCCGGGCAGATTATACGGCTGTCCTACGGTTTCGTCATGCTTCTTGGCGAACAGCAGCCAGGGAACCATTCTACCATGCCTAGAAAAAGCGTTAGTTCCCTTAGACAATAAAAGAAACGAGAGAGGGAAGAAGCCAAGACATCCCAGCTTCTCCCTCAACCGGGTGTGGGGCTGGAACATACTCATCTTCCTGCACAATACCATGCAGATCAAAGTGTACAATGTGGAAGAACACGTCCTGCCGCGACCTGATCCTCAGATGCTGCTCCAGCTCCTCACGGCTCCCCGGCCGCACCACCTCGAGAAGCATCCTGCCCTTGCCCTTGGTCCTCAGCTTCTTCTGCACGGTCATGAGGGGGTACTGCGCCAGGTCCGGCTCCGGGTCTCTGTCGGCGCCGCTGAGGGTGAAATCCCGGGCTACGACCAGCAGCACCTTGACGAGGTAGCCGCTCCTGACCGAGGAGAGCTCCTGCGGCACTCGAGATTGCTGAGTGCCGCCACTCCCGCCGGGCACGAAGTTGGCGACGCGGGTGATGCGCATGCATGGCTTGTCCATTGACTCGAGGAGCTCCCATGCCAGGCATTGGATCCCGTGGGCATTTTCCGACGGCCTTCTGGAGGAGTGATCCTCGACGACGAAAATGTGGTACTTGGCAACCCCGGAATTCCGCAGCTCGAGCTTCTTATCCAGCTGAGCAAACAGATTCTCGGTATAGTCGTCGATCTTGAGCTCAGCTCCCTGCACATCCAGAGGCACCGCCTCCTCGTCGGCCGTCAAGAGCAAGCTAGGCTTCTCCGAGTGGCGGAGGTATGGCTCCAAGATGGACTTGTACTCGTCCTCGGTGAAGGGATCATTGAGCTCGAACTCGTGGGGACTTCGGTTGTTGATCGTGACGGACAGTATCCACGAGCGGTGCGTGGCACCGTTGGTCGATGCGGGCGCTGGTTGGGCTGCGGCATGGTTGTTGGTGCCATTCGCAGAAATGGAGCCCTGGTGCTGGTGTTGGTGTTGGTGTGCCGTCCGTGGGGATTGCGATCGTATACGGATCACAACCACCGCATCCATCTCCTGGGCCCGATTCCTGACTGTGTCGTCGTGTCCATTGACAGCATGTTCCGGGTGTCGTGTGCCTCCTCTCGCCGCCTTCGCTGGGGGCCCTCGCCCGCTGCTACTTCCACCGGCTCTTGGGCGGGCGTCTTCACGAATGGTTAAAATAGGGATATGTCAAGAATCGGTTCAAATCGCCGAGCTGTCTATGTCCAGTTGCTCGGGAGGATCTATCTCGCTCGGTAGAGGACTACGAAAAAAAGAACACATGCATGGGAAGCGGAGGAAATTAAGCTGGATGTAACATGACACAATCGATGGAGCCTCGTTGGAAACCAAACGCTGGGGTTGGAGGCACTAGGAACACATAGCGCACCCGCCCCAAAGCGCCACAAAGGTGAGGGAAGGTGCTAGCGGAAGCCTCAATAGACACGCTAACAGACCGCAAGATTCATGGCCGTCGACGGTGCTAGACAGCTGGGCGTAGGTAGGGGACCTCGCGCAAGCAACGAGGCCGTGATTCCGCACAGCAGACCAAGCACAGGTCTTTCATGATAGCTCTCTCTAGGCGCATAAGAATAGGTAGATATGGGGTGGCGGCAGTACTGTGCCGTGCGGGCTGATCTACTTTCCTCTAGCATCGGGCGGCAAAGACGGGAGCGTCAGGCGACTAACAACTGCCCGCTTCCCCCTTGCCCAAATGGGTGCATTTCAGCGCTGAGGAAACACCACTAATTCGAACAAACATCAAAGTTAAGCTATTGGATTGGACGACGCCAGCACAAGCTTAGAATGACTCCCTCAGCCGGCCCTCGAAGTCGATTAACTAGCAGTCATTCAGCACTTCTCTCTACCTAACTTATGTTTCCTTTTTCCGCATTAACCCCTGCGCCCGTCTAGGCAGGTCACAGCCGTTTCACGGTAGGGACTTTATAATAAGCAAGTACCGGTGGGTACTGAACGGTTGCATTCGAGGTATGAACGGATGTGATGCTCTCTCACTACAACTCCACGCACACGCCATGATTGCCTAGAACACATCGACGCAGGCAGCCTCTCCTGCCGCCCTATATTGCACATCCATGCATCCATATCATTCGCTTCGCATAGAACCTGGCGCCTTCCAACCTCCCCCAACCCGCCTCACCTACACGTATACGAACTATCCCTATCCCTATTCCCTAGACAAGGGTCCATCTGTACTCCGTAGCATCGCATCACATCTGCCTTGCTTCCCGCCCGGATCCCCTTCCCCTATGCAGGGCGAACACACCCGTCCACCAGGCATGATTGGACCAGCAGCCAGTGTAAGCAAGCGCGCCCTTTCAGCTCTGGACAACCAAGCTGCCTAAAGCAAACCTATGCGCCGCCATCACACGAAAGTCGGGCTGACTGCCTGCACGTAACATTCCCTCCGGGCTCAGCTTGAGTCGGTTCCATGCACACAGCCCCCCCATGGGACAACGCCCGGTGTTGTCACCCTCCACGTAAAACGAATCCATACCGAAATAACATGCAGGCCCATGCGCAAAGCCTTCTCGCTCGTGGCACCGCAGCCTGTGAACTGTTCGAACGCCCGAGTGACACGTATGGGTTTCCCTATGGTTCGCCACGAGACGAACAGGCGCACCGCTCACTCATGGATATGACTCCTACACTCACATCAACTGGGTAGCACATAGGCGAGGCAGACGATAAGCCACGAACATGTAATCATGTCACAAAACACATGCACAAAAGTATTGCAAAAGGTGGAACTCAAAATTTGGTGCGCAGATCCCCCAATCCGGGGGACCGCATAAGATGATGTTTACATTCATTGCTATCGTATGCAAAAGCGGCAAGACGGCCTCTACGCCGTCCGCAGGCTGATGCGCTCTGTGGCCAACCCCATTTCTCATGATGGGGGTTTCGTACTGGCGGAAAAGAGCGTTTGGTATCCAGGACCAAGACAAAAAGAGTAAGATTATAAAGAAAAGAGGTAATAAACGCCTATCCGCATGCCGTCATCGGTGAATCTCATCTCACTGCGGGCCATGCCATGCTCCAATCCTTGTGTGAGACTCCGGTCAGTCTGTGACCTGCTCATCCTTGCCCAGAAAACAAAAAAAGGAAATAGGAAAAATGTGAGAACGAGAGATAGAGGAAAGCGAATGTGCCGAAAGACTTCATAAGATTTGCAATATGAGGGTGAGAATATGATGAAGGTAGAACAAGACACCATATGCGTGAACATGCTTGACCGTAAATCTTCGAGATAGGTGCAGGTCAATCATGACGTCGTAACTCCGTATGTATTTGCAAGTAGACATCGTTTCGAATGATGTGGGAAGGAAAGGAACCGAGAGAAAAGACAACCCCAACAAGAAACAGGTGGTAATGTGTGTCCCATCTTGAGCCCAGGAAGCAGACAGTGGGCAAAGGGAATATTTGTTCAATCAAGTACACGCTATGCATTTGTAGGGCACTGCTTGGGTCACTCCAGCCGTACCGCAGGTAAAAGGAAAGGGAAGACAGGACGCGACAAGGCGATATGGTAGCAACACGATTGCCTAGACATTCTATGCCTGAACCGGGTATTCGCCGCCATATGCCGCGGAGGGGTAGCTGCTGAAAGCGATATCATCAACTCCGTAGCTCTTTGAGGTCTTCACCCTGTCGTAGTAAGAGCCGCTGCCGCCATATCCAGAGTCCCTTGCGTTCATCGATGGACGCGTGGGGTGATCAAACTCTGGATAGTATGGGCTGGTGCTGAACGAGGTGGTGGGCTCATAGTCAGCGCGGTTGGCGAAGGAGTATGATTTGCTGTACAGATGAGAGCGTCCGTCATTGACATGATAGCGGAATTCAGCCGGTCCCTCGGGGGACCGATGCTTCTTGCTGCTCCGGTGCTTGCGCTCTCGATGCCTGCGATCGTGGTCGTGATCCTCCTCAGAATCAGACACCACCTCGTCCAGCGTTGGCTGTGCGTGGTGCTTTGACCTGTGTCGGCCACGATCACTTCGAGGCGACTCGCCCCCATCACCATAGTTGGCGAAAGTCTTAGATCTTCCAACAGGGATGGGCCGACTTGAAGATGTCAAGGGCACCGAGTTTGTTCTGTTCAGAGTTGGAGGCGAAGTGGCATACTTTGGCGGTGAGGCACTGATGTGCACCTCGTCCTCATCATCATCAAGCTGCTCCCGGGATGCCTTTCGGCGAGATTTCTCCTTGTAGCCTTCTGGGGAGGCACGGCGAGCCGAAGAACGACGAATATCATCGTCTTTGGGGGGTGAATGGGGGCCGCTTCGCGGAGGTGGGGGTGTAGGGGCAGATGGCTTCTCTGAATAATACACAGGGTCTTCTCTCCTGGCCATGCGGATGTACTCTTGAGCAAAGGACCGCGCGTGCGATCCGTCAGGGAATCGAGGGCTGGGCTCATCACGGTGCACTGACCGATCACGCTCCCGCTCGCGCTTCTCCTCGTGCTTCTTGCTTGACGACTTCTTCTTCTCCGGCTTGGGGATGTACTCCTCTTCGTGCTCAACGAAAATGTCCTCGGCATACCTCTCCTGTCGCTTCTCCTCGGAGCCCTTCTTGATGTCCTTGGACTTGGCCTTCTCGCGTTCCTTTTTCTCCTTCTTCTCCTTCTTCTGGGCACGTCTCAGCTCCTCCTCTTCTCTCTCCTTCTTCTCACGTCTTCGGCGCTCCTTGTCTCTCTGCTCCTTCTCCTTCTCTCGCTCTCTCTCCCGCTCGCGCTCCCGCTCAGCTTCACGCTTCGAGGGCTTCTCAGTATATGATGCCTCCCGCTTCGACGAGTGGCGAGGCTCGTGGTCGTAGTACGAGCGAGACCGAGACTGGGATCTGCTCCGTTTCTCCTCGTCATACCCGGGGGGCGAGTACGTGGTGAACACCCGGACATTTGGGGATCCAGAGGCCGGCTTGTGGGATGACCGAGATTCAGAGACCTTGATGTCGTACTTTCGGGGGGCGGAGGAGTTGGCCTTGTTCTGCAGCTGTGCCTTGAGCTCGGCCAGTCGGAGCGAGTCATCGTAGCGGCGTCGTTCCTTTTCGTTGGAGAGGACCTCGTAGGCGGTCTGAACCTTTTGGAATTCGTCCTGCTTCTCGGCCTTGAGGGTCGGGTCCTGGACCTTATCCGGGTGGCATTTTAGAACAAGCTTCCTATGGGCAGATCGGATCTCGGGAATTTGGGCATCCTTGGCAACACCAAGAATCGCGTAATGGTCCGGAAGTGGGCTCATCGTGCTGTTTGTAGGATATAGGGGGCCTGGATTGCATCAAGAAGAGACGGGTAAACTTTGTCGGCCAGCGAAAAGAACGGTCTCTGTGTGTATCGTGAATGAATGGCTTCGCTGGGTTCCAGACTCTTCAAGGCAATGAGGAAAAAAATCAAAAGGGGACTGGATATAGAGGGGTGCGGGAAGGTTCCTAGTGCAAAGTATAATATTATGGATGGTGTCGAACCGGATCGAGAGTTGGTATCAAGGCTGCGGGTTGTTGCACGGAAGGGTTTGGGAGCAGGCGGATTCGTAGACCGTATTTAAAGGCACGAAAGGCTTCCAGGGAATGATCAGGTTGGGAAAGGTGTTTTAGTCAACGTTGGCAGACTGAAAAGATTATCAGTCCGTTTGTTCGATGACAATGTGTGAATGACAGATTGGTGTTGTTGGAGCTTAGAGATTTGGCTGGGGCGTTCTGTTATGAAAGACCTGGAGGTCCGTGGAAACAGAAGAACAAGGAGTAAGAGGGAAGAGCCTACTAATGATGAGGTCACGGGCTTGCTGGGGGATCCCCTTGTGTCTTCCCTAGGGACAAGCGTAGATAGAACTGGATGGGGGACAGCCGATCAGACCGTAGAAAGAGGGGGGCAAAAAGGTGGGCTGGAGTGGGTAGATGACAGGGAGCTTCTCAGAATGAACGAGTCGTGAGAACGCTCGCTACAATGCACGCCGCTGTTGGTGTGGAATCGTGGCCACGCTTGGCTCCCTCTCATGGATGGTGGGGAGGTCTTTGGAGCAAAAGCATAGGTGGAGGACCGGCAATAGTATCGCGGTTGCGTGAATAATGGCACCACCGAATTGCTAGCAGACGGATCGCCCGCGAGGAAGCTGGATCCAGCAAGCCTCGGACTGGGCGAAAGGGCGAGTGCAGAGTACCGTCTGTGACGTGGGGAGGATTGGTCAGGGACTGCTGATCGTGTCTAATCGTTTCACCTTTCTCTGTACTTCGACGGCGACACAAGGCCTTTGTAATAAGCTACAAGGCAATGAATGGAATCTGCGGGAGATGGAAGGGATGAGTGCGTTTCTGGGTTGCATGTGGGCACCGTGTGATACGTAGCATGTAGCTGTGGCGTTTATGGTACATGCCGTCTTTGTGACTGTACATCCAAGACAATGCATTCTCCCCGCAGACAGCAAGTAGCTGGCCCCCGTCCTAGTGTATCCAGGGGCTCCCAGGTCCACGAGGGTACGGACGGACAAGGACGGGACCTGAACGGGCCACTTAGATTTCGAACTATCGGCCTTTTAACACTGTCCCGAGGACTGTGCCAAGTAAGTACCCAAGTACCTCGCGACAGCTTACAGTGCAGGTTTAACTGAATGACCCAAAACGGCAGTAGATGGAAAGGCGAATGCCTCCTCCAGCCAGCCAGATCCAAAGACTCACAGAGGGCTGACACGACATTGACCGAACACGCGGCTCGCCAGGCCGGGGGAGGCGAAGCCAAGTTGCTCGGTCCGCATAGCCTCACCAGGAATTGAAACAATCACGTATACACATGCCCCAATGCAGACCGAAACGAGCGAGGCCTGTCCTCTGGCGAGGTCAACCGCTGGTAGGTATTCGTCTGCCTGGACCTGGAGCAAAATAAGAGGTGGCCAGGGCCTCTTTTTCCCGCCACAGGGAGCTAGTGGCGGATCCCAGATAGGCCTGGTCTGGTCTGGTCCGGAACCTTAGCAAACCCCCTAGAGGTTCCCTGCTATCGAGTGGTGCACACGACTCCCGGACGGCCGACGCAGTGCCTAGACTAGGCCCGTTGGGGTGCTACAGTGGCCACCACCACCCCAGCCGAGTCAATCCCCCAGGAACGTTTTGGCGCTCTGCTCGCTTGAGGGCAGTGGTGGCGGGCATCTGACTTTTGCACGGTCCGGAAGCTTGGTGAGTAATCTAGATGCCACTGGACGGGACTACTCCTGGCGGACGCTTATCTGCAATCGTCTCGATGAGCCGATGCTCATGATGACTACAAGCAGAGTCATTTTCCGAGGTCATGCTCGCACAAGCGCGCGTCATGACTTAGCACGAGGAAAACCTGCTGGCTGAGCCATCCAGCTAGGCCCAAGTGGAATGCCAGAGAAGGCGCAAGAACCCTTGGTACTCATCACCTTGGCCTGTTAGTCAACATGATCCATCCAATTGCCCAGGCGACGGACCTCCTGTTCCCACAAGGAAATGCAGAAATGCTGCCGTCGACCAAACAGAGGCTCACACTAAAGCTGCACCTTCTGGCTACCTTCGCTGAAAGGAGCTACAAGGGAGCAGCAGCAGGAGGGGCGGTGAATGGTTGTTGCGTCAATGGTATCAGCTCCGGCGGCACACTCCACAGACCAGCTCCAGCACTCAGGTGACAGCTGCTTGTGGGGAGACATGAGAGGTGATGTTTCGGGCGGCGGAGGCAAGACCGCTGTGGAAATGGTCACTCTCTCACTATGGATGCGCAATTCGGACTCTTGTGCAGAAACCGGTTACCGTGTTGCCTCACAATTGCAGATTGTGAGCTGGCTGATAGACCGAGACAAGAAACCTACACATCTCATCCCTTGGGAGTCATGTCAAACCGGTATTGGGAGAGCCTGAGCAAATGGCGGTGGGCTTTAGTGCATCAGCCAGGCAGGTACCTCCCTACTAAATTTAGCAGTGGGGGTACATAAGGTACCTACCGAAGACCAACTCCGCCCATCAGTTAACGTAACCTCCTCAACAACACGAGGTTTCTGAATGGCCGCATGGCCCCAATCGCTATACCGAGCAAAAGAGACAGTCCGTATCTTCCTGACTTACACTGCCTTGTTGATCCAAGCCATGTCTCCATGATGGCAAGGTTGCCCCATCCAGAGTCTGTACTATCATTAGCATCGCCAGTCTATCTAGTACTATCGCCGGGCTGGATCTATGGCGCTTACAGCGTCTCCAGAGTCAGCATACGCCATGCTAAACCACCCCCAAATAGCTGCTCCCGTAATGGGCGTAAAACGTTAAATTCCCCATACCGTTACGCCTTGAAGGCATCGCGTGGCAGGGCATACTTCACGTAGGAGCAACGAAGGAGTACTAACCCGACGTATACGTGCATACGCTCAGCCAATGTAAACGAATGTAGCAGCCACCTACGTGATTACTACTGGATAGTCCGTCTCGCGTAGGTCTATCGCCTGGGCTTGCTGTCGGCTGAGCGGTTTCTACAACTGGAATGGAAAGGATTCGAAACTGATATGCAGCCAACCCCCGCTTTCTCGCCCGTTTCAGTCCATTCGAGGTGACCCCGGGATGGGAGCTTTCGGCATTGTCTGCTATCCAGCTACATCCAAGCGGCGCGCGTTGCATGATAGAGCCAAGGCCCTATCCAGCGTCGCCAGAGCTTCCTCCTGCAGGGCCAATTGGTGCCCAGTAATTCGTCCGGAGCTCCTCTGCTGTGTCATGTATCCAAGTACCCCAAATGCTGGGTATGGCGAGCGCTCGACATATCTCATGCCTGGAACAGACAGTGATCCGTTATTCCAAAAGTACCACCCCATGCAAAGTCGCTTCAGGCGCAAAATCGATTGGTCGATTGAGGCCGTTGAGAGATGGGATAGGTATCATCCATGTGCATGCAATACCGGCAGTCTGACCTCCCGAGGCGGCCCAGGTCGTAAGTTCTTCCCCTCCCTCCCTTCCAAGGAAGCTTACTCGAGGAGAGGCCCGGCCCATGGCTTCACACGACCGACCGACCGACCGGCTTGGAACAGTCAGGTTAGCCCCAAGCTAAAGTACCACGCGATGCTGCCGTTAGCCAACAGGGGAATTCGACCCCACGCCACCCTGATCACCAACCACGGGCCAACCCAAGCATCACATCAGCCGCCGCGACCGCCAGGTCGCCGAATGGGGACATGTGTGCACCCACAGCGCGCAGGACTCCCAAAGAGGGTGTGGGTGGGCATCCGCATATGTCGTGAGCCTATCGTGGGCTGCGACATGGCCTTGTCTGAGTGGGTTTCCCTCTTCCACTATTGGACCTGCAGCAACGCGCGCATGGTCGATGATGCGCAGCCAGTCACGTTGGCGATACCTGCACGGCACCAATCACGCAGGGGGGCCATTCGAGCCGGCCAGGTCCACCTCTCTATCCCATCCTGCGGATAAAGCCCAGCAGGATGAGGGGCAGACGGTGTTGCTGGAGGGATGAGCCTGTTTCTTAGCATCATGCTCACGCTGGGAGAGATGGAGAGAGGTCACTGTCGAGACGACCGTCGAGGCTGGATGTTAGTAGATCTAGCGTGTGTAACCAACAGCTGCCTTGGGTCCCGTAAGCTCAGATTGCCCGTATCTGACACCTGACATGCACGGGAGAAGTCTAGGGCTAGCGAGTGTGGTTACGTCCTGCCCTCTTGCAGGGTCTGACAATCAACGAGGCCGGCGAGTCTCATTGGATGCAAATGTGGCCCTCCCAAGGAATATGCTCTGTGTGGGTATGATCGAGCTCTCATTGGAGAAGGGCTTTCTAGCCAGTGGTAGCCCCGAGCTCCTGCGCAGCTGTGACTGGATGTTTCTTGTGCCGCATGCTTTTTTTTTTTTGCACATGCTGCTGCGAGGGTGAAGAGTAGGTGGTGGGAGATGGTGGGGGTGTGGCCGTGATCCAAGCATCGACAGTCCCAAGGCTCTCCCGCTCCAGGGATGGACCAAGATTCCAAGATCCCGTATCCCAGACATTAAAATGTCGGAGAAATAGAGGCTCGGTAATGCAAAATGGCATTTGGCGGTCAGGTCAGTAAGGGATAGACCGTGGTTTAGGGATGGGCCCTGATCACCATCGTTGACAGAGACAATAAGCAAGATCTGCATTGATACGGCAGTTAGAGTGCTGGGTACAAAAGAAAAGTGTTGGAAAGCTGCCGCGGTGGTGGCGGGAGGATCGGCTGGTTTCCGAGGCTCCAGGCTGGGTTACAGGGTACGGAGGACATTAACACACAAAACC